TTATACATTAACATTCCCTTGATGACAAATGTTCAAGATGAAAATTAAATTAAGCCTCATATTAGTTTATGCATCTAATACTTTTCATGTTACTTTAAATTGCTACCAGTTTAACGTGTTGTGTCAATTTGTTTCATTCAAATCATCAAAGTAATAACATGTCTGTGTTTAACCCTTTAACTCCCAGATCAAATTTGTAATTCTTCTTACTGTCAACGGTACAATAATGTTGACATTATGTTGACACTGTATGGAGAAATTCCATTATGGTCACTCATGAGTGTTAAAGGGTTAATCATTGAATAAGAGAATGACCTGAGCAGCAATCAAAGTGGATCAACTTGGAAAGATGGATCTGTATTTATCCACACCATGAACATGTAATTCTGAATGAAAAGTGGAACTTTAAGTGAGGTATCTCTTTTTAAGAGGCTACATGTAGGTCAGAATATTTAATGTTAGTTCAATGTGTATCTAATAAATTATGGGACTTCAACATTGTAAAATGTTAAATTTTGATAAACTTGAAAAACAGAGGAAAAAATTCAACAATGAAGTCCTCTCAGGTGCACAACTGCAATCCATTTCAATTCTCTACTTTTTTTCCAAAATCCATGACCCTGTTTGGTGTTCTTGTGTTTCTTTTGAGTTTTAAAGTTTGAAATTACTCCAAGTTATTTTTGAAAATTAGAAAATCCACAGTCCACCTTACTACCTATCAAACCACTTTTCAGACCAAATATGCATTAATGTACTGTGATTTAAAAAGGAGAGCATGTAGCACATAATAAATACTACAACTTACTTTTTTCTTGAGAAGAAAACTTTTCCTAGTAACTTGGGCAACAGATGGTAGATGGCATCATCGCAAATGAACACATCATACAATGAGCAGAGCTGTCTTTTTGCTTCAAATGACTGGTAATTCTTACGAAGCTTGGTAAGGGAGATTACCTTTAGGTTTGAAAAAAAAAAACAGCATAATTGTGACTGCATATTCAAGTATCTAACCACTATGAAATACTCTATATTCAGGGTATAAACCTTAATTGTTTTACACAGGTGCCAAGTCTTGACAAGAGGTAATTAAATTTATTTTTCAGTCACCACCTGGAACAATTACATGCAAGTCTTAAAAGAAGGCTGATTCTTAAAATGTTTGCCTTACATAAAAATACCAAAAATTTTCAGGATAGTTGTTTGCTTTAAATATAATCCCACTAGTAATCAATCACCATTTGAGTAAAATTTCTGTTTTGTAAAAAAAAACAACAAACAAACAAACAAACAAGACTTAAAAAGTTAGAGTGAATGCCAATCAAGGGTTAAACTTAAACTGATCTAAAATACTTGATTAATGGTTCCTCTTTGCTGCTGTACACTGACACATATCTACTTCTTTCCTTACTCCAGCATGGAAAAGGAAAAGAAAACTTTATAGAAAGCAGCTTCTTAGGTTTTCTAAAGATCAAAAAATTGTCCAAACTTATGTATAGAGATTGTTTAAAGGAAGGCTACAAACCTTTGCACGATGACTTCATATACTGAACTCATCTCAAGTCTCATTAATAATAATAATAATAATGACAATCTTTAATGAGGAAACTTTTTCACTAAAAAGTGGTTTACAAAAAGGACCTCGAAAATTAAAAATTAAAAATTTACAATGAATAAAAATGCTAAAAGATGCTACTAAATACTAATGTATCTTATGTGTAATACAAAACTTAAATCAATGAATTAACATTTGCACAAACCTTTGCCGCTTTCTTGTTGTTTTTGTGTGAGTGTTCTATTCATTTCAGTGTCTTGCGAATACTTTCTAATTAAAATTCACTAGTCCGCACCTTGAAAATGAGGCTTTTGGGCGAAACTGGGTATTCTGATGTAAATATGCATAAAGCCTTATGCCAATTATACCAAATATATCCTGACCCAGTCATGCCATTCTACACTTTTCAAAACTACTGCTACAAATGAAGATCCATGAAAATTTTAGTGTTACAACGACATTTCTCTCCCAAATATGATTGTCCATACCTTTTTGACTGTAACATCTTTTGATTTCAGTAGTTGCTTGACTTTTGAACCATCCTCTTTGGTAAACAAACAAACCTCTACATTCTCTGAATACAAAGAGTATGGTAAAGAGCTGGAAAAAAGACGAAAATTAACTGTACTTAAGCATTAGCTCGTGAATAAAATTCTATCAATAAGCACTTGACACCTCACCGGAAGATTTCGATTCATCAAGCTTGAACGTGAAGCTGTATATGTGAAGCAATCACGATGAGGATCGTAAGCTGCCTTTTCGAATTTAACTTGGTAATATTTAACAGATTTTGTCTATCACTCACATTCTTCTTGGTTTCTTGTCAGGGTTTGGAATCTTCTTTAAAGCTAAGATCAACAAAATTGTTTCGTGTTCATTCAAAAGCCGCAGCTGTTTGCCTCGTTTCTGACTCGCGAACTTCACAAGAGCAGGGACAGCTAGTTCAACCTGAAGAAGCAAAAATTAAGGAATGAAACTCTTGAAATGACAAGAAAAATGGCGACTGAGACAAATCAGCTCAAAGATTAACCTGTCTTCTCTCAAGTTGACTTTCCCGTATTGCCTTGGGTTTGAAATCCACCATGATGACTGAAGCATGTGGTTGCGCAATTTGCGGGTTGTTACATGAAGAATAGTCTAGCGATGTTGTCAGCGGTCTCTATCATCATAATTATTTTTATTTATGCCTCCCTCATTTGTCTATTATTGACGTGTGACCTCAAGAATGTTGCGTCCCGCGCCATAATAACTGACGTCCGTTTAAGCTTTGAGAAGAAATCTCTCCCCAAAGGAACATAAGTTTCAACAATATTTTGAAATCTCAACAACTACTTCATCATGGATAAAGCTAAAAGATATCCCGTGAGGAGCCTCATTTCATTCGACGCTTTGGAAAATCCATCGTGGCACTCAAGTACTCGTTCAAAAGAGACGCCGACGAAAACGGTTACAGAAATGATCAATTGCATCACGCAGTATCACAAGCGCTGGGAAAAAGCTGTAGCGGAGAACCGCTATCACGAGGATTTGATAAAAAAGATAAAAGAAGATTTTCTCCTCGAGTTTGTTTTTCATGTCAATCGCGAAGAAGGACATGGAATCGCTACTTTCAAGGATACTGAAATCTTTCTTAGAAATTGTTCTTCTGAAAGACGCATGTCGGCTGGCAGTTCCTTCTCCCTTGAAGAACAAGAAACAGTAAACTTAATTAATGCTTATGAAAGCTTGTTAGAAAAAATTAAGAGTGAAGAACGAACCAGTGATTATGGACTCCTGGAGGTCGGTTTACTTAAAGAGACTCACCGTTTGATACTACAGAATATTCCCCAGCCTGGAGGTTTAACAAAACCCGGAGAAATGAGTAACAAACCAAGAGTTACAGAATTTAAAGGGGAGATATACCTCTACGCAAATCCAGACGATATGGAAAGTACAGTCATTAACTTACTTGACAAATACAACTTTCTTTATGATTCCTGTATCGAGGAGAAAGGAGGACCCAACGAAGATATTGATGTTTACAGCTTACTGAAGACATGTTCGTGGTTTTTGTTTGAACTTCTTGATCTGCACCCATTTTCTGATGGAAATGGAAGACTTTGCCGCATTCTTAGTAGTTACTGCTTGTCAAAGCTTAATCCATTTCCCACACCAATTTACAATGTCTGGACAAATTCATGTAAAGGTGATTACATTGAAGCCTTAGTTGAAGCCAGGAAGTCACCAGACAGACAGCCTTGTGCTCTGACTACAATGATAATTGAGTGCACCTACTATGGATGGGAGAAATTTTTCAAAGCCTTGCAAGGATCAACCGATAGAAATTATGTCGCAGGAAACTCCAGAAAAGTTGACAAGTCATGCTTAACTCTGTCAAACTCTTACAGTAATATCAAACATTTATTTGAAGTTCCTACCCTTCCATGTGTAGCCTCAGTTCCTTGTTAAGATGTTTTCTAAAAAACTTTGAATGAAGGGGCATTTACTTGCTATCACTTACTTACACTATTGCTATATTTGTGCAAGTATTGTGAGTGCAAGTTTAAGTGTGGTAGAGAAAGGAACTGGGCCTTGGGGTTTGTGGGGCATCATGTCTCATGATCACTTTAGAAGTGTCTTCCACCAGCTTCCCCTATCCAGCTTTAATATTTCCCCTCCACAGTGAGTTTTTGTTGTGCCACTGTTTGATTGTACAGAAAATTTATTTTTGTATAGACTGGACAAGTTACTTTTATTCTATTGATAATATTGTATTTTGACTTTGGAAAAAATGCTTTCTATCACAACTTTAACCTCAGCATCCAATGCTCAACAGTTACAGTGTAGTCTGTTTTACTCTATTACAATTTCCCAAGAATGTAAAATGTATTTCTTTACACATAGTTTATGGTTGATCAGTAAGTAAGGACTGCATGGTGATTCTTCTATCAAGTGGATGAAAGAAGTTCAACCATTTGGTGGGTTATTGACTAAAAACAGAACTTATTAATGTTAAAGTTAAAGAGAAAGTTATGGTCACTTTTTGTAAGAATTATTCTTTTTTTGATGTCTTGGCTTATTTTCATAATAAATGAATTACTCATAAATTAAAGCTTTTGTCTATTCCTTACTGAGGTGAAACAAATCATGATGAATTTTTGTCTTTGATGGCTCAGGTTTTCAAGAATGTCACAGCCGCTGATTTGCCTTCTACAAAAAAACTGTTAATGGAATCCAGCACTTGGGTGGGGCATTTGAACACAATTTTGGCCCAGGGGGACCTGAATTCAAACAAACCAATCTTCACAGTTGAAAGTTCTCAAGGGTGAGAGATGTGAAGCTTTGAATAGATTGACACATTATGTGGAAATGATAGGTTGCCCCTTGTAACAAATTTGTATTAAGGGTCTCTCCTCTTTTTTGGGTAAAGAATGAAATATGAAAAACCAATAAAACCCAGTGACAAATTTGTTATTGATAATCATTATTCTGTAGATTGTGTGTGTGATATTCTCAGGTATCACCCAGTTTTTGCTGGGGATACTCAGTCATGTGCTGAGTTTAGACCAGTTGCAAGCAAGAAAAATATTTGATGGATCTTAAAGATACAAATACATATATGGTACCTCAAAGTACCTTTCTCATGCCTTTCTGATGGGACAAATCATAAGTCTTTTGGAATACAAAAAATATGGATATATATCAAAAAATTTTTCTCACAGTGGGGAAAACAGTTATTGCCAGCAAATAAGAAGATGCAGGGGAAACATGTTTGCTTTATGTCAGCTTCCTTCTCGAACCAAAACCTCCAAAACAAATTGGTCCGTCTATATGTAACACGGGCCCATGAGAAAGCATATCTCACTTCCATATCTATACACAAACCTTGAGCCTACGATTATTTTGGGTTCTTGTCCAGCGTCTGAGGCCTGCATGGTGACATTTTATTTGGCAACTATACCGCTGACAAGGAGCCAAAATGACTCTGGGCTCGAGATTCCTGATATACCCCACCGCGCCCCCCACAGCCAGCTGATATCCACGAGGAGAGAGTATGGCTGCCAAGAATGCACACGGAAGTACTGATGATGAGAACAGAAAGAGACGACTGTCACAATACCTACCTTTTGAGGCAACTGAAACTCCTAAGTGGGGTAAAAAAGAAGATGTTTCAGTCCAGGAGATGATAGAAGAAATTCTGAGTCATCTCAGAGAGTGGGAAGAAATCAAAGGTAGATACGATAAAGAGCTGATCGACAAAGTCCAGAAGCAGTTTCTTGTCGAATTTATTTTCCACGTGAACATGGAAGAGGAAAAGGGTTTTTCAACTTTTGAAGAAACCGATAAATTTCTAACACATCTCTACGCCCGAGACGGTAGTTTGCAACGTCAACTCTCGATTAAAGAACAAGAAACTCTGAACTTAAGGAACGCTTATGAACATTTGTTGGCAAAAATCAAGAAGGAAGAACGATCGGGTGATTACGGCCTTGTGGAAGCAAGTTTACTCCAAGAAACACATGGTATGCTTATGAAAGGTATTGAAATTCCAAAAGACAAGACAAAACCAGGAATATTCAGCAAACTCCCTCGAAAAACGGAATATAAAGGAGAAGAGTATGAGTATCAAAATCCAGAAGACATGGAAAGTGCTGTATGCAAATTATTAGACCAATGCAATGACATGTTCGACTGTTGTATCAAAGATGGCCTCAAGGATTCGTACGACTTGTACTCTCTGTTCAAAACTTGTGCTTGGTTACTTTTTGAACTTTTAGATCTGCATCCATTTTCAGATGGCAATGGTAGACTTTGTCGTATTCTTTGCAGCTATATGCTGTCAAAGTTTACTCCTTTTCCAACCCCGGTCTACAATGTGTGGACAAATTCGTGCAAAGATGACTACAGGGATGCTTTAGTTGCTGCCCGGAAGTCTAAAGAGAGGCATCCTTGTGATTTGACAACCATGATAATAGAGTGCAGTTATCATGGCTGGAAAAAATTCAAAGATGCTATCAAAGAAAACACCCTTCAGGACAAAAGTGTTCCCTCTGGAAAAACATGTTGAGCTTGGACTCTGTTGAAATCTTAATTGTGAGCACAGATCAAGAGCTGCTGTCTTATGTGGTATCAGTGGAATTGCTAAATTATGAGTAAATCAACCCGCATAACACTTTCTGTGAAGCTCAGAAAATTGTGAACACCAGGAAAACTCTTAGAATATTTCTGGGGAAAAAGTTAATCACAGTCAGAAAAACTGAACCACTGAAATTGTTATTGGATCATGGTTTGAGGTTTTCTTACATTTCTTGAACTTCATTTTGATTGATCATACACAATTGACCTGTCAGAATTATATCCTAATGTTTAAGGTTTCCTGAGCTTCATAGTTAAGATAGATAACCAATTGCACTCTTGGGAAGGGGCGCAGACTACTTCTTGGAAGTCACTGATGGACACATAAGGTTTCTAATTCTTGTCTTGGGGTGGAAAAAAACCAAACTTTATAAAGGGATTGAAATCATATTTAAGAAGAGTTTGGAATCTCTATAAATTCAAATTATTTTTTGATTATTACTAAATTGACAAATTAACTTATTAAATAACAATATGAAAGAATCTTACCTTCCCTTTTAGATAGGGATGTGAAGTTCTGATAGGATGGGATGGGAAGTTCTGCTGACAGTTATCTACCAAGCTGTGCTCTTGGAACAATGGCTTAGTGCCTGAAGGCTCTTGAATCAGTAATCTGGGATGTCAAGCCTTTGAAAGTTTTCATCGAAGCAAAGTTTTATAAGTTGCCCAAAGATAGAAATAAGCTACCTCTAGCATAGCACACAAGCTCTGCTAGAGCACAGCCTTGTTTCAAGCCAAAGAAAACATCTTCACATGTTAGTCTGTATGTGTTGCTGACAGAAATTAAATTGAAGTTTTTTAAATGCTTATGATTAAAATGGTTTTAATACCTTTTATGCCAAATACATACATGTATATGTCAATTTTATCTGAATTTTTGTGTTTTAGAAAATTTTTCAAATTGGTATATATAAAAAATAAAGATTGAGGAAGACTACTTTACTATTTAAAAATGAAGGAAACACAATGAAATAAGTAGAGGTGTTAATGTAACTGTTTATTCCATTGTACTGAAAGTAAGGATTTTTTTAATTTTTGGTCACTTTAGCAATGATAAAATAGTTTTGCAACTCTTTAGGTGAGTAAATTAAGTCTTAATGTAGAATTTTTAAGTAAAGACTGTTACTTCAAGTAGGTGCAATAATGAAAATTTGGTGCCAGAAGTTAGATTCAACTTTAATAGCCCTCTTTAGCTTGTAAGCTTTGTTAACCCATTTCAGGTCATGACATAATACTCTAAAGGTTTGCATCTTTCCAATTTTCTTTCATTCACATGCATATGTACAAAACAATTTACAAAGATAAGATGAAAATTTTCTCTGAGACCTGAAATGGGTAAACAAATCATACAAGCTAAGGAGGGCTATTCATTGTCTTCTTCCAGTATGTGAAAAAGATTCTCAACTTGTTGCTTGAATTAATAACTGAAATAATAATAATAATAATGACAATAATGGAATAAAAGATTAATTTGATGATGTAAAAAGGTCTCATTATTGGGTATTATTTGAGTGTGGGTTAACAAATAATAACAAAATACAATTTATCTGAGAGCAGCAACATCTTTTGGCCATTTATGAAACCTTAAGAGATAACCCCACAAATGTGTCAATTTTATTCTAGATAGGCAGTGTGTTGCAAACATAGACAAATAGCCACAAAAAATTATTGTTGAAAGTAAAAAAATCAAGTAGAAGTTGAGCTCAACTGAAATAGTCAAGATACTCCTTTCACATCAAGGTTATTTGATGATAGTGATAGAGGTCTATAATGCTTTTTTTTCTTGCATTTGGAAATTTTCAAGCCTTTAAGTTATACAGCAGTATGTGTTATTGGATATTTAATTTGTTTTGTGAAAACTTAGAATACATGTGCACTGTGCAAGAGCTGAAAATACCTTTGAAGTTGATTTCCACTGAGACAGACAAATAAGAATCCAACAACAAAACTAGTTGAATTGACTATATTTTAAATAGCAGTGAAACCTTTAAAACATTCATTTTGAGAGGCAAAACCAAAATATCAATTGATGCTAAAGAACAAGTGCACAGATGAAGCAAACATGAAATGAAAAAGAACATTAAATTAATGTGATAACATTAAGAAAATTAATGATCAGATCTTTGAAGTGAAGGATTTACAGAATGTCAAAATCAACCATAGAGACATTTCAGGTTTGGGAGTTACTCTAAGGTGTCAATTTGTTTGGTAAATGTACACTACACACAGGTGTTGTTGTCAACATGATTTTCCCATTTTAAAAACCCTCTTCTATACTGTACATTCAACACTGCCAAGATTTTTCATACCACCTTTAAAATTTTCATTTTTAAGCCCATCACTTGTTGATTCTCTTTCACAACTGGATTCTTATTAATGTCTTGAAAAAGAACAAATATTTATGGAAAAAGATGATAATGTCAATCAAATGTGATGCATTTGACCTCGTTTTGATTCAAGTTAAAGAACTACATTGGCATGAGCCAGATGCTTCTCTGAGAATATTTGAATTGGAAAAATTTGTACTCATTTGTACTCTACAAGAGAAAATTCAACTGATGTCAAGGACAACTAGATGCGATGATGTTCTATAAAGCCCCAAACAACTTACAGCTGTTCTCGCTTGTAAATATCATGGTACCCTTGAAAACTCAAAGAAGCAAAAGTCATGTCTTTTTTGACATAAAGAATTCTTACAGAAATAATTATCAATGAGAATCTTTATTGGTGTTTTGGACTTTGACGGAGAAAATTGTCCTGTATTGGTCAACCTTTACACTGTTAAAGGCACTGTTAACTCTTTAAAACCCTAAGAGTGACCAGCATCTAATTTCTCCCAACAATAATACTGCTGAATCATTCACTAAAATAAGGAGAATAAAGGAAATGATCACCGACCTAAGAAACTTTGATTGTCAAGGTAAACCATTTCTCTTTCTTACTCCCAAAGGCCATGTATATAGAACTGTTTGCAGGGTTGTAGATAGGAGCCGGCAGCCGGCAAAGTACGCCAGCTTCTCTGCTAGGTTTCGCCAGCTACTTTCATTGCTCCAAGAGCCTGTACAGAGATGATGTTTATCAGGTCGAAACTTGGGCTCAATAAAAATATAAATTTGCACTGCCTATCTTTTCTGAAAACATAAAAAGACTTCTGACTCAAGGTTAGTATAAAACCATTATGATGGGGACTGTCTTTTTGACAAATCTTGCTGCGGAGGCAGGAAAGTACAAACGGTATGACATTTTGTCCACCATATTGGATTTTGAGATATGAATACATAATTATGCAAGCAGGAATCTGGGAAAGAGGAGTTTCGGGACACTCTGGACCCACAACCAGTTACCGTTAAAAAAGTTCCGGCTGCTTAAAACCCTTAAAGAAAACCCTAAGAAGGAGAATAAGGATACAGAGATTAGAGTGTAAGGGTTAAAAGGTTACACAGATCAGGAAGTTTTTAGCTCTGCTTGTGCAGTTAGAGAGTCTTACCATAAGTCTTAGTGGTATTTTTATAGTCTTTTACTGTTTATTTGAGTGACTGCTTTTCCTTGATGATGATGTCCCAGGCCTGCCATCCTTTGAAGATGGTCTGGGAGGGGAGGCTGATCGTCCTAAAGGTGGTGGAGTGCTAGTTCTGGGCCTCGAGTCTGGTGTGCGAGGGATCTTGGGTCTTGAGACAAAGGGGGATTTAAATGTAGATTTACCTGCAGGAGGCTCAACCACTTGAGGGGGTGGCCTTGAACTTCCATCAGAAGGGGTTGGGTTTGCTCCTTGCCTGGTACTTGAAGGCCTCTCCTCTGCTGCTCCATTCGTTGTTGGTCTTGAGCCATGCCTTGATTTAGATGATGTTGTTGGCCTGCTCTGTTGTCCAGATTTTGGTCGTATTGTGGAAGTTAATGGTTGGGGAGTATTATCCTGCAAAGCATCTGTCCCTCTTGCTCCAGGAGTGGTGGGTCTTGTTAGAGGGTGATTGGGGTCAAGAGGAACTGGAAACTTTTTCTTGTTCTTTGGCTGCTGAGATAGATTAGAATTTGGCATTGCATAACAAGTATTGAGTAGCTCATCACCAAACAGCTCTCCTTCATTTGGTTCAAGAATTTCTTGTTTATCCAGCTCAGCATCAATAGCGTCTCCCTCATCATCGTCATCTTCCTCATCTTCGTCATCAGACTCAGGGTCATTTGTTGCAGATGGATCATCAGTGTTGAGTTGTTTGATGATAAATTGGATCTGTCTGGTCATATCGGGGTTGTCATCTTTCAGGAAACACTCAAGGATCTCCTCCATTCCTTGTGCTCTAGCTTCCTCTTTCACTGCAGGTAAAGCTAGGATGCTGTACAGGGCACCATTCACATACGGACGTATCTCTTGATTCTCATGCCCCAAGAGATCACTTAAAACTCGCAGAATTTGAGAAGCATCTTTGATACACTTTCTCTTCCCTCCAGAGCGTAGACAGAGGTTCATAAGCAGAGCAACTGAATACTCCAATGTGTAGTCTGATAGATTGTCATGGTCCATCAATAGCTGAGACAGCCACTGAATCACTTCACCATTGATCATCATAGACTGCATTTGCCTTCGTAGGCTAAGCTTCTGCAAGGTCCCCAGAATGTTTTCACTGGTGAGGGATGTTTTTGATTCCTTCTTTAGGACTGACAGTAAGGCATGCACAATGGATTGATTCTGTGCTAAATAAGAGCGGCCTGCTGAGAGAGACGCAAAGGCATTGAACAACCTTGCCAAGTATTGTCTAACTATTTCATTTGGTGAATTCAGGAGGTCTAGTATTCCACTTCTCAAGTGGCTGTCAAGAGAGCAGCCAAGCAAATCATGGATAATGTATGCATTAACAATGCTGTCTCGTTGTTCACGGGTAGGTGCTTGGGTCAGATTCCACCTCAGTGCCTGTAACAGAAACGCTTTCTTCCTTTCAGGCAGAGAAAGCAGGTTCATCTTTATCTTATCATAGTCAAGAGTTTGTTTGTATGGAACATCCACACTTGCAGAAAGACTAGGAAGTTCATCATTGACAACAGATGCCCTTAGCATTGAACTTGCTGTTCCTGGCTTGCTAACATCTAAAGACTCTCTAACAGAGGGAGAAAAGAGCCTCATGCAAATGTCTTGAAGGTATTCTGGTGTCACCATTTTTCCGCGGACAGCATCCTCCAGTGAGTCCACCAATTCAGCGGCAACACCTATGAGCTTATGGTAATCACCCTGTATTTTAAGGTATCTCTTTTCAAATTGGGCAAATCTCTGTTCCTTTGCTGTCAGCTGAAGTTGTAGTTTCTTGAGTTGTTCATTGTGCAGTTTTCTTTCTCTCTCTATCTCTGTGGAATTCCTCATAAACAAAGTATAGAGCTGTGGCTTTTCCTCTGACTTAAGAGTTGCTGCAAGAAATACTTGCAAGTCTCTCTTGAGATCAGAACTCCATGAACTGGCAAAAAGTGGTTTAAAAGATGGATGAGACGTAGGGTCAGGAATAAATGGCAATGCATAATAGGGAAGGAACTCTGTTGTCTGGCTTAAAGCAGCTCCTTTAGTTTCAAGATACGACTTGAAAATTTGCATTGATCGCTCCAGTTCTCGCTTGTTGTGGTTACCGTGAAGAATGGGAAAGAGTGCGAAGTAAATATTTATGTTGAAGACCAGCTTCTGGCAGACACGGTCAGTTTCTTGAACATTGTCGGGGATACAATCCTCCCATATTCTGAAAAACTCTGCGTATCTTCCATCAGCAAAGGCTGACAACAATTTATCCTGAATTTCAGTTTTCTGCGAGTCATTTCTTGGTGTGATTAGCTGATTTAACTGTTTTCCTAGCGAATTTAACTCATCTTCATATGCAGACGATGTCCTCGAATATCCCAGATAATCCAGATATTCTTTGACAATGGAATTTAGATCAGCTTCGTTTGCTAAAACTGCATCCATTTTCTATAAGATTGCCTCTTAAAATGGGTGAAAAAAAATAGTCACACGTGAGAGAAGTCAAACAACTACACGCTTGTCGATGTATCTGCCATGCAACATGGCCGCCAGATTCGTCGAATGAATTGTTGCTATGATGGTGCTGACCAAAAATATAGCGGTCTCTGAAAACTGTTTTCTACTCTCCTCTCCTATGCTGTCTAGTAACTTCTGCGCCATAGATTGCAAGACATAAAGGATTATTACTCATCAGCCAAGGAAGTAATTCAAAAGGTAAATGCTCCGTAGGGTATATCAGAAACTGCAATCCGTACTTTCGGTTCACGTCAAACGTATGCAACCCACTTCATCACGTCTGGCAGGAAAAATCCTGAAATTGGAGAGAAAGGAAACTTGGGAGACAGAATGGAACGACGGAAATCCCGCTTGGCACCGAAAATATGTCAGTCCCATGTTGATAAAACATTACGATGAATTCACATCGGGCCGGAGGAATCGTAGGATTCTTGTTCCTCTATGTGGAAAGTCGCTGGACATGATTTGGTTGGCAGATCAAGGCCACACTGTTGTTGGCGTGGAAATGATCCGAAAAGCAATTGAAACGTTCTTTGAGGAGAACAAATTACTATACGACGTAAACACCGCGCAAACTTCAGCCGGGGGTACTATCAACTTGTTCAAGGCCAAGAACAAGGACCTTACTCTGATAGAATGCAATATATTTGATTTGTCACGCGAGGTTTATCACAACAAGTTTGATTGCATTTGGGATCGCGGAGCGTGCACTGTGATCACAATGATGGACGAAGCTCGTCTGAAACAGTACGTGGACGTTTTATTGTCATCTTTACAATCTGACGGACGATATTTTGTGATGACTTTTCGCCATGAATCGGGGAAGAACGAAGGCGAATGGATCAGTCATCTTCCTGAAGATAAACTTCTTGAGTTGTGCGGTGATCGATGTAAAGTGGAATTAGTTGAACAGGATGACATAAAAAACGATCCTGCCCTTTTAGAGGCGTACGCGACAGCTCCTCAGCATTCGATATTTTATTATTTTGTAACCTTGAAGTAACATTTTAGCACATGAATGTTAGCGCTTCTCGTCTTCTCAAGCACTAAATGTCACGCAATACCCCATAGCTGTGTAAAGTCTGGAACTGGATCAGAGGCACTTTAATTGTGGACAAGGAATGTCTCTTAACTTAGCCGAGACTTCTATAGGGTCTTATAAATGCTTATGTCAGGCACTCCGTTAAGTCATGCTCTCCAAGAGGCTCTCTCTTGAGAGGCATGAGATTAATTACTCTTTAGGAAAGTTTAAAATGTTTTGAATTTTTTTTTAGTATGCATCAAGCCAGCTCTGCCCCATCACCAAGGCTATCAATTGACTGATAAGCAAGATTATCATGAAGTACTTCTGGCAGTGGGATGTATAAAGGGTAGAAAGCATGATGGAGTTAGGATAGAGTTATGATGAGGACATCTGGTAATTGTAAAACTCTATTAGATGGCATAGTTTTTTTTTATAATATTCACAGGTACACTAAAACAACCATGGTTGGTCCATGCCGAGTCCACAGGCTCTTTGGGAATGTTGGTTGTGTAAATGGTGTTAAGAAGATTAAAGAGTGAAATTGAAAATATTGGTTGGCCAAGCCAAAAAGATGTTCATTATCCTAAATTTATAACAGGCCACCAGCAACTGGGCAAAGTTGTGCACAAGATTGGGTTGCAAGTGGAGCCTTGCTTTTGCTCATCATTGTAATTTTTATCGGCATTCTTGAATCATTACAAGTTATGTTTTGTATGTGTTATAAAATACACCGAGCCTTTATTCAGGCACATTATCTCAAAAATTATCTGTCATCAAAGCATTGACTCAATGTTATTCTCTTGAGCTGCAATTTAATCCTGCTCTTTATTTAAAATTAAAACTTAAAAACAACTAAAACCTGGGGGGGATTTGAAAAGCGGTCAGATGTCATGCTGTCAAAACCATACATCTGAAAAATGAAAATTGTTGAAAACCAAACGTCTGCCAACCGAAAATTATCCAGAGGCGCAGAAACTATTGTAGACCAGTGATTATAACAATAACTGTGAGATATATTTTTTATCTTTGAAACTTTGACACCAAAAAGGTTCGCGAATAGTGAAGCAATCTGACAATGTTCTACGTAACTGCTTAACGGAGTGTGCATTCTTTCCACTGGATTCATGCCCATTAACCGCACTTGTCTCGTGACTTGTAGCCGAAAAAACAAAGCAATGCAATCTGTGCTACATCTGAAAAACTTTTAGAACTAAACATGGTCACAGCATCGGCACCGTTAAAAAAGGTGTATTCAAACATTTATCTAAAAAAGGATTAAACAACAGCGATGGTCTGGAAATGAAAGATAAATCTGTTCTAGCTAGTAAGTATTATCAGCCATTTCAAAGTATACGACGGAAAAACCTCACCTCTATAGAAAGACATTTGGATCACTAATGATAAACACTGTATTGTCTTCCGTCAATTTTTATTACGCTCTGTGGCGAAGATATTTTAGCCTCTGCATGTTATGTTCAGTTTGTACGGCACCACGCATGATTAAAAACTAGAGTTACCTGTTAAAAAGTTACTGTTAGATAGAAAACTACTGAATGTAATGATATAGGTAAAGTAAATTACATGAAACTTCTTCAGGATGATCAACTATATACTCAAATATAGTTTCGTCGATATTTAAGAGGGCATCTAACACTGATGATCGATTAAGGTTTTCTCGCAACGAGACTTGGTCCTCTCCAAGTAAATTCAACTGACAGAAAGTTAGCAAGGACGCAAACGTGTAATCGGGAATGCGAGGACTTGTTTGACATCAGAAATCAGAATTGTTTGAGCTTGAAACAATTTGTTGTCTGCCCAGTCTCCAATTAACTTTTGGCAAAACTTTTTCTTACCAATTCCTGCCCTCCCAGCGACAAGAACAAATTTGGGATTCGTTTCTTCATCTCTATCGGTATCAGTAAAGAAAATAATTTCTTCACAGTGTTTCACTGGCTCTCCACTTACTTGACCGTACTGGCGAAGGTGTTCTTTGCGTCTCATACCAAGGTATTCAAACGGTTCCCTGCCGTAATGGCGAAGGTTTTCATTTCCTCTCATACCAGGGTATTTAACTGGCTTTCTGCTGAAATTTTGAAGTATTTCTTTTCTTCCCTTATCAAAGAATTTTTTCTGATGGGCGAAATGGCAAAGGTGTTCTCTTCTTCTCGTATCAAGGTAGTCAGCTGGTTTTCTGCCATGTTGTATGTGTAGAGTTGGGAATATGTGATCTGTTTTTACTCTTGAGAAGGTGGCAGAAGTTAGAGGGTGGAACTCAGTTTGGCTTTTTATAGCTTCTTTTGAAGCGTTTCTGTATGCCTCCACAACTGAAAGAAAAAAACATATCTCTAACAAATAGGAAAGCCTTTACTGTGCTCTGTTTTGTGGTAAAGCAAGCAGGAATGGGCTTGAACACGTAAGAAGAGCAGGATGAAACACGAGACGTAGTCGAGTGTTTCTCTCTACTTTTTAAGTGCTCTAGCCGCTTACTTAGTGCTTTACAGCAGAACAGAGCAAAGTCAAGGCTTGTCTATTTGTTTTACAATAAAGAATCCTTTAAATTCCCCACGCACTACTTTCAATTTTTAAAGCAAACTTTATTTCCAGGGTGAACAACAGTGTCGTCGAGTGTTCTTAAAAATTCCTAAGTGCTTATAGAACTCAACAATGCACGAGGAACAAGCTTCTTTATTTCTTTTATATGTATCGCGAATTACGCGCGCTCGTACCGATGACGTAAGCTGCGTGCATTATATCTCAAAAGTGCATTCGTGTGACGTAAGGCGCGCGCTTTATGGAAATATAATGAACTCGTTCTGACCGATCACGGCGCGCGCATTTCTCTGAACATTTTATAAACTCTCATAGAGCAAGTTCCAATAAGCCAATCAGAATCCTTGTTATAATGGTTCATATAATCTGATTTGTTCAATAAGACTAAAGATAGAGAATGATGTTTTTCCGTCTTGTCACGAGTGTGGGACAAAGAAGTCCTCACGAGGAATCGAACCTCAGATTTTCGGATTCCGATGCTCTACCACTGTGCCACAGAGACTCCACGGTGTGCGAGGTCTGTTACGAAGTTCATATGACACGCGTTCTGCATACTGCTAGGATCAGCAATGTCGAAAGCGTAATGTTTGAAGATAGAAATAAGAGAGATGGTAAATTTTGATCTCGGTAAAGAAATAGAGAAAGATGTTTTTCGTCTTGACACGAGCGTGGGACAAATATTTTTCTTTGTCCCACGCTCGTGATGTCAAAAATAGTAGAAAACAAACTGCTCAAGGCGTATGGACGAACGATAGCTGAATTCTCAAGAACATAAAGATTTTTCGGGATGACAGCGCCTTAAAACTCGGCTGTTTTTACTGATGTAGCTTCCACACAACACATCGGAAAGGATATCAGATCAAGCTATTAGTTATTCACACTTAGGGCGGCCGATGTAATTTCTTAGGCTTGCTTCACTGCGATGATCGGAGAGCTAACAGCGATGGTCCTTAGGATAATCACAGTCGCACTGACACCGTCATGATAAGTATGAATTTTGACAGTTATGCCAGTTTGGCTATATTTTAAATCATTCCTGTTTTGTTCTGTTTTAGCTCATCTCTATGTTTTGTACTCTGATAGCGCACGCTCTTTCAACCGATGACAGCGCGCGTTATATATCCGAACTTTATTATAAATACTGCTTTAGAATTCTGAAGATGCTTAATCTAATCATGGCATAATCATAAACCGTCCGTTACGATTTCGTGCAACTACTTGATCTATTTGTTTTAAACTCCCGAAAAGGAAAAAAATACTTTGGTTTTGACTCGACAAAGTAAAGTATTTTTCCTCTTTAAATCTTCGATTCCATGTCGATTCTACGGAAAGATACCCAACCCCAGGGCATTTAAAAACGTGCTTTCTACTCGAAAGATTAATGTTAGGAATGAGGGATTTTAGACATTTTACAGCAGGGGCTTAGTGTCAATAGGTTTGGAGAAGATTGAAAATATATGGGAAAGTTTGCTGCTACTCAGAACAAGTCCAGTTAAGGCCTTAAAATCTTCAGGGATCAGCCAAGTGATAATGACAACGGACGAAGAGCAACACACTCAGTTACCTTCAATTCCTATTTTCTTTTCACGTTTAGGGACCATGGCGTCTTTCCATGCATCCAGTTTGCCAACAATCTCATCCAATTTCTCCTTGATGCCGACGCGGGAGAGTGATTGTCTTAGCACGTGCAGATCTCCTCTGATTTCATCCAATCTTTCCTTGACGCTTTTTTCATCCATCACCCACTGTTTAAGAAGCTCTCTGTAGTGTTCTTCGAAATCAGGGTCCATGCATTCCCTTTTCAGATCATCAATAGCACTTTGGTAACCAGCTCCTCCCAGTCTGACTATTGCTTCTTGGATGTCTTTCCAGTATTGATTGAATGTTGCATCATCAACTAACGCCTCGCTGGCATGACCATAAACTGTGTTTCTGAAATACTTGATGCGCGCAATGTCTGCCTCAAGGGTTGTGTCTGCTGCAGGAGGAAGTGCATCCCAGCCGGTGACTGGAGGAACAAGACTACAAATGTTCCTCAGTAAAACCATCAATAAGGTAATGTCGAAATGCTGAGATGAAACTGAAGATTTGATGGCAGGGTATAGTTTTCCCCATTGTGATGGATTAAGCACTTTTTTTCTCCTGAGTAATTGTAGTACGGCATGAACAGGGTGACTTGATAATACCGTGTCCAAACTTCCCTTTGGACGCTTCTTCTCAAATGTCTCTCTCAGGACATGTGTACTGACATCCGCCAGAAGCCTGCATAGCCGAGCGTAATTAGTTGTCTCTGTGGTTGAAACAAAACATGGTGCCGCAACAGAAGCCATGAAGAATCGTTCCTTTGATAATAAAAGAAGAAAAACCCATCACTTTTCATAGAACACGTGCAAGAAGCCATGGATTGGAAAAACACGTTCCTTTGGGTTAAATTGGAAAGAGCTTGCCACTCCAATCTAAATGCTCAAATCTTGAGTGAGAAGCATGAATTTTTTTTTTTATATTTATTTATGAAAAAAATTGTAACCTCAATAGTAGTCTTCTTAGTATCCTTTGGCAAAACGTAGAAGTGTGCACCGAGCTAGAGTCACGTGAACGCATGGGATGAAAGGCAGCAACTCCGTTGACACTGACTCATCTGCCGTTTAGGCTGAAATGAAACGGAAAAGATTGCCAGGCGGGCTATGCGCTTCGTCAACTGTCAATCGAGAACTCTCTAAACTGGGCGGTCCCTGAACTGGCTTGCCCTGCAGAACTCACTCGTGGCAAGCGCAAGGCAAGGGCGAAGAGTGAGAAACACGCGAGAAGAGGAGTGCGCCTCCTCCCCTTTCGCGTATCTTACCCATCGTGCACGCCTCTCGCTTGCTTCCGTTCGCCGGAAAACCGACAGAAGATGCAAGATTGAAGTCTTATCGTGTTCCGCATGAGTCTATGGTCTCGAGTTTCTCTGCCCCTTCCGACGGGTGAATTTTTGATTAAAAACATTGATTGAAATGTTGAGGGAAATTATTCGATTGATTTTTTCAATCTATTCAGTCTGAAGTAGAAACAAAACTAAAGCAAAATTGTGATATGACTTTAACCACAGCAGCTCACCGTTGCGAAAATGACTTGACAACGCGTGTAAATATTGAATGATTATAAGTCCTCCTTTCTTAATTAATTATACAAAGAAATTGTTAATACTCGACAAAATCACAGGAGTGCCTTCGTTTACAATCGAGAAAGTTCCAGTGGATACAGTTCAATATTCAAAACTCAGAGTATTCTTATTACACAATAGGTACTGCATACGGTTTCTATATGCTACAGCGGCCACTGCGTTGAAAACTGAATTCGAGGTCTCGAAAATTCCCTCAGCTGGTGCGGAAAAAGAAACAGTTAAAAGAAAGGATAGGGATACGAGCGATCCAACTCCCCTCTGAAATAAGGTGTTACTTGAAAAATGTAGAGGGCTTACTTCAAAAGGGCTGACGGTCAGACCAATCACTCATCGGGTTTTTGCTTGGCTGTTTTCTCAGACACATTGTGTTCCGCAACAAGATGTTACCCTCTCTCAAGCATTATCCAGGATCGGATGGCGACGCATACTGTCACCATCAACTGCGATACATGTTAGATATTAAAGTTTCTTCCTTTATGCAATAAACACATGAATTGTTGCTAGGCGATGTGCCAAACAAAATCTTTCAGGTGTGGTTCAGAGATGTTTCCTTTCGAAATCCTCATCTTTCCAACCACTGCATTCAATTGGTGTCATTCAAGACTAAATATATATTTACACGAAAGGGCTATAAATAGATAAAAAATGTACGTTCTTTATTTTTGGCAAACAGCAATACGAGAGTAATGCGCCTCCAAATTTCATATTTACACTGAGAATTCTAACAGAGATCTGTATTCATTAGAGTGATGGGCGATTTAAGTCTCTCACATTTAAAGCTTGTGATAATTTGGCGTTTATTAGATAGATATTGATTTTAGCACACACTTTCCCTATGACGAATATTGTGTAAAATCGTGATTTATGCCAGAAAGTAGACGAGGAAGTCCTTGGCAAGTGATGTTGTCACGCGATACCGACACGCGAGATTGTCATGCAAGATCGCGCCCGTACACAATTCATGACGATTGTGTGGGACTGTAAAGAAAAGCAGCATTTCTTTCAAACCTCATTCAGCTTTTCGAAAAATTTACATGGAAACGTAAAGTCTACTCGCACATTCTGACGGAAAAATGATTGGTCTGCGAAGGTGGGAAATTATCTTTGTATCGGTCAGTAAATGAATAAGAAGAGTTGTTTAGATTACAAGGAAAGCATTTAACCTCGAAAGGAACTTACTCATGTACACAATAGGTCCCGATTTTTCATTCGAACCATTTAGGCATACTAGGGCCAGTATTTCATGAAACCATTGACAGATACGCGATGGAAGGAGAGGCGAAGCGGAGTGAATAATTAAATGATGTTCTCCTGTTGTCAATCGTTTCCGCATCGATGGTTCAGCGACTCGACTCAATAATGATGTTATCTGGAGGTTGCTTCGCCATTTAAGTATGTTCTATAAAATTGAACGTAAGGGACTTTCATTTGTCGAAAGTATTGCGTTTATTGTGATTTATGCTATCTTTCATACTTTTTTTTCACACGTGCTTAGTATCAATAAGGATTTTATTTTTAGAGCAATGACCCGAGTAGGACGCGAACTTGTTTAAAACATGTAACACAAAGACTTCCAACATACATAAATTAAAGTGCATTCATTTCCTTCAAAGACAGTTTTGGTTGGTCTTCTTTCGTCTTTAATCAGGTATTTTCACATACCAGCCATTTTGATCGATGTAAGTACCTTTTTCCGGTTTTATCGCTTTTCTTAACAAGCTTTGAGAGTGAAATCGGGAGCAGTCGATGACGTTTTGTCAAAAAATTTGCATCTTCATTTTCAGGGAAGAGTTAAACGATTTAGACTCACTACAAATTTTATTTTAATTTACCCAAGACGGCTTGGGGAAAATATTTTTTCCAGTTTTAGTTTCATGCCGTTGTGTTCCTCGTTTTCATATATCGATCCTTCTCGAAAACTTAGCGACACAGTTTTATTGGTTCTCTGAAAACATTCCTACCGGAGTTGGCATGATATCACTAAAGCGCTCTGAAAACGGGGCTGAAAAATTGAAAGTTTACACTTAGAGACTGTTATCTAAATCTCTCCGTTTGTAATAATGAACAATTTTATTTTCCACCCAAATGAGGAGAAAAACGCCAACATCATCGACGATAAAAAAGAATTATTTTCGTGTAAAACATATTTACCGCTGACCAACAAATTGCCTGACTTATCGACTAAAGCTAAAAGTGGTGCCCTCAATAGTAATATTTATTTACTAGCCTCCCGCATAAGTTCGAAATCAATAAAAATTATGATAATGATGATGATTATTATTATTAAAACACGAAGAGTATGAAAAGAGCAAAGAAATTTATTTTCTTGCATTTTGTTTTGACCTCATTTAAATGAAACAACACAACAGCAACAACCACCATTAATTAAGTCGTTCACATCCTACTAATATCAAGTACTCAATCTCAACGTGAAATGTCTAATTCAAAACTTCACAGGTGTTTTTTTTTTTCAATTTAGATGGGTTCAAAGCCTTGTTAAACGTTTTTTATTTCCTTTACTAGATCATCATGGCAAGAAAGACCACTGCTAAACTACTATTATTGTTGATGACCACTGATGTACTTCTTATTTCCTTCACTCAGTCTACTCCGTGGTGGTCGAGAAGACGCCGATGTAAATCGTCCAGACCATCGATACGTGGTGTCATATGGGTAAATTATTGGCAACACGACTTCCCCACAGTTCACTGCAAAAAAAGTAAGTCTCTGTGATGATTACATGCGATTTTGCGAAAAAAGTAAAAACAACTACAGAAAATTCCTATTCTCATAGCCGGTAAACCACCGATCCAATAAACACTTCCGCTAGTGCGACCTTACAGTGAGACGCTTCTAAGTTTTCACTGAAAGTTACTCCCACGTTATACGGCGAAAAATCACCAGAGAAATATAAAATAAAGCTAAAGGGAAAACAAGGGGAGATAAGGCGCAGAAAACCGGTCAGATTGCGTTCTTCAGCACGTTTCTAAAAATGCCAGACACATTTAACACGCCGGTAAGGGGAATACCTAAAAACTCAGAATTCGTAGTAGATTTTGGCCTGTGAAAGCCGGCATCAGTCTCAAATTAATAAAAATGCGTGGAAGCGAAAATGGTAGATGAAGAAAGAAAACATTCACTTTTTTCTCAATTCTACCTTTAACTGAAAATTAGCATACGAAAATAAAATTGCTTCTTTTCAGGTTTCTCTCTGAGAAAATGGTACAGTCGGCACCGAACTTGCAAGAAAGATCGCATCTTTTCGTTTGCATGTGGATACGGTCCAGTTGCCTACAACAGAAAAGATTGTGTAGGGAAAAACCATCTTGTCAACAATTATGACAAACCAGTGGACTTTGAGTGCAAACGGAACAGCTTTATCATCGGAGTCGGAAGTGAATACAGCCATCGGCACGCAGATCGCAGGTGCTTTTATCACTTACCAGGATACTTCATAGCAACTTTTTCTAAAAGTAATTTTCACTTGCTTGCTGAGTTGCAGAAAAGAAGCCTGATAATATATTCAGGTTTCGACGGGATTCGAACCCAGTCCTCCTAGATACCAGCTGAGCGCTATTATCAACTGAGCTATGAAATCACACACTATCGCTCTGACGAAGGGCTAACGCTCGAAACGTCAGCTTTTTTACTCTTTACGGTGGCTAATTTACGTTTTCAACCCAGTTGTTAACACTAAATTACCTGCTATACTCTCCCACCGACGCAGCACCACAGTTTCTTTAGAAACTTACCCCTTCATTCATATGAAATCACACATTGAGAAAGACGTCAGACTTAAACGGTTATATTTGTACCTTCTTTTAAAATTTTTATGCATCAATACAAACCCTATTTTATTATAAAAATTCATGATAAAAATGGCGTCTTGTGAATCCCAATCTCAACTTAGCTTTTTAAGGTCCGAATCAATTGATAATTTCATGGCAACCCCAATTCCTTGAAATCACCTGTAATCTTAATTTTATGGCCTTACAGCTCAAAAGTGATTTCGGTGACAGCCATCGTTATCATCAAATGAAATCAGCACATTACTCTTATTTCAGCAGAATTCCTTTTCCAAATGCTAACGTTAGTTCACAACCACTTTAGTTTTTTGATGATTGAACCAGACCACTGACTCCAACAAAAACTCAAAAATAGTGATTCATTGCTGCGCCTGTGTGACGTCATTTCTACTTTTTATTGGCTCAACAATTACCCATGAGCGTGCGTTGGATATGAGATAATAAATGGCCAACGAGGTGCGTGGCGCCGAGTTGGCTTTAACCAATCTCGTATCCAACAAGTGCTAATGGAATAGTTATTTTGTTAATTTTATTTAACCCTGAACGTTTGAATATTTTCAGCAAAAATTATCGGCTTTCTACACTTCGCAATGCATTTTTGTACGTGGTGACTCCGAATATTAGCTGTTAACAGAATTTAGTGAACCAATCAGAACACTAGGAATCTTATATCCGGAGTTGAAAATTTAATGATGATAAGTAAACAACATAGTGATTATGACCTCGTCTTCCCGTGCTTTTAGGTTAAGTCGAGATTTCAGTGTCTTCTGTTGTGAAGAAGTTAGTTCTTTTGCCTTTAGTTCTTTTGAACAGTTCAATTAAGTACTTTTAAGATTACGTATCGATAATTGGTTAACAGAACAGCGTTCAGATTAAGAATAAACTTTCAAGAGTCTCGTCCAGCTTCCTCAAGACTGAAAAACAAAGTAATCTCATATTTTTTTAAGAAGAGTGCTACTTTTCTCCCCCTCCAACTTAAGTTGTTTTTTCCTTTCTTTTTTGTTCAGGTTTAAGTTTCTTTGTTGTCCCGCGAGAGGTTTCGTTGCTCATTCGTGTAAGACAACAAAGTATCAAAATCAATGGAAAGGGGATTTGGACTACTTGGTCCCATCTGGGTACTTTTTGGTCGGAGTTTACAGTGAACATAACAACTCCCACGAGTAAGTTATTGCTCTCGGTTGATTCAGATATACTAAATTCATGTTTAAAGATAAAATCAGCGATAATTGGTAGCACTGATTATAAAGGAGTCATTAGCGGTTCATCTAAACAGTGGTTTTTTCCAGCGTTGGGAAGAGCAAGTTATCACAACTGATTCATCTCTGCTTTCCCTCAATTTTTAAGGACTAATGCACGCCTTAAAGACCGGACACATAGGACGAGCCGCACTTGGAAAGTAGTGCTGATACTATGATCGAATCCCGTTAACTAGTGTTCCGTTTTCACTCGACTTCTCTTTAATTAAATTTGATCAAAAATGTATACTGTATGAAAAGAAAAACGTTTTTCCATTTACTTTCGGTCCTTTGTTTACAACTGCCGGATAACTCGAACCTTTCTCAATTTACCTTGAAGGTTCGAGTTATCGGAATTCGACTGTACATGTTCTGCTTTCTAATGGCCGGCAAAATTCACGGTTTATGCGAAATAAAAACCATTGTGAGGAACTCTCGGTAAACTATACCAATACTTAAGAGTAAATGTAACAAGGGAAAAAATGAAAAATTCGAATAACTGAAAGAGGATGGCAGCTAGAGAAGTAACGGGGTAAATAAACAATTTTGGATTCTGAGTAACTTTTGTGCATACTGAAACGTCTGTCATCAGAATTCTCTCTGCAAAAATGAATAAGACGGAAATTTTGCCCGGGATTCTCAGGGGAAAAGCAAAGTGTGGAATAGAACGAACAGAAGTCGAGGAATTGAATAAAAAATACGGTTTTATTTCTACAGACCTCTCACCTGTATTGAGCATTCAGCAAAAGACCATTGGCTAAGCGGAAAAAATCCTCCAACCTACATAGTTTTACGATGAGTTTTAAAACTTGTGACATTAATATGTGGGGCAATTCAGTAGGAGAGTGTTGAAGGTTTTTTGTAATAGTATTATTTTTCATTTTTATTTCAGGGATCGCCGCTGGAAATTTGACATTTGTAAATTCAGCAAGAAAAGAGGATAACTGAGAACAGATGCATGACAGTAATTAACATTATCGTTCTTACAGAAGCTACACATAGAATTAGGTATCAGAAAGTAAGGGTAGAGAGGTGAAGATTATAAGTTGTTGTACCGCGACGCGGAAGTAAACATGTCGCCTTGAATAAAAGGTGAAAGTTTCCAAAGAAAATGTGGTGCTGCGTGCATCTGTGGTAGAGTATAGCAGGGGAATTTGGTATTATCAACTGAGTTGATTTGGTAAATCGGCCGCCGTTAAGAGTTTAAAAGCTCACGTTTCGAGTGTTAGCCCTGCGTCAGAGCGAACGACGAACAGCTAACGCTCGAAACGTCAGCTTTGAAACTCTTCACAGTGGCCAATTTACGATATCAACTCAGTTAATAATACCAAATTACCTTGAAATTTTATCGACTTGGACAAGGTTCTTGCTACGTAAAAGAGGTCACGGTTATTTTGCTGATATGATGCTTCCAGAGAAGGACGAAATGCATTGTAGAGTAACCATATAAACTGCTGATGCAAAAATTGCACGACTTCTTGACTATAAAATTGGCATATATTTTCCAGCTTTGAAGTCTTGGTTTCTATTTTTGCGCCAGTATTGCTCGTCAGTTCCTTTTAAAGCTATCAGTCGTGACACGACTAATAGCTTTAAAAGGTACTGGTCCATCGTATATGACTCCCAGATATTCTGCCAACGAAGCCTCAACACCCAACATTTCCTGCCTTTTTCAGAGCATGTGTTAATTGTAGTGTAAATACTTGGTTCTCAGTGCCCAATGGCTTTCGTACTCTATGCCCATCAATTCATGATCAGAGATAGAGCGCTTTTCTATTGACTGTCGTAAAAGCAAACCCAAAGTTATAACAGAGATCAATCAAAAGAAAGGCAAATGTCCTTAGGAACCAATAAGAACTTGAACTGAAATCAAACAAACTGTCCAAAGAGCGGGAAAACGCGCACGACCCAGTCGAGATTGGTTTTGGTTTTGTATCTGCATGACTGATTGAGAGAGTGGCGCGAGTTTTCAGAGCAAAGTGAAGTAAAACCAATGCAAGCTCAAATCACCTTTGATATCCAATTGAAAATTTGTCTAGTAAGAAAGCACTCCTTTTCGTCAAGATTAGCTTTTTACAAAACCACTACGAATAAATTATTTGCACGCAAGAGAATTTTAGGTGGTGAACTCTCTAATGATCTCGGTGTGTAAATCTCGAGCGCTCGGTCTGATATCAGTCCTGTTTTCTTCTGCAATTTCGAGTCGCACGGGTTTACTCAACTTTTCGCGTCCCTGGTTTTCAGACAAAGAGTAAGATTAATTAAGGTAGAATTAAAGAAACACTTTGATTTCTGTTATATAATGTTCTTAATCCAAACAATCATTGTTAATAGCGTTTATCGCCACATTATCGAACTTAATCGATTAAAATACCGACACAACAATTTGCATAACTAATGAATTCTTTTCATCAAACGCCAAGCGGGAAACGTGACTTAAAGAGCGCCCTTTGGAATAGAGTTGGGCAATCGGCACGATTTTCAGTAACAGGAAGCTTACTCGGGCACGCGTGAAGTTGGGAAGAACGATCTTTTTGCGAGAATCTTCGGGGTAAAAATCCTAGCCATAAGCCAGGAAACATGAAGATGAATTAAAGACAGGCTTGAGTTGTTCAAACGGTTCAAAGCTCTTTAGACTTAGTGAAGAAACCGAGCCATGACAACGGGCATACACTTTGGTTTGCAGTGTCATAAAGGCTTAGGGATGAACCCTCCTCCCTGAGCCGACCTGTCCAACATGATTTCGCTTGAAAAACGTACGATTAAAGCGGTTGGATTAAAATGAGCAAAATATATTTTTGGAATAAATCCTGTGAAGTAAATTGTCGGAAATCAACTAATCAAGCGGATGCATGTTTTCGATCGTATTTTCCTGAACTGCATTGAAATATTCTTGATATAGCAAGCTCAGCTTGCAGGAAAAAAAATGTAGCGATCCATGCAAAATGTTAGGGGCCAACAAAAAGCTTTGATCTGTTCAAAATATAATTATTTTAACAAGAAAAGGCAAGAGAAAACATTGGGATACAGGGAGTGTCAATGGATTTGGAAAGGTTGCCAATGATGGATGATGTATGCTTCGGGTAGATTTATGAAAGCTAACATTCCACGCCACTCAGAGAGTTTTATTTCATATTAACGAGGAATTACAGGAGGGAAGTTACTAATAGCAATAGAACTGACGTCGAGAGTTCTGTTTTCAAATGGTTCTTTGTGAAAAAGGCACAAGTGATTGAGACAGGACGGCTGTGGAGATCGGAACCCTTGAAAATCAAATCAAGAAATCAACCGTAAAGCACTGATTTTTCTTTTGAGTTTTTTGTGGTTTATTTTACAACGAATATCAGGGAACCAAGAAAGCACCAACTTGATTGTTAGATTGTGTTTTATGAACGTGGCAACCTCCGGCATTCAAAAGTTAAAAACTTCTTAATCCACTATGTGCCATGGATGCGGTATTTTGCCTCCTAACTGTGACGTTAAGTTTTTTTCTTTTAAAGTTTTTTTTAAAGACTTTTCCCCTAATACCCTTGAGTTTTTTTTTACTTTACAGATAAATCGAAACTGGGGTATTTCAAACTTCCTAGCTTCAGTCTACATTTAGGTGTGATTTCTACTAGTCGTACGTGACGTCGGTTGGTTGCACAATGCCCGTGACCACATCATCCCCTCCAGGGAAAAATTTTTCATTTAGTTAAATTGGTTGATCTTGGACGAATCCTCGTGAAATCATCTTTTATTCAGGAGACTGGGTGCATCGCAAAACTTCCGGAATCGTGCAAGGTGCCTTCGTGTTTGACGTTCTCTCTTGGAATTAATTTCAGGATTCATTCAGCTCTTTGAATATGTTTGAAAGAAGACATTTTGTTATGTCGCCTCGGGCTGTTTTACTTAGCTTGAAACCTGCCACGTTCTATTGAACCGCGGCTCGCTTTATTTGCTTAACAAAAGACCGTAATTAACCTCTTCTCGTGGTCTGTGACGTTGCTTCCCATGTTTATAAAAGAAACTGCATATCAAAGTTCAGATCATTAAGAACATTGATTAACAGCTACCGGACGTGAAGGTACATTGTATCGAAAGAGATTTTAACTTTGAGAAAGTTTACGCCGCTTTAAGGCGCGAATCTAGGCAGTCATGCCGCGGAAAGTATTATTATTTTTGTGGTGTATTGCATCAGGTAAGCTAAAGGCCAAAGAGCACCTTTCTGCATACTTGTATTTCGCAAATATTTGCCTGACCCGCTTTTAAATGTAGGGTTAATTGATCGCCTTCTCCTGTTCTGTTTAGGTGTCGTGTTTTCGTCCGGGGCAGGTATGTGTAGTTTGCATTTCCTTCATATTCTTGATTTGTCTACATTCCAAACTAATACATCGAGCGCACAGGAATTTCTGTTTATTGACAGGAAGCTACTGAAGCATAATTTGCGCAGCTTAATATGTAAGTCTTAGGTCATGCATGTTTCAGTCACAGCAAACAAATTTTAATGCTTTGCTTAATTGCGCTTAACCCCTCTCTCGAACGTGTTTAGCGGTTTTCCACCCACCTTGTTAAGTAAAGGGAACGTGAAAATTCTTTGTAGTTAAAATGATGTTAATTTTCCTACTTTTGTCCTTCATGTTCGGCATCCAGATGAAATACAAATTGTCTCACAAAACTGCTTTCATCAAAATTTCAGACACAGGAACAAACTGCACATGACAGCATTCTGAAATCCACAACTAGTACTACAATTTACCAAAGCTTTCGATGCAATTTATCATCGATGATTCGTTATGAACGGAAACCTCTCAGCTTTCACACAACTTGTAAACGAACGAGCTTTAAATTGCGTTAAAGTTAGCTGAACATAATTGGTTTTAATGTTTATAAAAAAGTGTTTCGATAATTTTTCGACCGTGAAGCTGCTAAAAAGAGTAACATTAAATCTGTTCTTATTTAAGCTTTCAGATTCACCAAAACAGGGTCCGATATCTCTGTTTGTAAAAAAAAATTATGTTGCACTCAAATAACCGAGTTTTCTTTTTATCAAACTGCCTGGCGGTTTCGGTTTTGCAGAAAGACCAGACGTTTTCACAACACGCTTTGTGATTGCACTACGTTATTACACAAAGATTGAAAGATTAGGTTTTAAAACAAAGCAAGAACTTATCGTTCGCAATGATTTTTAAATCCTTTACCTGTGTTCAGTGTGAAAGATTGCAAATCATCGTTTTCACGTTTCTCTTTCAGAATATGCATGTGGTAAATCAAACTTTGATTTACAAAGTGACGGTCGTTTAGTACCGCATATTTTATCGAATTCCATGGCGTAGTGACCATATCTCACCAATTCGACACCAATTTCTTTAACTAAAAAAAAATTAGGACATAAAGTACCACGAACTATTCTTGAATCATCTTTTACGCAAAAATAAGATTGCAGGAACAAAGAAGAGATGATGTTTCGAAGGTTGTTATGCGACGCGCATGAAAAGTTCTTCTCTCTTTCTTGGACACTTTTCTGGAAATTTCCTTTGTCTGTCATGTTTAACTGAGAATTAATTAGAAAAAACTGCCTTCGGCCAGAAATTCTTCCCTTCTTAGGAAACTTTTTTCGCTCTCTACATCAAAGACGTAACGGTTTACTGAGGTGCGAATCAATCCTCAGATGACTTTTTTCTTCAAGGAAAGCCCCAACTATGTTATTCCATCAGCAGCTTATTTTTAACTCCTTTTCGTCTCTTAGGTCCAAAACTTTTCAAAAGAAGTTATAATACCTTAATTTTACTCTAATAGATAAGTAATTAGCTACCAACAACGGTGTTTACAACTGGTGAAGTTGGCCAATATCAGTTCTTGAACAAACTTCCCAATACATGCTCTTGGTGAGTGTTTCGGCACGAGGACAGAGAAAATCCGCTCTTACACCGACAAATGTTTTCAAGACGAGAGATAATGATCTCTTGTTCAAGACTAAAATTTTTTTTGCCGTTACATTCGCAATGGCAAACTGTCAGTATCGCTTGTCAAGCTCAAAATTTCTTGAATTAAATTCTCATGAGCCTTGGAGAGGTGTTGCTGTAAAGTCATCTGCACTTGCAAATGCTGTGCGTAACAAATTTTTCTTCGACTAACATGGTCGAGAATACGCATGTCAGTGTTCAAAGGGGCATTATATTTTTCCGCTACCAGCCCAGCAATATGTGAAAGGGAGTAGTAATCACGGAGAACGTGGCGATAGACTGTAACTCAGTAATAAGGAAACACATCTGCTCTGCTCATAAAACGGGAGAAACGCTAGAAGCAATAGAATCTGTAATTTATCGTATTCTGTTTGGAAAAGTGACAAAATTCGCCCAATTTATGTTAAGAGCAAGTTTTGACGGAATAAACCGGAAGACAGTCGCAAATTCCAGATAGAAATAGTTATAGGAAGAATTATTTTTACCGCATATTTTTTTTGTGAAGTGCCGGGAGTGCATTAAAGACATTGAAAATTAAAGTTATTTTCGATTGCTTCTGTTTGGTACCCTATCAAAGTATATTTTTTCAATAAAGCATCGTTCTTCTATTCTTAATTTGCAAACTGCCCCTTGATTTTCTTTGTATCCATCAAAGTTTCCCGATAACAGCACATTTCCAAAGTTGAAACTTTTATTTTGGGGAGATGTTTTCACTTTCAAATATTCAATGTTATGAAAATATAACCTCCCGCGACATTTTATTGTACCAAGCGTCTAAAAGAATCTTCGAAAATAGTCAAAACTCGGAAAGGGAACAAAGGTTTCTTTGAAAGGGTGAGAATTATCTTGCAGAGAATTGTTTGATATCAAAATGCGCTTTGACGTAACAGCAAGATATTAACATGTTGGAGATTGGATTTTTCGAATAATTTTCATCGTTAGCACACGACGTCCCTTTTTAAATATGAATGGCTTTGGCAAGATCCTACTGCCAGCGGGTATGCTGCAAGAAAACATAAAAAATAAGAAACTAACGGATAAAAATTAAAGAAGATTTTGTGAGTTCTTAAGTAATTAAAAAATCATTGTGTTTTGGTTAACTCTCGTTTGCCTTTAACTTTAAGCAGCCATAAAGAGTAAGCCAAATCTTATTAGCAAACGCATAAATTTAAGAAATAAGGCCTCTTAAAACAGTAGGACTTAAGCTGTGTTTACCGCGCAAAGGAATATAGACTAAGTCTATCGTAGAAAAATTAACATTTGAACTTTTTGGCTCGAAATTTGTTTTTTCAACTAGCGATGGACACAACTATGTGCGTCTTGTCAATTTTGAGCCGAACATGTCATCATATTGCGAATGGGAAGCGCGCATCGAAACCTCTCAAGTAACCACGAATCATGACAGTTAAAATTTTCGGAGAAGGGTAATTTTTTTCTAGATAAAGAGTTGTATCACTTTGAAAGGCAAGTAAACCCCGTTAGTGATCGGCGACCTTTCGAAATTTGTCGTTCTTCGAAGAATTCCAGACGACAGAATCACCATCTTTTTCGAAACTCACTACGGCATAGAGCATCGGTTCACTGTAGGTGTGAGCTTTACACTGTGAGCTTTACACGTAGCCAAGTGGCAGGTCAGAAAATTGGGTAGAAACAAAGTCTACCTAGTAACCAGGCTACACACACAGTGATAGACATTGTTGAGTGTCTGCAATCCCGCTGCCAAACCCGTCATGTTTACTGATGTGACTCTTTGAGTAACCCCTGGCCTTGTGATAGCTGTCTACTTTCGTTACTGAAGAACTGTTGCTGTAAAAAGTTCTCATTTTTAACGAAGGTATTAGACAAAGTGCCATCCAAATCTTATCATGTAACGCTTTAGATATCTAGATCACAGACGGTTTGTTTAAAAAAAAGAGCCAAATATAGAAAGTTATCCGCAGCGTGAATCGAGTTTTATTCTTTAGGGGAAGATGTGTTATAAATTTATGAATCAATGTTGCTACGCAACTCTTTTTAAGGTATGCAATAGACGTAAATCACGAGACAAAGACATTTTTCATTCCTGATCTCTTCTTTTATAGAAAAACAATTTGAATAAGGACTATTTTGAATATGTTTGATTGCAGAAGATTTAATAGATTAAATGCATATTTCTTTTAAGCTAAAAGCTCCACTCTTTTTTTCATCAAAAGACTCATGATTCGTCGAATTGTTTCTTAATTCGTCCAGCTGGAGGAGGAGGAGCTCATTAATAAGCGACATCAATGTATTCAACAACTTTTTGTAAATCAGTGAATTACTATCTAATAATATGTGTAAAAAAAACTTTGCCTTTTATCTTAAGGTTGAACTTAAAGCTAACTCATAAACAAGTCACACTGGGGGGTCTTCTCATCTAATTGATCTCAGAGGGTGGTTAGGCTTTTAACACTTGGAGTAATTCATTAGTATATGATTAGTAAACAATTATGACTGCAAAGAGTAAAGTGCAAAATCTTTGGAACTTAATGCTGAGGACGAAAAATGTAATTTGTGATAGTTGTTTTTCATTAGATTGAAAGCGCTAATTAGGAAACAAGTTAAGTTTTGACACTCAAAAGGCGTCACTTTGCGCAAGATTTAATTAAGAGGGTACTGAAGCGAGTAAACTTCTGTTGTCGTATCGTGTTAACCAAAAAAGTCACTCAGTTCAGATCTGTGACCAATTTCAAACTTTCAAACCAGTATGGACAAAAATTGATAGCCTTTAGAGAAGCATACTCCTTACTCCCTTCCCTACCCCTCCCCCCCCGTCTCCTCCACGTTTCCACTAGTGTCACCCCATTATTATTATGTGACCTTGGAAACAGCAGTTTCCAGGGTCAAGTGACTGCAATTAAATTCAGAGAGGAACTAGCGGTCCATTTCAATGATAAGCAACGGAATGGAGTTACCCTCGCACCAAATAAAAACTCAGTTGTTAGAAGTTGTCATAATTTGCCTTTAGAGAGAGAAGAAAACTTAAATCCAAAGAATGCTCGCACATTAGGTTTGTTTCGGGTGGGAGCTATTTTTCACAATGGCCTCCTTATGTTTCTCGAAAGCTCTTCCACTTGAGGAGAACCGTTACATAACAATACTTCTACTTGTTATTCGCTTGTTCTAATTTCGATATCAAATCAAGTTATTTCATCGCTTTCAAAATAGAAAATCATCTTTGCTAAGAAGAAGGACTTCAATGCTCTGAATACATCAACATCGCAAAACGCAGCGTCATCATGTTTACGGAACACCCTCTGCGAAAAATTTTCTGTGTTTATGCATGAATTACACACAAAACTAAGCCGGCACATGGAAAAGCCAGATCTACTCATGAATGTATCACGGATTTATCAGCCGATTTACTGCCGCAGAGCTGAAGAAAAGTTTTTCCATAAATCTGTTAATTTCAAGTGTTTTTTTTAAAGTTTCAAATTCTTTTTTGCTTGTTATACAATATTTGCTTTTAAAAATAATCCAAATTTAGCTCACACAAGCCAAATTTAGCTCACATAAACTCGATAAAGGTCATCGATTTTTCTGCAGGGGTCCACTGAACAAGAAAATGAATAATGCCTAAACCGTTTAGTTTCGGAGCTTTGAAAACATAAGCAACGCGCACTGCAAATCTAAGATCAGTGCAGTGCAATATCGTTTAGTGGGATTTTATTTCACCGAAATACGGCATAAAAACACTGAGTAGACTTCAAATCCAGACGTCCTGGCCTCGCCAAAGTTACACTTCTTGAACTTATACTCATAGATGCTAGAACTAGGCTTCAAATCACCTTTGCTGCTGTTTTTTTTTTATCTTACATAGAAATTTATTTTCAATTTTTCCTGTCATTCTTACCGAATTTTCGTCTCGTGCCAGAAATCGTTATCCTCGCAAATACCGCGTTATCCTCTTGTTATCCTTGCAAACACCGCGTTATCCTCTCGTTATCCTCGCAAACACCTCGTTATCCTCGCTTATTAATGTTTATCTTGCCTACTCATAACTATCGCAACTGCCAAGCGTCAAACCATCGTTACAGTCCTCACATTTCTCTCACACGTCAATTGTCAAACAGCATTGTCGACTGTCAATCAATAATGGCACTTGTTCGTAGTTTTCACTGCATGGTATAAATCATTATAGCATGTCAATAAATAGATCATATTCCTATGCACTGATGAAAAAAAATCAATGAAATTTATGAACCTATCATTTTCATCTGCAGACCCAGTTGTATACAGCATTGAGCCCACTTATGGTAGTCTTGCAGGGGGTACCATGGTCTTTGTACATGGGAGAGGTGCGTAGCTTTATATACATCGAAAATGTCTAGTAATTTCAGCAAGAACAATGTGAATTCAACTTCGAGCCCTCGGTTAATCAACAATTTATGTTTGCTCTTTTTTGCAGGTTTTGCAAATGATCAGTTTAATTTTCATGATCCATTACTGGGAAACAAAATACTGTTCAAATCAGATAAACATCAGGTGGAATGTCATATAACACCTACAGATGTGTCCGAAAAAAGAATTGGCTGCGAGACTGAGTAGGTTATTTCAAATTGTATCGTAGAGTCGTTTTGTAAACGGAGTAAGAGTAGGGTAGTTGAGAATTTCAGATTTGTGATCTTCACTTTCACATATGCCACATAGCGAGCTTATTTTCGAGCGATCGAGTTATTTTATTTTTCCGATCAGTGATTCAAGCCATCAGCAGTGGATTGGTACGGTCAAGGAAAGCCTGGGGCGAGTGACAATAATTTACTTAGGAGGTGATAGAGAGGCATGTTCTCTCCAGGCTTTCTTCTATCTCACAAATCAATATGGCGGCTTCAATCCTTGTTCGAAAATAATATGCCCACTATGCAGGCTAACTTTCACAGACTGACGTCAGTGAGAGAGAGTCAGTTACTATTGTTTAGTCAGTCAGAGGTAGTCAGTCAGTGAGTCATTCACTCAGTGCACGTGAGTCACTCGGTAAGTGACTCATTCAGTCAGTGAGTCATTCAGTCAGTGTATGTATCAGAGAGTTCGTCGATTGATCAGAAGCAAGGCAGCCAGTTAGTTAGTCAGCCAATTAGCTCATTTGGTCACAATTTTTCCTTTTATCCAGACCATCACCAACAGCTACTGATGGTGAATACGAACTGGTGATGTTTGTAAATGGAGTATTGGTAACAAGGTATTGCGGGCGTCGTCAGAAATGCACATTCCAGGTAAAATTTCCTGGTCTCAATTGAGAGCATATTTTAAGAGCTGTGATGGCAATTATAAGTTTAAAAATATATGTAGATGAAAGACCTTTCATTTATTTTTTCAAATTTGGGAAACATTTCCACTTCTCGCGCTGAAATTTGCCCTTACTGCGTGAGGTAACCGAATCCTTGTACCCAAACTGCGCAAGAAATCAAATAACATATTTTATCAACGGCATGTCGAGAATTGCCAGGTTTTCTAGAATTCAAAACCTCTGTTGACAATTTTTTTTTTTTAAGTTAGAAGTACTCCTTGATGTAGTTATAAGCCACTAGAGTAAAATCTATGATGGTAACCAAGTTATAAATTATTAATCGCATCTACCATTTTAACTGTAGTTTTACATATGGAGAACTCCGACCATCGATGATTTCAGTCCTCGGGCTGCAACACCAGGTATATAAAACATAAAAATGTCTAAGTACTTGATCTTTAGATATAAATTGATGATGGTGATGCTGTCATATGATGTATACTAATGAAATGTGGCAAATACGACAAACGACATCAGCAATACTGGAAACGTCTCACTCGAAAATTCCACTTTACTTGAGGCCGAATTCACACCATTGCAATGACAAGTGTGACCTGGAGTTCAACCACATATAGTCACATAATATAAGAGCAATTATTTAAGCGGTTAACACAATAATCTACCACTACTTCTTTGTTGCAAGGAACACCCGTTCAAATCTTTGGAAAAATTCATACCACCCAATTCAGCCGACTTTCTCCTGGATTTTCACCTGATAACAAGGAAATTACAAGGTTAGAGTTTTAACTTTAATTCACACAGATTCTTCTTTCAGCCTTTTTTTCTTTAAACTTGATAAGTGGTGGCCCTCGCTGGCTTAAGGGACTCTGGTATTCACAAACTTATGATAAATCAACGTCATAAAGGTGGTTTTTATGATACTTTTTTGCAGAGTCTACGTTGGTCTTGAATGCAATCCTTTCAACGACGAGACAAACGAATTGTAAGTAGTTGTTATAATCTACCATTGGGGATATCCGATCACAGGGAATGGAAACGCGCAGGCTTACGATATATCCTTTTCCATAGAGTGTTAAAGAAAACCAATTCGTATGTTTTTACACATTTCAGGTTTGGAGCGGAAATAGATGACTGTGGTTGGACTCCGAATTGTCGTGGCTCATTTCAGTGTTTACCGAAAACACGTACTCCTGGTAGGTGAACTTCCTCCGGATCAATATCAGTATCTGGGCAACTGCCCACCTACCCCTCCCCTAACCCAACATTAACCCTAACTTGTTATCAATAGACTGTTGTTTGGTTAGGGGAGGGGTAGGTGGGCAGTTGCCTAGATACTGATATTGATCCCTTCCTCCTACCTCAGGGATCAGTCATTCTTTATCGTCTGAGAAGGATCTCATGCTTTTCAGGGGGAACGGAGAGGGGATTAGTTATCACTGACAAAGAATTAATAGGGGGGGGTGTGGGTATAGTGAATTGATTGCAAGTGACGCAGGGGGGGGGGATCATTAGAATACTACAGAGCCTTAGGGGGATCAGGTCAATTTTATTGCGACACAACCAAAATCCTTCAATCGCCCCAGGTGCCTATATGATGACGGATTCTTCATGTCGTATGTCAGCTGTTTGATCCTATAACACTGAAAATAGATGATAAGAAGTTAAAAATTATATTGAGTTATTTACTCACCAAAATTGGTTTCAAAGTGACACGATAAAAGTGAAACTATACAAGACTCGCAATGAGATAATCTAATTTCTTACAGAAACTTTCAGAACTGTTAAAGAATCTCAATAAGCTAAAACAAGTTTAATTTTATTTGCATCTATATGTAGCAGTAAATATATCAAAAGTCTCCTAAACGCAGAATGGTCAAATATCAAAGTACAACCTTTAAGTATAAAAACTTTGCTACACTAAACCCCTTGTTTTCTCTCCAGGCTCCCACACGGCTTCTTATTTGGTTTCACTACTTGGAAGGTCAAAAGTGAATAAGGACTTGTGGCGCGTAGATGGAAATCAAGAGTTATATCTCTATCAAACACATTCAGGTATTCTTGTAAAGTAATAAATAATTCTAGCCCGTAGTCAATTTGAAAAAAATATGGGTATGTTTTTTAGTAAGACAATCAATCCATTGTTCAATATGTGTAATGGATAAAGGCAACGAGGTTGCAAGACCCGCGAGGGGTGTCCACTTCTGTTATCAAACGCATGCCCATTAATCAATTGTTAATTGTGTCATTTTGATCTTCTTCCTTCAGATATTCAAAGCATCTCGCCGTCTTCTGGTAGTCTTCTAGGCGGGACCGTTATAACAATTGGAGGAGTAGGTTTTAGCGAAATCGCCAAAAACGTCAAAGTTTTTGTTGCAGGTATTTTGTCATTGTAAAATTAAAACACAGGCTGATGAAAAACTAGAATACAAGAATCTAGCATTAAATTGAAATGACCGAAAATGATTTAATTTTCCAAGTGATCTTAGAAAATATCTTCGACACCGAATTGATGAAAAGTTGATGTTCCCAGCCTCTCTCTAAGGAAAAGTTTGGATAAAAACCTTTAAACCATAAATTATGTTTATCACTTGCAATTTTGATAAAAAAAATTCAGACGTTTTCTCAACTTGAACCTAATTCTCAATTTTTTTTATTTGTTGAGAAGGAGTTGAATGTGAAGTTTTATCGTCGAGTTTGACGCAGATCAAATGCCGAACAGGAGCAAGAAAGGAAGTAAGAAGCAACTACCCAGGTATGTAGCTACAAAATGAAGGGCAGTACTGCATAATAAACAGAATTCAGGAAAAATTATTAATTTGAACAACTCACAAATTACAAGGGCATTCTTAAATTGAAAGTTACTTCATTCAGTTCGTTGGATTTTCTGAAGCTCTTTTTCAATAATTTAAAACTTGTTTTGCTTTTATTTCGCAGTGAAAGCTGCACGTAGGTTTCTTTTCAGGTTTAATGAGTAGATCTTGAAGACAGTTAGTGGAGAAACTTAAGTTGTTATTAACAATTTTTTCCCTACCTCTCAGGGTCTCGTGGTCTGCTTCGTGAAATCTGGACCGCAACCGTGAAGTCCAACTTACCAGACATTGCTACCCTTGAATCGTCTGCCGCTGACTATCACTTTGAGTACTTGACTGAAAGTAGCTTACCAGAAATTGTGTCCTGGGAAAGAACTTCCGGTTATAGCGCCAGGGTGACTGGTTATTTCGTGCCGTTTCAAGATGACGTGTATAGGTTCGGTATCCTATCAGATGATGCCAGCGAGTTATATCTTAGTTTGACAGGGGACCCCGCTGGCAAGGTATTGCACCCATCACCATTGTGCTGTTCTTTCTTGGATACTTAGTTTGTTTTCACACAATTTATTGGCTGGCCAGAAAAAAAAATTCAAAAAAAACGACGTGCTAATATGTATTTCACGGTTAGTTTGCCCAATCATTTAGTTTGCGTTATTCGGTGAACAGCAGAACATTTATAAAGATGATAATCCTTTAAAAATCCTGTACCAAAATCCCTTAATCCCTCCTGTGGTAGATCGGACGTTTTTTGCATTTCAGCGTCAGGAGCAACAGCAGCTTGTTGCCATCACCTTACCGCGTTCGCACACCTTACCTTGGTCATTATGGAACAGCCCTGAGCTTTGCTGTTGGGTTCCCACATGAAAATAATGAGACTCTTCATGTCTTATCCATTATTTCTTTAGACGAAGATTGCGAGTTGTTCATCAGCAACAAGTAACTGGAACAGTAACAGCGTACAGGAGTCTGAACCGATCTCATTGGAGGCAGGCAAGCAGTACTATATTGAGGCATACCACAATGACTATAGTGGTGGCCATCACATGAAAATCCGAGTAGGCATGGAGAAGACTCAACACACCAACGCTGAAGTTACTGCTGCAAGAGATGAAAAACAAAAAATCAGGATCAGTTCGTCTGTGCTCTGGGATAAACAGGTTTGACCAGTCTTTCAGTTCGAGCATGTGGGATTGGGATGGTATTTTGCGTATGGTAAATGTTTTTAGGCGAAAAAAAGAAAATAAGGGAAAAATGTTTTTTTTTTATTCTTTCGGGGTAAGAATTATTTGTTGGTTTTATTTAGGCAGAATGCCTTAATAAGAATTTTTCGATATTTATTACTTCTTTCATTACCGCTCTTTCCGCATGAAATTGTTTCACAAATATCCCTGAACTGTTTAAAATCTTCTCTTAGATTTTGGACTTCACTACCTGGAACGAAGATGAGAGAGTTTGCGAAGTGCAACGCCTTTCTCTTCAGCCATTGCAGTGCGTGGAAACTAACATCACATCTTGTAACAATACTAGTGATAACTTCACGTTGTCCTACCTTGATGAGAGGATAACTTTGTCCTTAAAAGACACCAGTAGCTCGATACTGGCGCAAAGATTGAATGAACTGAATGTCTTTAAGGACCGGGGTAAAATTAACGTCACTGCTGCTAATGTGACGGAAGGAAATGCCACAGTGTTCGTCATTTGGTTCTGCTTCAAAGATCCGCGAGGAATCGAACTGTTGAACGGAACTACACAAAGTGACCAAACCCTGGACTTAAGTATAACTCGCGAAGTGAAGGGACAGTCCGCCAAAGATTTTCAGCTTTTTATTGGTGGTGTACCATCCATTGTTTTGAAGCCAAGTTCCAGTATTGATAAGATCGAGAAAGCTCTTAAACGCTGGTTCTCTGTTGAATGCGAAGAATCTTCCTTGGGTAAGTTAACAAAAAGCTTCTTTACGTTCTTCATAGCTATTAAAAATCTAGGGAGCTACATTTCAAGAGTTAGGGGAAAATTCTAGAGTCAAATTCGTAAAGATTGAGAGTTACACTAACGATTGCACGCAGTTACTTGTACAAGTCCAAAAAGAACCAACAGAGGTAAAAAAAAATGTTGAAAATTTTTACAAACCCAGAACTTTAACTCATCTGTTTCATATCAACTGAACTTCCTGTTTCTTGCTCTCTCGAATTTGTAGCCGGGCGTATCTTTTATAAAGACTACGAGGGAGACAATATTTTCGGAGGTGAGACTGGTGAAAGATTTTCCGATATGCAAGCGTTTTGCGGAAGAAAGGCCTTAAAGAATCCATCAGTTCTATGGAAAGCTGATTACTCGGCATATTTGAATGACTTCCTTCAAAGTGCATATCCAGTCTCTAGGTACAAATGGGTAAGTTCAATATTGACGTAAAATCCTTTTCAATACACGATTGCCGAAGTACTTTTGTACATTTGTTTAAATCCTTACTTGAGTAAACAGCTGGTAAACTGATAGTTTACACTGGAACCAGCAACGTAAACCGACTACCACGAGTACTTCAAGGCACTTCGTGACCATAAAAGGAAAAAAAAGTAAAAACATAAGAGTTATAGTAGCTTACACAACGTAATGAATATTACAGCATGAAAGTCTTGCTTGTAGCTTTGAGTTGAAGGGCCTGGCACTAGGCTGCTCTGCGTATCATATTACAAGGCTACAATTACGTTATGTCTGAATAGCCTACATTCTGCATGAACAAAACCAATTAATGAGAGATTTAGTTATTTCGTTAGCGCGCATATCATACAAAGTCATGTCAGGATAGAAAACAGTTTTAAATGAGCTAATAAAGGTTACTTAATTATAAGTCCCTTAATGAGTTGACAAGTCCTCTTGATTCTCATCTTTCCTCCATTTAGTTTTGCTTCGCCTACAAAGGGCCTATAAAAGAGCAAGTGAGCTTTCGAGTGAAATACCGAGATAGTGATAATGAAGAGAGATACTCGACACGCTTGTACAGCTTCATTAGAAGCTCCGCGCATCTCTCTATCTGGGGATTTTCATGTATAGATGTCTGGTCAAAGATCAACGAGGACTTTGGAGATCAGGCAATGAGTGTCGAAATGTACAGAATTGAAATCAGCCGCCTTGATGGATCTGACGAAGATGTGTTCGTGGATAATGTGTGGATTGGTAAAAATCAACTATTAGGTAAAGTTTTAAACTAAAGTTTATTAATTTAGTGGAAGGAGCTAAGGAGGGATATAGGAAGATGAAATTTCATTTTGAAGTTCGCATTTTGCCTGATGTGTGTGATGACATGGGGGATGAATTTTAAAAGCTCTGTGTGTAGAAAAAAATCATTGAAACGCGGGGTAACTGTTCACTTTCTATCTTACTATGCGCCCGCCAACCAGGAAAAAAACGCACCTGTTGTTGCAAGTATATAAAATGCCATGGGAAAAATCCAACTTGCCATTCACTTTCCAACTTTCAGATGTGGATTGTTTTCAGTTTTTAAATATTAAAATTAACATTAAAATGTAAATTACTGAAATAGTGGACGTTGTTTGTTGTTTCATGTATCCATTTTTTTCAGTGAGACCGGTGAGCAGTGGTGCCATGCCCAATGGTTTTATCATCAAGGACTACAAAATAGAGAAGACTACAGAGACGAACTGGACTATCTCCCTCCTCCCCGCAAATTGCGGCTCCCCTATGCCGCTCTTTTCCGTCGTAGAGCACACCGGGAATGAGAACGGTAGCCCTGATGATGTCACCTATACTACGCCGGGCCTCAACTCCAGTGTCCGAGTAAGAAGGGTCCAAGAAGCCTCACCTCCAATCGAAGGAATGTTTGACATCGAGTATAGAGGAAATGTTATTAAGGGTGAGTGGTTTTCCGAAAAAAAAAACTCTCATATCATGGCAAAAATAGCTCGAGGAAACTCTTTATGAGACAGCGGACAAAAATTAAGACAAATTTGGCACAATTTTTTTACGAGCGGGCATCATATATTATGAGATAGTAAACGCTTGGAGTGGGAGGTGTCATTGTCCCATTTGTTGGTTATATTCAACAAACGCGAGTGGAAATGAATAACAGAGACTTTTTTTAATCACCTCTGTAAGTCTCAAGACGGTTGCTAAGAGGACATAATGTGCCCTGTTTAACACCCAACACCGTTATTTATCAGATTCTATTCTAGAGCATTAGTGACTGTTATCCGATCAAGAGTGTCGTATTTTTACCTGGTAATTTAGTGTTAACAACTGGGTTTAAAACGTAAATTAGCCACCGTAAAGGGTAAAAAAGCTGACGTTTCGAGCGTTAGCCCTTCGTCAGAGCGATGACGAAGGGCTAACGCTCGAAACGTCAGCTTTTTTACCCTTTACGGTGGCTAATTTACGTTTTCAACCCAGTTGTTAACACTAAATTACCTGCTATACTCTCCCACCGACGCAGCACCACAATTTCTTTAGAAACTTACCCCTTTATGTATTTTTATCTGCACTGTTTATGATTTTGTAGACATTCCAGTCAACATAACTGCAATGCGACTCCAAGATCTTCTGGAGCAGGAGTTTGAGGAAGGTATAATTGAAGTTGAACGATCTGGGCACTGTGCAGAATTTGAATGGACTTTCACATGGAAGAGTCACGGAGGTAATCATCCAGAAGTCAAGGTCAACGACAGCAAACTCACTGGTGTGCAAGTCACCACAACAGTGACTACCATTCAAGATGGCGGCTTATTTATGGATCCAATCCCTGGTGAATTCTTACGAGTGCCGTCGAACCAAACTCAGGTGAGTGATCGGCGAGTCGTTGAATAACAAAATAACATGGAAAAAAAACACGATAGTTATGACGTCGTGGCAAATCTGGCATCTTTATATTTCCCTTTCCTTAACCCCCCCGCCTCTGTTCCATTTATCCAATGATTCCTCAAATCCTTCTTTTCTTCGTCTATCTCTGCCCACCATATGTAGTTTCTTCTTCGGCTCCCCGTCTATTTGTCGTTATCTATTCTTCCCTCTGGTTCGTTTTCCATCGTTTCTAATTGCTTGCTGGTTCTCTAGCTCGGAATTTTCCTCCTCTCTCCATAGTGATAATCATGATAGAAATGGACAATTTTCTAAAAGAACGCTCATGTATATTTCATCACAGATTCCGTGCTATATTTCCTTGTTGAATCACTCTATCTATCCCTGCTTAATTCTGTCTCCTCTTTTCTTGTTAGATTCGTCTAACTTCAGCGGTTTCTCTCTATTCGCCCATGCGTTCATTTATTATTTTTATTTACTCAGGTTGTGGTCGTGGTGAACGAAATCACAGGATCGTGTTCGGGCAACAACTGCACTTTTGAGTATTCCGCAGACCAAACGCCGACGCTGACGTCCATATCACCGGACTCTGGTCCCGGCGGCCCCGATGGCACTGGGACAGAAATCACTTTGGGTGGCACAGGATTCTCCTCTAACAATGACGACAATATTGTAACGATAGGTGGCTCCACCTGTGTCATCATCAGCAGCAGTACTGGCAGCATAACCTGTCGAGCAGGTAGATATCCTTGTGGTTATTTATTACTCAGCACCTTATCTTTGTATTTATCTACTTGTTAAACATGAAATATATAGATTTCATTGTAATGCTTATTGGCCTTTTTATAAGTATAGTATGATGTCGTGCACCTGCTTCCTGTTCTAAACATTCTCTTGTTAAATTCTTAGCACTTTTTTTAAACTTTAATAAGCCTCTCCTACATTGTCTTTCGGATATACGCTTGCTCAATCAGAAAATGTCAAGCCTACTTTCTCAAGTGGTCAGTTCCCTTCATTGCGTTACTTACTTGTGACACATCACTTTTCACGTACCTTTGTGGTTCAAACAGGTGCACTTAGCTTAGACGTCAGGTGCCAATCTTAGATTCAAATTTTTATTCTGAAATCCTGTCTATCTTTTTAACCCCACAGACTATGGACCCGGTGGAAAACACTTAGTTGAGGTCCTAGTCAAAGGCAAAGGTCTTGCAGACAACACTCAGCTACTTAACTTTACCTACGTCATTAGTGCTACGGCAGTTAATCCGGCCAGTGGCAGTAAAGCCGGTGGACAGTTGATCACCATTTCTGGCAGTGGCTTCGGATATAAGAAAGAAAATGCGTCAGTATCGCTTGACGGTTCCCCTTGTGATATTCTTACCATCACAATGTCCCAGATCACATGTAGAACCTCTGCACATTCAGCGGGAATAGTTTCTGTAGACATTTCAGTCGATGACAGTTCTGTCACTGTTTCAGATGCATTTGAATACGACTCGTCTCTCACCATTGACGTCACCAGCGTAAGCCCGCTTCAAGGCAGTGTCAGCGGAGGAGAGATAATTACCATTTCTGGTACCGGTTTTTTGAACGAGACCAGCGTGCAAGTAGGAGATCAAAATTGCGTGATTCAGTCCCGTATTGGGGTAGAAATCACTTGCCTTGTTCCACCTCATGCTCCAGGAAAGTTTGCTATTCGGCTTTTCACATCAGGAAAAGGTTTTGCGTCGATCCCTACTGCATACAGCACTTACGAATACCTACTCGAGGTCCATTCTATTTTCCCTCTGATTGGCTCGGTTGCAGGCGGAACACACGTTACTATAACCGGAAGGGGCTTTGGGTCTAACGTGTCACGTGCTGTCGTTACTGTACAAGGCAGACCATGTCGAGTCATGTCATGTAATGATACGCATGTTGTATGTAAAACAACGAATATTTTTCAAACTGCGGAAGTCGACAACAGTGGACGTCATCCGGGTTAGTTTACCTTCTTTATTTTGGCAGCAAAACCCTGACCAGTTTTTAGAACCCCTATCAACCATTTCACGAACCCTGTGGTGTATAAAATGAAACAACTACATACGCAGCTGTCCCTTTTTTGTATAACCTGCAGAGAAGGCGTAATTTTGGCGAGCGAGTGCTTTTGTTAGCGAAAATTATGGCCGCTACCTTTGATTCAATGGTAGCGGATGGCTGGGGAGAGAAAGAAATTTGTACCTGGGGGATTAGCGACGGTCAAAAATACCCCTGCCCACATCTCCAAATCAAACATAGCCGGTTGAATAAACGATCGCGAGCTTTTTAACTTCAATTCACCCAAATAAGACGCCTGCAATGCAGGCTAGTTTTTGTAGCAAGAGGTTCCAAGTTTTTTAAAGCGAGATGACTTTGAATGGAGATTATTTACTTGCAGACTCCTTTTCGGAATGATAACCAACAAATAATCCCTGCAAGCATGTTGTATTGACATAAGCCTATTTTTTTCGTGTCTTCTTTCTTCAGAGTTTGGACTTGGATATGAATGGTCACCGAAACACGTGACTTGTTACCAAGGCGACACGGTGAAGGTAACTTGAGATGAGATACTGATGAATCAATGGCATGCACGGCTGTTTGTAGACAGGTTGTCGGTAAAAAGAATAAAAGTGCATATGATATCCCCGAAAAGAAGTTTTCAGTTCAAAGTTCCTTAACCTCACAATTTCAGGGAAATTTTCAAAAACGTTCTTGTAAAGTGGAGGCATAGCGGGTTTGATGAATTTACTCATTTATTTGACTTATCAGAATTCATTGATTACCGAATATCCCGATTACCTTTCGCGATTATCCAGTGCACTTTCGTCCTTTTTCCCAAAAACTTTTCTAGGAACATGTGTATCTCTGTACAGCTGTTTTACCTTGAGAACCTTTTAGCATTCACCCATTACCGGTAATTCATTTGTAGAAACAGAAAGCCTTCCCTTTCTGCGTGACCTTGCTAACCAACCGAATCCTCATACTAAGCTAAAAAATGCGATTTAACATTGTCATAATATGTTGAGATGTTCACTTTCCCTCATTTATTTATTCATCTACTTTTTAATAAATTAACTTGCTTGTACCTATTTTTTGGTCAATAGTGGAGTTGGGCCGGTCAGGAACTTTCCAAGGCTGTATTCAACGTCTTTCAAACGAGAGATTCTTCCTCAGTTCAGTACGATGGGTCAGGTTTTCATAGCAATGCTCTCTCCAAGACTGGAAGTTTCAGTCATAGGTAATTGAAATGTTCCGATGATTTAGAAAAAAAAAGAAAAAAATGCCTGAAAACATTCCGTTTTGATCTGCCATATCTAACGATAAAGTAAACTTCTTGTGTCGCAGCAGTTGAACAAATCTCCCGTTTTGACATCGCAAAAAAAAATTGAGCCAATCTCCAAGGGTCGTCTATTCTTGCATTAAGAGATCAGAAGAAGATGGAAAAGTGAAGAAAAAAATGGAATTGAGCCGCAGTGAAAATTGTGATCTAATGACTCGACGATCAGGAATAGCTTAGTTCCTTTTTTTGTATTATGTTAATCTACTGATTCTGATAACCGTACATTCCTTGCTCATGTTGAGAGTGTCGAGTATTTGTGAACTGGTAAATAATAACAAAAAATGAACATCGTAAATTCATTGGTAGTAGCAATAATTTTGTACATTCCCTCCATAGGTTCTTGGACACAGGAGTGTACTTCTATGCCGGAAGCGGATCTGTCACTATGAAAGGCATTGTCAAAGTTCTGTCATTCAGAACTCAGAGCGGACCAATAAAATTCGTACTTGATGGTAAGAAGAATTCCACCTCACAAATGAAGCAGAAATCAAATCAGTGTTTAAGTTGACCGCGACCCTCTCAGCACACAGTGTGGTATGTTTGGGTGCTCTGAAGGAAGGCAAATAATTCGCCTCTTTTTCTAGGTTGGGTTATTCAAAACTGGGTTTAGATAACACAGGGGTATTGTGAAATCTTATTAAAAAGAAAATTCATTGTAATTCTTTTTGCCCAGAATTTGATTATTGGAAGTTCTGACAAGAATAGTGACGATTATTCAGAAAAGATTTTCAAAGAAGGAGTAAAGAAACCTGGGTTAAAATTCAACCTTGGGTTGGCGCTAATCTGCTTTGGGACAACTGGGCCCTATTCTCTTTCCACTTAACTGTACAGAAAAAATCACTCGAGTGAAATAAATTTTTTTAAATTTTATTTAGGTTTTGAAGCAATGTATAATTTAACCTCATCTTCAGTCCCCTCTACGACATGCGAGTCTGGTAGGACAGATAGTTTTCCAGAGTGCAATTCCTCTCAGGCAGCTCAGAACCCTGGAGACGATGGCTATTACTTTACTTACTCAGAATGTAACACGCCCAAGGTGTCCTCGGTGACGCCCTCCAATGGCACGAGCAACACGATAATAACAATAAATGGCCGTGGTTTTAGCAACGACTCGTGCCACAACAAAGTAAAGTTTGGCTCTCATGTCTGTGATGTGATTTCATCTAGCGAGACAGAGATCACTTGCAAACTAAACACAGCGAGTTTTCCCGTTGCTGGTGTACCACTCGATGTATCTGTTAGGGTACTAAACCGCGGCTACGCTTTTGTCCGGGCAGATGTAGGTGAAGCAACTCACTTTGTGTTGAAGCCGACCGTTACGGCCCTCTCACCAAAGACCGGGTCTCAAGCGGGAGGCACACAGCTCACGATAACAGGCGATGGATTTAGTAACACTAACAATAACAATATTGTTCTTATAGGCTCAACAGAATGTTATGTTATGACTGCATCATTTGATAAAATAGTCTGTACGACCCGAGCAAGTACTGAAGAAGCACAACTAGTCTCAGTGACAAACAATGGTGAGACAAGCGTGTGCGTTGCCGCTGACCTTACGGACTGCAAGTACACGTTTCAAGCTGATAGAACACCAGTAGTAACTATGGCGACTCCTGCTAAAATAATCAGCCCAGGGACAGAATTTCGCTTCCAGATGTCACAGCCTCCGTCTAGAGCTCTAGACGTGACGGTAACAATAGGATATGAAGATTGTGGTGTAACAGAAGTCGCGTCACAACTAGTTAAGTGTGTTCTTCCCGGAATCGTCTTTGGAAATCACACAGTGACTCTTCATGAATCCGGAAAAGGATTCGCCCAGTTCAATGGTGCTCAAGACTTAATTGTAAGTGAGGCGATCGTGTCAAGTGTTACCCCGACACAAAGTAGCCAAAATGGAGGCCTAACCATCACGATAACAGGAAATGGGTTTAATCCGACACCAGGTAGAACTAGCGTCGCCATTGGAGGAGAAATATGCGAGATAGTCACGGTAACGTATGGGGAAATCCAGTGCGTGACACCACCTCATTCTTCCAGTAACGCAGTAACCCTTCAAGTCACCGTCGAGTCTGAAGGCACCTCACTGGATTTTCCGCCAAAAGACATTGCATATACTGGGGACGCTACCCCTGTACTGATTTCCCTTTCAACATCCACTGGGAAAGGTGGGGATATCTTGACCATCTACGGGAGTGGCCTGGATGCCTCGCCCCCTGGCAGCGCGGTCCGAGTTCACATTGGAGATGTACCATGCGCAGTGATTAGCTCGGAAGAAGGAAGTGTAGAGTGTACGCTGGCAGCTCACGCTGCTGGCTCATACGATGTCGACGTGCTGGTTCCGGGAAAAGGACGAGCGTCATCTGGGCTTTCCTTCACGTACAGTCTACATTTAGCGAGTGTCACCCCTAATGAAAGCGGCTACGGAGGTGGACGAGTTCTTGTTTTCCAAGGTTATGGCTTTGATCCATCTGCACAAGTAAGAATCTGTGGGAACGTGTGTATTCTTTCTCCGACCCACGTCACGACAACCACGGAATTGGCCTGCGAAGCACCAAGTCATGTTTTGGACGTTACTGATACAATATGCAACATAAAAATGGCTTTGAACGATTTAAGTTCGAACATTGGCATGGGATTTACTTACAAAGTGGCATTGACCTCCCAAATAGCTTCTGTCACTCCACCCCGTGGAGGAACAGGTGGAGGAACCACGCTCACAATACAAGGCTCAGGATTCAGTAATACCCAAAGCGATAATGTTGTCACCATAGATGGCACTGAATGCACGGTTACTTTCGCAAATTCCACAGTCATCCTTTGCAAAACTGGACCTCATAGCAAGACCATTGAGACTAAAGTTCGAGTGGAGGTTGGAAACAATGGGAAGGCAATAGATGAAGCAGCATATTTCTTCTACGTCGACGTATGGTCATCGCAATTTACATGGGGCTACAATAACCCCCCTGAAGCAGGTAACGTGTCATTTATTCGACGGATTGACTTGAGCCGGAGTTCTAGAATACATCTCAAGATCGGTGTCAATGTTTTGCATGGGTTTGTAGCTTCGCGGAAAGTATTTTTTTCTTATAATTGTCTTCCTTCATTCAAACCTCACAGAGAGCATGATAAGATCTTTCATGAGAGACAAACTAACTGCGTACATAAATGCAAATTCCCGTTGGTAATTGAGATAAAATTTCAACCGTATTTTCAGAGTTTAAACGGCATTGTGAGGCTCACCTTACCAAGTGGGTAACTGGGACCGGAAAATAAGATGTTTAACCATGGGAAATGGTGTAGGTTAGGCCTTCTTGAATTCTCTGACAGCCTCTTAGGCTTCATCTTGGCCGCTTGGTTAAGCAGTGATAAAGGGTATATTGTTAAAGAAGCTTATGAATGATCCACGATGGATCCCTAGCTTACTCATTGCAATTTATAATTCATAGGTACTTTCGTGACAATAAAGAAGGGACAGACGATTATGTTAGATCAAGACACACCGGTTCTAAAATTTCTTCTGATACAAGGAGGTGCACTAATATTTGACATGGAAAAGCCTTCTCTTCACTTGCAAGCAGAAAACATACTTATCACCGATGGTGGATGCCTCCAAGTAGGTACTGAAGACGACCCATTTCCGGGCCAGGCACTTATCACTCTGCACGGCCATGTTCGTTCAAGAGAGATGCCTGTGTTTGGCACCAAGACCATTGCGCTACGCGAAGGAAAGCTTGATCTTCATGGGCTACATGTCCCGATCACGTGGACACATCTAAGCTCCACGGCGGAGGTTGGCGCAACCCGACTTCATCTTGTCAAACAGGTAACATGGAAACCAGGTGATCAGATCATTCTAGCACCAACTGGAAAATCGCAGCGCGAGTTTGAAGAGCTTACCATCACAGCCGTTCTCAACGATAACTACACCTTGGAAGTTTCGCCACCGCTGAAGTACAAACACATTTCTATCGTCCAGACGTTCGATAATATTCATGTAGTGGAGACGCGTGCAGAGGTGGGTTTACTGACGCGAAACGTGAGGGTTCGAGGCTCAGTACACTCCGCATGGACAGAACAAATCGAAGCTTGCGAAGACGAATTTAGACCAGGACAGTTTCAGACCCAGACATGCTTCCAAGGAAAATTTGGCGAAGAAGTTGGAAGCGATGAATTTGGTGTACAGATCATGATTCATGCTCCAGAGGAAAGTAAGAACTTGGTGACAGCCAGGTTTAGTTACGCAGAAATCTCACATGCAGGACAAGCATTCCGTCTTGGTCGCTATCCGATACATTTTCATCTCAGTGGCGACGTCTCAGGTTCATATGTTCGCGGCTGCGCAATACATCACAGCTTCAACCGTGCCATTACAATGCATGGCATTCACAACCTTCATGTTAGCCATAATGTTGTATTTAATGTCCGCGGGAATTGCTTCTTCATGGAAGACGGCATAGAAACTGGTAACGTGGTCGAATACAATTTGGGTATATTTGTTATTGCCTCCACATCTGCTTTGAATGTCGACATAACTCCAGCAACTTACTGGGTAACGAATGCCAACAACACCGTTCGTCATAATGCAGCCGCAGGAGGAAGCCATTTTGGTTTTTGGTATCAGATGTTTGAGCATCCAGACGGCCCGTCTTTTAGACCAGATTACTGTCCGAGAAATGTCTTCATGCTCGAGTTTTTTAACAACTCTGCTCATTCGTTTGGACGCTATGGGTTGTGGATTTTTCCGGTTTATCATCCCATGGAAGGAGGAGGCTGTAAATCAATTATTGTCAAGCCTGCTGTGTTTGGCTCTTTTATAGCCTACAACAACATGCGTGGAGCAGAAGCCGTCAAAGTAGGAGCCGTTCAAATGCACGATTTTAAAATGCTCGATAATGATATCGCTGGTATTGAATACGTATTCGTCGATGTCGCCGATGCTCCGAGAGGGGGTCCCAAGATTAAAAATGCACTTATCGTCGGTCATAGCCAAGTGAGTGAAGGACTGGAATTAAAAATACGCAGCAACACACATTGTACAACGTCAGGCTTAAAATTACCACAGTTCTCCAAACTTGTTGTTGATAACGTCACCTTCGTGAACTTCGACCGAGAAGGCTGTACTTGTTACAGCCTTTGCGCTCAGTGTGAAGAATTTAAGAGGAAAGGCGGATGGAGTACATACGCGATGAAAAATCGTTTTGTGAACTCCCCACGCCGAAGTTCTTTCCGCTGGAGTCATGAATCGGTCATAGTCGATGTAGATGGCACTCTGACTGGTTATCCAAACGGAAGCGTCGTGCCACTAAACGCGAATCTGCCACCAGGCCATTGTTTCTATTCTCCCCAGGATAGCTACGGTCCTCACAATGGAAGTGTCTGCGACTCTACCGTGAAATTCAGGAGATTTGCTTTTAATAAGGCTGCACCAGAATCTCTAATGAGCAAAAACGTGTTGTTGGAAAACAGACATGGGATGGACGTGGTGCCTTTCTGTATTAAGTGCACGACACATCCTCAAGGCTGGGTCACGCTTTTGATACTTGGCGAAGAATACAACATCACTTTTGAGAACGCTTGGCAGATAACAAACATCACCTACAGCGGTATGTTCTACGATATGGAAGAAAATGACAATATTTGGATAAAGCACCGGTTGGTGCAAACGCCTGATCATTTCACTACTACTGGAGTTCATCAAAACAAAACAGACATCACTCCGCCGGCGAACTCTCAACACGGGAGCTGGAGCTTTGTAAACGAGACCAAGGTGTTCACATACATTGCGTCAGGTAAGAATAGTTCTCGTACACCAAATGGCAACATACTGCCCCGAGATATCACTGTGCGAGTTTATCGTTGTTTTTATGAGGAATGTATAGTACCGGTACCACCCCCTCCCCCTAAAGGAAGACCTGAAGAAGTCCGGCTTTGGTCCAATGTAGATGACTGGGAGGGCACTGAACCCATGTATGGCGGTTATGGACGAAGGCTGCCGACCAACGGGAGTGACGTTATGATACAGTCTGACTGGTATATGGTGGCAGACATAGAATTGCCATATCTGAACCAACTGCTGATATATGGAACACTTGAGATAGATGACAGACCTGGTATGGTCCTAAATGCGTCTATTATCTTTGTTACCGGAGGATTGATCGTAGGATGGCCGGACCAGCCCTTTCTGTCGAATTTCATGATCAGCCTCCAAGGCAACGTGTACAGTGAGGACCTTCCTTTGCGGGATGTTAATGTTGGAAGCAAGGCCCTTGCCGTATTTGGATTCTTGTGGATGCACGGGCGGCCAAAAAGAGTGTATTGGACTGATTTGGCGGTTACTGCTGAAGCTGGAGATCGTTCGGTGATACTATCCGAGTCCGTCGACTGGATTGTTGGCGATGAAATTGTTATTACCTCAACTACAGTTGAGCCACAGCAAACAGAGAAGTTCATTATAAAAGCCATCTCACAGAACGGCAGAAATTTGACTCTGGACAAAGCTCTCCAGTATAAACACATTGCCGAGACCCACACGGCGGGTAACTGGACTTATACCTTAGCAGCAGAAGTGGGACTACTGACCAGAAATCTCTTAGTGGAGGGAGCAAACAACCCAGCTGATGCTTGGGACCAGTCGTTTGGATGCAGAGTTCTGATTGGCCGAACGGCAATTGAAGGAATAGATTATCGGGGCAGTGCCAGGATTGAAAATGTCGAGTTTAAACGCTGTGGACAGGAAGGCTGGGTTGATGATTACGATCCCAGGTAAAAAGAACAATCAATATGAATATTTTTCCGGGTTTTGAGCTTGTAATATGCTTTAACATATGATTTAGACATTTTATCTATTGCATGACTCCAGAATTTAGGATAGAAAGAAAATCAAAGAGAGAAGGAAAATAGAAAGGATCATTCATGAATGATAACATATCAAAGGGAAACATGGATTACAGATAAAGAACAATAATTTTGAATATTTATCCTTATCCTCTTTAAGTTTCTGTTTTAAGGGGATGATACAGAGGCATGTTTTTCAAATTCTTAAATTAAATATATGCTCAATGCAAAAAATTTATGTAAAAGAAGAATTTTGGAGCTCAATAGTTTCAAACTTAGTACAGCAATCTATCAGAGTAATTGCGACCCCAAGAGGCCCTGATCGTTTTCCTTCCGGTTCTCAAATAGCCACCTCCTTTTCATTAGCTTGCCAACCAGGGGTTAGGAGTTGAGTCGTAATCGTGAGTCATGAATTCTCAGGTTACAAATCGTTTCTCTTTTTCTTAGATTTGCTTTAGCATTTCTCAATACCGGCGACGTGGAAGGGAATACCTCATATGTTAGTGGGAATTCATTTCACGATGGTTTCAACACTGGTATCGGTGTGTTCAGGACCAATAACTTGACAATTAAGGACAATATTGTCCACCACACAGTCGGCCCTTCGATAAGAGTAATCGGCAAGTTTGTCAGTTTACTACGAAATCTGGCAGTTTATTCTCTCTCAATACACACGTACAACGGAAGAAAGGATAAATCAAACCTGCAATGGCCAGGAGCAATAGAGGTAGACCAAGCCAAAGACGTCATCTTGATCAACAACACAGTGGCTGGGAGTGAACGGTTTGGATTTAAAATTAGTGGTGAGAAGTGTTCGGATGGTCCAGGAATATCTGTGGGGAACGAAGTACACGGTGCCTGGCATGGAATGCATTTGCCTTACGAAATAGAAATTGAGGGGTGTTCCATGCTTTCTGGTTACATGACTTGGAGAAATTTCGACTATGGTATCTTCCTTTACGGTGAGCCCAGTGTTATAATAGACAACGTCATTTCCGTGGAGAACACGGTGGGTATGTTTCCTAATGTGTGGGGTCCGCATGCTCTGTCGCACCCGACTGCTGATAAGTACGTTATTGTGAGGAACACACTCATCGTGGGCACGAGTCCTGGTTACGACTGTGCGCATGACAGCATCGTACCATACGCCAGGCAACCATATGGCGGGATTGGAGCTAAAAAGGCACCAGGAGGTATGAGTTATTTACTTAAACACAACGCTTATGCCTTGCATCTACCTTGAAAATTTCACTTCAATTTGACCAACGCTCCTTAATTTATCCTGAAAAATTTTGATGAAGCTGTTTCCTGATTTGACCTCGACGACCAGCAAACACTAAGGATCAAGAATCAAGACCCTATTTTTATTCCTTTCCTAAAAACATATCGTGACACCTCACACGTGTTGTTGGACGTAACTGGAGGAAATAAATAGCATGACTTAGTTACTATTTATTCAGACCCTTGGACAGAATAAAAATATTGGATCTTTTACATAGCGTTTACCTTCGGCTGGTAAGGCGTCACACATTAAGAAATGTATAAAGGAACTTAGAACCTTCACATTCATCAAGAATACTTCTATTTTGTCTCTTGTCAGGCGGAAAAATTGGAATAACTACGTCGCAATTTAGTTCAGCCCCTGCACGTGGACCGATTATGACGTGGGAAAGCCCTCATGATTATTCAGCCGTCAATGGCTATACTCTGTATCACGAGGTGACCTTCTTCGGTTTTCAAGAGACTTGCGGGAAGAGACATCGAGCGATCATGTCAAACGAGTGGGCTGGAGACATTATACATCCCATGGATGTGCGAGGTTTGTTTCTTCAATGCATGATTTCGAAATAATTTCCCAAATAGCCGCGACTGTATCTTGATCTAAGCCACTTTTGGGTTTGGATATATTCGTATTTATCGTCCCAAAAAATTCTTATAAGTGTTACAGATTGCAAGGCTCAGGACGTAGACAGCGAATGAAGGAGAAAACAGCGGAGAATAGTAGCATAAGTAAAGAGATGTTTTCATTCAACAGGCCAGATTCAATTGCAAAAATTTTCACTCACATACACCTGGTTAACGCTACTGTGGGATAAATTAAGTCGCAAAAATCTCTCTCGATGAAGGAAGACTTACAGCACAGGTTAAAGAACTGAGAAAGATAAATATTTAGAGCCGAGAGTTAAAACAGACTGTAGCAGCCTGCACATCATAAAATGATTTGTCAGATCTTTAATCATCCATTTTCCCTTGAGTTTTCCCTGGCTTGCTGCCCTCTAACCCTGCAAACTCTTGTTCTGGCTTGTGTCTCATTGAACAACAAAAATATATCACTTTATTCCTTCGAAAAGTCTTTCTCTGAGCTCCACCATGGTATCACATTTTTGTTTCCAATGTTAAGCGTATTGATAACTGATTTCATCTTCTAGGATTACATTTTATATCAGTTGACGAAGAATCCAAGCTGCTACTAAACGAGCCAACACTTCGGTGGGTCAACCCATCCGATTGCGTGGATATGGACTGTGACGCCAGGAGGCAAATCCTTATCCGAGATCTTGATGGTTCTTTCACAGGCGCTGTTGGGGGTTCGGTAATCTCTAAGGCCGAGTACGAATGGGACGGAGATAAGAGATACGGACTAGGTATGTTGTACGTATCACTTGCTTTACGTAGGCAAGAAAACTAATTATGCACGTCAAGTCTAAACAAATTTGGTTCTCGTCGCCAGTTTATGGTGACATTGTTCTGTACTGATTACAAACTTCACATTTCGCACAGGTGATTACCGCGTTCCGAAACCTGCTACGACGTTGCCCGATGGCACTAGACTTGATATGTCAGCCGTTGCTGCAAATAAAGGAATTGTTCGGGGCACACGTGATCATAACATGTGCTCGTGGTATGGTGACTGGAATGCATACAAGTGCAGTGACATTGACTACAGGATGTTAGTTATTGAAAGTCTAGATCCTGATACGGAGACCAGACGATTGTCACCAGTGGCGCTGATCGCAAATGGTTATGTCAACCTTCTTAATGGCCCTATGGATCACGGTTGGTGCTTGGGATACACTTGCCAAGAAAGGATTTCGACATTTTACGGGATAGTGGCGACTGGAACAAATTACTCTCTGTACTTTACCAGTAATGAGCCCCAGAAACTCAGGCTTCACCTTTTAAACAGTGATTCCTCAGCTGCAGTCCGTGTTGGTATATTCTATCAGAGACCTCAGAGACAGGATGTGTACAGGGAAGGTATGGTCCATTTATATCTGTTAAATTTAGGCGCTCAAAACAGGTATTTCCGTGATATGACGAAAGAAAAGAAAAAGGGATAACAACACTTTCTTTTTATGAGTGCTCAACTTACAATTGCCGTGGCCCTTTCACAAATGATAAAAGTAACGAGACACTGTCATAAATACATCTACTATTTAAAGTATTTTAATTAATATTGTATGGCGATTTGCCTTATCGTGATAGTTCTGTCTGCGTTCTTGTTTGTCTGCCAATCTCTTTGTGCCTTGTTTACAAACGATCGATAGAACAACAGGAAAAAATTGCGGGAATGATAAACAGAGGAACACAAGGATACAATCACCTAAAGAAAACTTTTAACGCTTAAAGCGCAGGGTTTATTTGAGTTTGTTTTCCTTTTCAGGAAGATTTATAAATCCAACAAACGCAAGGCTCCAAGGATCAGAATTCACTTTAATTGACAAGCCCGCAAATGCTCCTAATGACTACTTTGAACCACCGCTGACCAGTATTAGTGGTGCTAACTATTATGATCGTGAACTTGCCACTTTATTTGTCGTTTTGCGCGGTTCCGAACCGGTGGACATCAATGTTATGCCTGTCGTCAAGGTAACAAATTTACTACCATGAACGAATTTATTTTCTCAACTGTAGTCGTTTATAAGGATTTATATCGAACTGCATCATAGTCCTTAAAATAATTTTTAAAGTAATTTTTGAGAGTATGTTTCGCACCTCGAATCGCGTGTTATTAATCAGATCTCTGACGTTAAAAGTTTGACTCTCATAACAGTCTTCAAAACCTTTTTGAAAATTTAAATTTCCATGGGTAGGTACAAATTGGAATGAAGGCTGTCTCCATTGATGACTTTTTCAAAGTGAACTTGGTGAATAACCTAGCTGATCTGTTGGGTATTGACAAATCTCTCATACGAGTGGTGAACATTGTAAGCGCTGACGGCAACAGTCGGCGACGACGGCGATCCGCTGGTGACATTTCCGTGGAAATTGAGATCGCCGATCCTCCTACGGCTTCAAATACTTCATCCTCATCAAACTACACGGGTATGAAAGGAATGACATCTTGGTACCCTTTTTCATCTTTTGGAAACATTTTTTTAAGCAGTTATAATCTATTTTTGCTAAGGGTAGTACTATAAAAATGTTACTGAGGTGTTCTGAAAATTTTTTGGAACTTTGAAATTGGAAAGTTAAACCATAGGGATGAAAGGAGGAGTTTTTTCCGACGCCAGAAAACATTATTTTCATTCGGATAATCCTAAATAAAACAAGAGCTTTGCCCCCTAAGTTCATGCTAGGATTAGACTATGGATTTCTGCATTCATGTTCACTCGAGTGCATTCCTATGAAAATTCATATCACCAAAAGTGTCAATCGTAACAACTTTATCCCTCTTATAAGGACTCATGTGTTTAACACGATGTGGGCCCCAGTGAAGGTCTTATTTATCATCATATCTGACTGAACCGACTTGTACTTTGTTATATATCATGTTTTGCATAATCATTCTTACAGGAATTAACAAGACTACATCCTATGATGAGCTTAAAGAGATTGGAGACTCAGTAGTGGAGAACGTACAGACTGGGCAGCTTGCACGGCAACTGAACACTGAAATCGTGTCGCTGGATATAACAGATCCAGTCCCTGAGCCTGTTGACCCGACCGGAGGCGTTCGTGCTACCAATGAGACTTGTAAGTTCTTGATTATGCCCTCTCCTTATCGCAGCTTTTCGAAGGCCCAATGTTTGATCAGTGCTTCATTTGGGCGTTGCTTGGGTTGCACTTTGACTCAGCCGAAAGAGAGTTTTTGAATTCTAACATATCCAGGGGGAAATTTTCAGAGACTAATCAAAAATTGGTTTTGTCAAAAACTGTCCAACAGTAGCCTCATCATGACTTCTTCAACGTTAAGGATACAAGACGAGTATTACACGGGCCAGCTACAAAATGCCATCTGAGCACTATGCCAGCACTGGATTGAAAAACAGCCCTATTCAAATGCGATCTTCATGCGTTTGTCTTTCAGATCAACAAAATATAACGGGAAACTCCACACTTCGGTATGACGAGGTCCAAGCTGAGAAGGAGGCAGAAGAAGCAAGTAACGTGTTTAGCTTCCTTATTCCTTCTAGATTAGAGGTAATGACTGAGCCAAGCGGTGGGAACGAGACTGTACCGTTCACTTCACAGCCCAAACTCAAACTTGTCGACGTTGATGGAAAGTTAGTGACAACCTTAGGGCATGGTTCCCTAAGCAACTGGACTGTCATGGCAACCATACAGAATGGCACCGGAGACTCCATGGCGGTGTTAGATGGAAATGTGACTGTGACACTAGTTAATGGATGGGCGAATTTTACCGATTTAAGTATCACTCACAACGGTTCTGACTACAAATTATTCTTCTATGTCAACAAACCAGCAGCCTCTCACTTCAACGCTACCTCCCAGTCGTTTGAAGTCAAGGAGAGAATCCTGTACTTTACTATAACCACTCAACCCGACGACGCGAACGAAACAGTCAGTTTCGGACAACAACCCAGAATTGAAGTTCGAGATTCAGCAAACGATAAAATTGTGGACAACACAGGCTGGAAACGACGTCGTTGGTTGTTCACTGCCTCACTGGCTAATCCAACAGATAATGATGGGCATCTAAATGGTACAACTGAAGTAGAGTTTGTCCAGGGTGTAGCTTTGTTTTCAAACCTCAGCATCGACCTCTCTGGAGAAAACTACATCCTAGCACTTAAGGCCAAAACTGATCCAGCCTCAAGCTATACCTTTTCTGGTAATTCCTCGGCATTTAATGTGTCTGAAAGAGTGCTTTATCTCAAACTGGTCCAACAACCTAGTGACTGTAATGACACAGTGATCTGTGGCAGTCAGCCGATTATAGAGATAAGGAATGCGTTTCCAGACTCGCTGGTGGATAACATCGGTTGGAGAGGGAGAACTTGGTCGATAAATGCCACAATGGTCGGTGCTGATAACTCTGTGGTCAACGGTACCACATTATTTCCAGTTGAAACCACAGGGCGCGTAGAGTTTCAAGATTTGAGTTTCTTCGACACAGCTCAAGAAAGTCAAATGAAATTCTCTGTCATCACAGAACCAGCCTCATCTTACTCAGGCCTGTCCGTAACCTCACAAACTTTCAACGTAAGCGCGCGGAAATTCTACTTAGAAGTCATCACACAGCCCGACAAAGCTAACCAATCAGAAATCTTTGGAGTTCCCCCAGTGGTGGAAGTACGCGACCTTGGAACACGCGCGCGTGGACACCCGCTGAAAGGTGACTGGTCCATTTCTGCGTCACTCAAACCATCGGCTTCGAATGGAACATTAAGTGGAGTAGTAAACGTTACAGTGGAAAAAGAAAGAGCAGAGTTTAACAATTTGTCTGTTTCTTTATATGGCATTGGATATAAGCTAATATTCGAGTCCAACCAAGGCCATATGGTATGTAGTGTTATGCTTCTAAATTTTATATTTGTACTGATTTCTAACAACTCGAGAAAAATAAGTAGCAAAATTTTCCAGAGATTCGAGATAGCAACTGAAAAATTATTTCCGGAAAAAATTTAGAGCATGAATGACAATGGACAATTGCTTCCTCGCAGAAAATAGTTGACACAGGAACTGTAATATAAACAAGGATAATATGAAGCAACCTTTAGTGGCAATGTAATTAAACCCATTTCGATCATGTAGGCTAGTTTCTTGAGTTTCTCTGTATTTTCTATCGATCTACGTTAACTCCAGGTCAACAAATTGATGAACATACGAGCATCTTTCTATCTTTGAGAATCCTTGATTTTCAATACCTTTAAGTCAATTTTTCAGCTTTAATTGATCATTATGGGAGTATAATTTGAAATTAGTTGTTCGCGCTATAAAGTTATCTCTAATTTAAGGCTTTTTTGGTTCTCCAGGTTCTCTCACAGCCCTTCGAAGTTCTTTATGTCAACGACTATTCACCCGTATTTGACCCCGCTAGCGGTTCTTACGATGCATCTATCTCAGAGGACGTTTCTATTGGCACCACCGTTACCACGGTTACCGCAACTGATCAAGATTCTGGTTCTCAAGGAGATGTTTCGTTCTCTTTGGTGGCCGGGAACACTGGGAACAAATTTTCCATTAACAGCACGACGGGAGTTATCACAACTATCGGAGAGCTTGACCGCGAAACTACTACCGTTTTTACGCTCACTGTGCGAGCTTCCGACGGTGCCGTTCCTGAGAAGGTGCGGTCCACAGACGGACAGGTAGTAGTTACCGTCTCTGACATCAATGACAATGCTCCCTCATTCAACAACCCATCAGTTACCTCTTCTATCCAAGAGAATGCAGCTATCGGTGACGTCGTGATCACACTCAATGCTAACGATCCTGATGAAGGCTTAAACAGTAAAGTCCTTTATTCCATAATAGACGGGAATGAAGCAGGAATATTCACCATCAACAGCACTTCAGGAGAGGTGAAAGTAAATGCTTCGGTGGACTTGGATCAAGAACCGACTCCTGATTTCAATCATTCTTTAGTTGTTCTTGCTCAAGACATGGGAACGCCAAGTATGAACACAAACGTCACACTCAATATCAGCATCACGCCTGTTAATGAGTTCACGCCACAGCTTCAACATAACTCCTCGTTTAACTTCAGTTTTGCCGAAAATGTGCCTGTTGGGGATGGAGTTTTTGTGTTTGATGTTAACGCTACAGATCAGGACTATGGGGAGCAGGGACGGGTGACTTTTGCCTTTAGCTCAGGTGGGTACGAGGAAGACAATTCAGTTTTTCTTTCTTTTTTTTCTCTCTCAACATCCTTCTCCGGCTCAGTGCCTTTCATCCATTGAAGCCTTCTAACGGATGAGTCAGTTCTGCAAATTTGTTTGTTTTTATCAGGGACTGTTTTCCCATGTCATTTAATCTTTCTTCTGCTTTTCTTTCCGTTGAATAGCTCTGAACTACAACTTCCGAAGTCTTCGAAACGTTTGGCTTAAAAAGTGTTTTTCTCATCAGTTTTTACCCTTCAATCCACCAAAATATCTAGGCAAGCTCCTGTCTAAGATTTATGTGGTTTTGTTATTTTTGTTATTTTTCGTCATCTATCACTCGTTGATGATGAAAATTACAAAGAAACCGAAAACAAGAATCCAAATACGTGTTAAAATTTTCCGCGTTAATCTTTTGTGTTTACTATTTTTATGAGTAGTAAGCTCATTTGAGGGTAATTTTTGTACATGTAGGTAACGACGAAGGGAAGTTTTCCCTCAATGCATCAACTGGAGAACTGACGCTTGCATCCTCACTCGATTACGAAACGTCCCCATCTTACACTCTGAGAATCCACGCGCGTGATAACGACCAAGCGGGAAACGTGAAGTATGCGTTTTTTACCGTGTACGTGAGTGTGTTGGACTTGAACGATAACGCACCCACATTTTCTCAGTCTCGGTATGAAGTGAATGTTGACGAGGACACAGCTGTTGGATTAGAAGTTTTTACATTCCTTGCTTCGGATCCCGATGGTGGTTTGAATGGTCTTGTGTCGTATTCAATCTTACTCAGGAACTCATCAGAGTTTAGCGATGGGTTATGGAGTTTAAACTCTTCCACTGGAAAGCTCACATTAAACGGTAAGAAAATGACTGATTTCCTGAAGCTTGTGACTTGCAATGATATATCAAATTCTTGCCTCTTCAGCTCCTTTATTTAACCGATTCTTCTCCATAGAATCCACCGAAGTTAAATATTGGCCCTTGCTGAGGGACAGTCCAAACAGTTTTGTAGTTCATGCACTGAAGGTTTCGCAATCACTTTTTCAACACAGCACGTGATGTCGCAAAAATTGATTAGCTAGCCTTTATCTGTTAATCTTTACGGACGTTTTCAACCGGTGAAATATCAAATAAACCAATGATGTAAATGTTGGATATACATTTAGCATTGAATGTTACACTTTCTCTGCTCACCTAACAGTTAGCTGAATAAAAATTGGGAACATACACAAATGAAGGATGTTTCTTCGCACTTGTAAAACAAAAGTGCATTCTGTGTGACGTGGTGACTCTCAGGCAATAACTCATTAAAAGCTTTTATAAACTCTTTCTATCGTTTTTTTACAATAAGTCCCTTCCTAGTTGGGAACTCGGTCTTCAACGTATCACAATAGCTAAGAGTGTTTCTACAACAGTTTCTTATTTTAACGTTTTCCATCCTTAAGCCTCACTCGATATGGATAACAGGAAGTTTTCAACGTGGACGCACACTCTGGTTGTTAGAGCACAGGATGCTGGGACGCCGTTGCTATCCTCAAACACTACACTCATCATACACGTGATTCTCAAGAACGAATTCGCGCCAAGTTTTGTATCTTCTGATGTGTCAATCATAGTTGATGAGGACATTGCAAAAGGAAGCGTTATTTACGATGCAAATGCTACCGATGCGGATTTTGGCGCAGACGGAGAAATAGTTTACAGTATTACTGACGGCAACAACGATCTAAGATTCATGATAGATGCTGCAAGTGGTATCATAACCAACGATGCCGCCTTAGATCGAGAGGTTCAGCCTACATATGATCTTGTTGTTACAGCGAGAGACCAAGCAACAAGCAGCCGCAAATCTGGAACGACCACTGTTCACATTAGCTTGAAGGATGTTAATGACAACACTCCTACCTTCGTTAAAAACTTTTACTCTAAGCTTGTCGACGAGACTGTTACCACTGGGGGGGAAATCATCACAGTTGAGGCAAATGATCCTGATTCAGGATCCAATAGTGACCTCACCTATTCTATTACGAGCGGCAACGACCGAGGATTCTTCAGCATCGAGTCCAAACAAGGCATCGTCCGAGCCGCCAAGGACCTAGATCTAGAGACTCAAAACCATACCGCAGACCGAACCTATCAACTGGTTATATTTGTTGAGGACGGAGGAACACCTGTCCCACGTAACAGCTCAGTATCTTTGATCATCACTGTACAGAACGTGAATGACTTCACACCGGTCCTGGAGCATGCTGATAACCAAATAGTAGATCTAAGCGAAAACACCAGCATAGCTTTGGTTATCTTTGATGTGAATGCAACTGACGGTGATTACGGTGAAGATGGTGTTCTGACTTACTCCTTGACTGCTGGTAACAGTTTTGGAACATTCGATATTGACAACGTCACCGGTAAGTTAGAGCTACAGTAGGTACAGTACCATAAAGACATGAAACCTAGGGAGTCACCTCCCGTTCCTCGCACTTATAAAACATGCGCAAGAGACTTGCTTCAATCTTTTAATAAGTGATGACAAAAAGTAGATTTTATGCATTCTGCGAGCAAGGTGAAGTGACTTTTTCCATGCAATGCAATTCTCTCCTTTTCCTTAAAGGATATTCCTTACTAATGAAGTCAACGCAGTTTTTTATGTGACAAATTTTTGCCTCTCTGGTACTGATCATATGTTGTCGGTTCTTTGGTCTTCAGGATTTTCTGTTAGAGGTAAGAAGTTTCTAAAATCTTTTGATTGCAATCTCTGACAGGTGTCATCACGTTAGCAAAAGAGTTGGATTTTGAAACAGTTAGTGAGCACAACTTGGAAGTCACTGTGAGTGACAGCAGTCTAGACCCTGGGAAAAGGAAGAAAATCACTGCCCACGTGAGGGTGCGAGTCATTAACATCGATGACAGCGGGATGTACACTGCTAAAGCTCGAATGATACATGCATTTATCGCCTCTCCATTGAATCCCGCTGGTTTGGCTGGCGTTCCCTACAGATCTGCCTTTGAGGTGCTTTTAGCATTTGAGAATGGAACAGAGATAGACATCACTTCAGAAGGGGACCGTTATACGGTTGACGACTCTTCGAAATCCAATGGTCTCTTCAGCGCTACTACTAATGGCGGACTTTTCATCGTCGCAAACGACCGAAGTTTGTTCGGAACAGGCAAACTAATCGTACATGTCACGAATGTCAATTCTGTTGAAGTCAATGTTACTGTGGTGGGCAGTAATAACCTTACTGTCAGTGCTGTGCCTTATCCTGAAACTCCCGGCGCATCAAAGGTCACAGAACTAAAACAGGTTATCTCCGGACATTATCAGCGGGTGTTACTCAAAGTTCTTGTCGCCTTGACAAATGGACAAGTCGTTGATGTTTCTAGTAATCATAACACTACTTTTACGTTTAAAAACGCTCAGCAAATAGGAGGTAAATATGAATTTGGACCCTCTCCGAACAATTTGTTTTCGATCGAAGGAAATGGTTTGAGCGGAGAAGTCTTGTTGCAAGCAGAGTTCGCGCGCAGTCATGCTGCAGTTCTTAACTTGCCCTTGTCTTCGAAGGTCTTTAAGCCGGTAAACATCGTCCGGTTTGGCTTGGAAAATGTTAATATGACTCTTAGTGGTTTTTCTATAGAAAAAACTACCTCGGCGTTTGCTGAATTGTTAATGGATGATGGATCGAGCTATTTAATCAACAACTTCACAAGTTACAGTGGCTTGCTATCGTTTTCCTCAAGCAACCCTGGTTCAGCAAAAATCGATGCACTATCTGGCGTGGTGACCTTGGTCGCAGACAGCAGTAGTCGTGTCACTATTACGGCCAGCCTCATTGTAAATGCGAGTGTCACAGCAGAATTTGCCTTTTATTGCAACCTGGAGCCAAAGGTCGGTGAAGTTGATATCGGAGAGAGGGAGGGCCCACCCATCCCGATGCTTGATAAAGACGACACATGGAAAATGCCCATCAGAGTAAACCCTGGCTCTATGGGAATCTTGGCAGTACAGGTAGAGATTCAGTTCGACTCGGATGACTTACAGCTTGAAAGAGCTTTCACTTCTTTACCGTATGATGTGGCTGGAAACGTGGTGACCATATTTGGACCAGTAGCAGCATCAGAAGCTTTCTCGGAAAGTGTTGGCGAGCTTTCCTTCACTTCCAAGAAAAAGGGGGTCCCTGAGGTTATGGTTCAAGCTTTCAGAACAGTCAATAAGGAACTTTCGGCGGTGCCAAGTAAAAACGTGACAGTGTCTTCTTGTTCGAATAAGATATCGGGTGACGTAGATGTGGACTGTACGTTTGACATTGTTGACGTCGCTTTCATCAGTGCCTACATCACTGCCTCTTCGAAATCTCGGTTCACTGACGAGATGAGGAAACGTATGGATGTTGACTGGAACGAAGTCATCGAGGTTAACGACGCGATTTTCTTGTCGCTAATTTATCTGAAAAGCGCCAAATTTGTGACTGAGCTGACATACCAAGTACCTGACCACAACAGGGAGTCTTCTGATCGATGTGGCTTAGAATTCTCTCTGAAGCTAGCTAACAAGGATGGATCACCAGTTACAAACATGCAAACGGAAGTATATTTTGTCTTCTCGCATCAGGGTGCAGACGTTGGTGCGCAACTTGCACGTACAACTTTTTCCTCAGGAACTCCGCAAGCTTTAGACGGTGCTTCGTCCGTAGTTGGCTTAATAAAAGCTAGTTTTGCCAACGAGAAGTTTATTATTGCAACTGCCAACTCCGAACTGGAGGCTACCGACGTGGGTGTGACTATCCTGCAAGAGACACCTATCGACGGAACAAAACATGTCGTTGCGATGTTCTCCTCCTCTAATCCTGTCTCCAAATTGGATGCCATTACCTGGGCTGAAAATCAGGCGATCTTTGCACCACAACGTAAATTGCAACTATCCGAGTCAACTAAAACTTGCAATGAAAACGATGACGATCCGCTCGTTACGGTAACTGTGGAACTTACCTTCGACGGTGATTACGATCAGGTAATCGGAAGCAAGGAGGAGCAGTTTCAAGCTTACTGCGAGAACCAGCTATCTAAGATCTACCCCGATGCGACTTTCTCTGACTGCCGTGTCCGAAAGGGTAGCATCATAGCCACGTTTAACATGACTTTGCGCAAATCGAAGAAACAAGCGACGATAGACAACCTTTGGGACGACGTGAAAGAGGGGCTGAAATTCGAATTTAATGGTGCAACTCTTACAACACGACCGATCATGAGGGTGGATGATGAACAAATGAAAGTAGTGGATACTCCTAAAGACGAAGACGGCATGGCGTTATATATCATCATTATTGCTTGTGTTGCAGGGTTTTTAGTAATTTTCATAGTTGTCATAGTAATTTACTGTCGGTGCCGGAAAGGTAGAGCGATCAAAGTTAATCCAACGCCACCAGAAACTCCGGACATATTCATCGACAGTGGAAAAGATTCTGAAGAAAAAGAATCTAAAGCTTTTGGAGTGGAAGCCAAGTATCTTAAACCCAGTGGTAGTGCGACCTGGTCTGTGCACAGCTCTACAGAGTCGACACGAAGCGATGATAAAAGAAAATGTATGCCTCCAGTTGCTTTTGCAGAAACTATAGAACCAGCTTTTGAAGAGGTAGAAGAACCACTGCCAAGTTCTGAGGTAAAATTTTTTACTGAAATCGAAAAATACCGGTCTGATCAGCGTAACTGACTCTGAATCTTGTTGTGGTTCGGGTGCGAGTTCCTCGTCATGTTATTAATTTTTGTTCTTGGGAAGATGAGAACATGACGTTCCTTCTGGAAAGTCTGGCCTTGAAAAGATACCTGGAATTTATATAAACCTGCTTTCTTATTACAATCCGATCAACTATGAATAAGGTGCGTGTAAAAATCACATTTTTTCGTCCAATGTGAAAAGAATCAGCACAGTGGATACATCAAGCATTGATAGTCATAATGCGTCATTTGAGTTCCCTTCAGCACCTTATCTGGTGTAGATTCTCGCTCAGGTAGCATACTTAGTCTACAACCTTGCGAGTACTTGTGAAATGAACATGCAAATAACTTGTGGGTTAAAATATTCTTAAAGTGCTGAAAATTATGCCCTATTTTGCAGAGTCCAAAGCTGACATTGAAAGATGACGCTGATCGTCCAAAACCAATTCTTGCATTTTCTGCCGTCCCGTCCAAACAAGGAACACCCAGAACTACTCCAAATATTAGCAGGAAATCTTCACCGGTCCACAGTTCCAAAGGCAGTCTTCGGACGAGTGAGGATACGGACACTTCTCCAGTTCCTCCCACTTCTCCTGAACTTTCGTCATCAACTACAAGCTCTCGGACTGAACTCCAATCCCCTGTTAAATCGTTGCCAGCTTTGGAAGAAACTGTGGTCATGGGGGATGTACTTGATGACGATGATGATGATGACTTTGATGAGAGTTTGAGAAAAGAGGCATTCCTACGTAGGCGAACGTCATCCTTCGGGGACAACATTGACCTGCTCAATATGCCGGGTTTCCTGGTGGTCACAAGTGAGAACTTGCTATAAGATATCTCTGCTTAACCCTTTAACTCCCAAGATCTCATTAGTAATTCTTTTTACTATCTGCCATACAATTCTTATGAAGTAGATTTGGAGAATTTGGTGTTGGATCAACTGATAATCCCCTCATTGATATTTTTCTTTATTCTCATCACTCCTATGCTTGACATTGTATTGATTTTGTAAGGAGAAATTTTCTCTTGATCACTCATGGGAGGTAAACGGTTAAAACCAGAGGAGTAAAATTAATTTTCCGCCTTGTCAGTGTGTAGTGGGTCAATAGCTAAAATATCTAAGGGGTAGAGGCACCAAAAGAGGGTTATTAGGGGAGGGGTAACACACGCGAGGAATCCGCTTTAGAAAATCACTTCTTCATCGTTGAGGAATCAATTGATCTTTATCACATAGGAAGTATCTGAGGTAAATAGGCGGAATATCCTAAGGAAAAGAGGCACCATTGGAAGGGGTAAACACGCGTGGGAAAATTTATAAACCTGCTGTAGAAAATCACTCGCCTATAACTGAGGAATAAAATAATTTTTCATCGTCAAGGTGTAAATGGGTAATCCCTTAAAATACCCTTAAGAAAGGAACAGCTCAGGATGGGTATCATCCGGGGGTGCGCACACGATGGGGAGGTAACAACACTCCTCGTCGGGGTATACTGGGGTAAGAAGTATAAGCATCTTTTTGCGAGTCTGTCTTGAGTGCAGACCATTCCTTAGTCTCGTTTCTCCTGAATTATCTTTAAGTGTCGAAATCTGATATTATATCTAACATTGTTCTTCCTCTTCGTATCATGAAGACCAAGTGGTAAAGCGACGCAAAATGCAAATAAAGGTGATTCGACCCAACGCAGAGATGGGGATCCTGGCGCACGTGGCAGGGATAGTGAATGCCAAGAAAGGAGGAACATTGGCAGAATTAAGGGAGGATATCAATCACTCGTTGCCAGGTTACCTTGGCTCAGTGAGATATCTGTTTATTTCGCGAAAAATGAAAATCATTGACCCTCGAACAGAGACACAGCTGGTGCTGTCCGCGCTTTATAAGAAGACTGTGTATGTCAAAGTGTTCCACGGCGCAGGTAAAGTTCTTGAAATGTTTTTGAAATCAGAAATGGCACGAGATTCGTTTATTTATTTATTTATTTATTTATTTATTCTCATCAATCTATTTTTTTTATACAAAAATGTCGAAGATATCGGAAAAGAAAGTAACGAAGGAAAACGCGATGGGTAATAGACTTGAAGCCATCACAAAAAAATTGGAATTCCAGTATTTGTTAGACCAAAATTGCATCGGGAAAAAAGGTGTAGGAAGCCAAAAATCTACTCATTTGGCTGCATAGTGCTTTTCGTTATAATGAAGTGATCACTATCGTGGATTCTCTAGGAAGGTACGGCTTGGGAAAGTACTAACTTGGAGTCGCGGGGGCCTGGTGAGATTTGCTCTCTCTAATATTTCTCTCGAAAATCATAATCATGCGCATGCGTGATGATCGAACGGTGAATTGTTTCAAGTGACTCTAGATCTGCAAACACTGACAGCTAAGACTTGTTTTGATCTCTTTATGACAGAGAGCTGCGAGTATTTCTGCTTGTGCGGTAAACCAGCTCAAGTGTGGTGCAAAAAGTGTAACACACAGGGGTACTGTGGGGATGTTTGTAAGGAGCAGGATGAAGAACAGCACTCTTCGATTTGTACCAAGAGCAAGGCCAGGGCCATGGAAAATGCGAGGACAAGAAGAGTGTCTAAGATTTCAAAGAAGTGATAATCTTCTAATGCAGTGTTTTAATCTCGTGTGATATATCTCACCTCAAGGTCTAAAACAAAGCGAGAACGTTTACAGGTAAATATGTCACACGATGTAGAAGCGAAAAAAAAACACGTTTTGAGAAAATTTCTGTTACAAATATTTGGCTTTTTTTAATAATTTCTTTCATACGTTTTTTTTAATTTTTTATGAGCATCCATTGCCTATAAGGTACAATTAAGAGAGAATCCTCTCTTGGTTTAGCTCCATTTTCGGTGAAACATTTTTAATTTTTGATTTCTACTCAGTTTTAAACCGTTTTTGTATCAGTTTTTTTTACCCTCATGCATTTCTCAGATACTACAACTTGATGACCAGAATATCGTGTCTTATAAATATTGGAATATTCAAATAAGCAAAGGGGCCTCTTCTGTCGCTTAAATGAGATATTCCGAACACACTCACAGTAAAGTACTTCCGTTCAAGTTACGCGAAAGCACTTATAACCACATTTATAATAATGCATATCTTGCACGACACATTAAATATACAACTTACACGGAATAGTTTTAAAAGCTTAGAGCTGATGAAAAATAGGAGACAGTCATACTTTTGGTTTATATGACTTTTTCAGAACTGTATACTGAGGAGATTTTTCAAATATATATGTTAATAAATGAAGGTTGTGTCTGTGCATTGTCGCTTTGAGACACCTTACCCACCCCACTAATGTCCGTGAGAATGTAACTGAATTGAAGGGTAGAAGGAAAGATGGACCCCCTCTGACCAGTGATTATATAACGCCTTGGAAGGGGGGGAGGGGTGGGTGACACAACCAAAATCCTTCGATCCCCCGTCCTCTCAGGTGATAAATAATGACCCGTCACTTATGAAAACTGCAGAAAAACCTTAGCAAGCAAATTTTGGGCGCAATTAAATTGTGTAGTACATGAATGTTAACCACACGTGAATTGCATTAAAGAAATACCAACCCTTGCGTGAAGTGATTCAAAAGGCTGTCTTACGAGAATCACCACACATTGAATATTACATGAGAAAAGACAATTAGGCCCTAATTAATCAATTATCCGAGTACTTAAGAACATTTTAGTAAATTAAGCTGTAATTAGTCAATTGTTCGAGTGCTCGAGGAAATGAATTAGCTCCAATATTTAATGTTTGTAGGACTAAGAGCTGAAACGATTAAGCCCAAAAACAGTCAAATAAAAGATTATCATTTGAACCAGTTGGACCATGAATATGATGTTTTCAGGGCATTAGAAAGCGGCTATTTCACAAAATTAGCAAGTTCTTCAATCTTGACATATGTGTTTCTTTTGTTTTTGGTACTTAACCTGTATTGTGTCACTAAGCATCCAATTTATTTTCATTAAGTTCTGAATCATTAATCAAATAAGTTTCAACTCAGCGATATACAAAATGTTAGAAAGGAGCTAAAATTTGTCAATTATATCTTATATTTCTATACTAGGTACTAAATCTATAATGGAATAAGCGTCCTGTATTTTACCGAGCACTTTCCAGAGGAAGCCTGTAGAAAACTAAACTCGCCTGTAGAGGACTAGCAGAATGTAGTCCAAACATCGCGATTCGCATCTGAACTGACCACATCGTGAAATGAACGATTACATTGCTCTTTTGAAAGTGCTCTCCAGATGTTCTCACTTTCTGTATTCCATTCACTCCGAAAGTTTTTTGAAATGTAGCACTTTTACCAAGCACTGTATCAGACTTCGTCAACAAAATCCCTTCCGAATGTATATTACCTGTAGGTCAATGCTAATTGTAGCCCCGCATTTTCAGTGCAGTGAAGACTAAGATTTTATCAAATTTTGTAACGAACTGTGCGCCATTAGATTCTGTTTAAATTTAGGTTCTAACTCAAAAAATAGTGTCATACTGGAATATCTGCGAGTCAGTGGGACATAATATGCAACCAAGTTGCGTCAACGTTTTGCCATTTTGATAATATTTATACTAGTAATGTAGCTGAATGAAATTTTCAAATTCGTTATTTGCAATCCGCATTTAATTTTTCCACTCTCACCCCAGTCTCCTCGCCCCTTTTCTCACTTCTTTAGCGTTTTCATACCCGAGCGATCAACCATTTCATAGTTCTATTGCATTCACATGTAATTTCACATGACGCCAAATTTGACTCAATATCGTAACTTAAAGCGAAATTTTTGTACTTGGTGAGAAATATAAAGAAGGGGATAACCCCCCAGTCAGGGCTGGTACACAATAACACCACAATTTTCTTCGAATGCGCTTTAATTAGTACAATGAATATACATGTCTCATATACTAAAGTACAGTACAATATAAAGCCAACTTTTGTCTAATAATTTACTTCATTGTTTAAAGAAAAAGCACAGTCCTCTCTAACCGACTCTATTATGTTTCCTGTGTAAATAACTCACCACCGTCTTTCGTGGTCAGTTTGTTTAAGAATTAAGCTGTGCAATTGGCTGCCAGATCCAAATTTGAAAATCAGCTTTCTCGAATTCACCGAAACAAGTGTCAACATTTAAACAATTAACAAGCGAAGTGTACAAAGAACAAGAGGCTAAGCTGACAGTAACCCTATTGTTGATCGAGGCAATTTACATTTTGTTGTCAATGTGACACGCTTGGCTTTCAGTGAAAGAAGACACATCTTGATGCAAGTCTCCGCACAATAGCAGAGGTAAGACGGGTGTGCGAACATAAAGGACGCTTTTAATTTGGCGTTAGTCGTAATGAGAAAATAGCCCATTCATTTTATCATTACAAAAAGAACTCGACAAAGAGAAAGGGTCCTTTGAATCGCGATGGGAAAGAGTGATTTGGGTATGTTGTTGAAAACATAGACTTACACAATCTTGAACGTGTTTTTTCGAAGACATGCCACACACTGGTCTGTTTACCCAGGTTGATCCAGTTTTGGAATTACGGAGATATAACATGGCACCTTCAATGACACATGGGAAAGGTACAAATCGCATTAAGAGTGCCAAAAATGAATCAATAATGACTGGGATTGGAAAAGAAAGACTGAAGTCGAGAGAGAGAAGTAAAACTCTTGATGTCGTACCTTCGATTGCGGGTTACCATGTTACAAAACATTGGAGTCGTGAGGGATCGAGTTTAATCGAACAATATTCTTCTAAGAAAGTAAATTTCTCCTCGAAGCCTTTACAGTTATCTCGCCCAAACGCAAAACCAGGTATCAGTTCGTCAAAATCAAGAGGAAAAGTTGGCGACATTTCTGCTAAAGTTAAACCAACAAAGCCTTCAGGGCAAGCGATCGAAATGATAAAAGGCAAGCTACCTACGGCTGGAAAAAGACGTGGAAGTGAAACGCCATCGTTGTTGATGGTTACATCGAGAAAAAGGTCGCTGTCTATTCCTTCTGATGCTAAAGAACATTATTCTATTACAACAATAGTTAAAGCAAGAAGCTTAGCAATGAAATGGCGGGGTCGGCAAGGGAAGCAGAGCCGAAGACAAACCATTCTGCCCACCATCACCGATAATACATCAAAGTTTTCGCTTTGTGCGAATGTAAAATGCAGCCCTCAGTTCGAGGAGGTGATAAAACTTTTGGAAGGAGATCATAATGTTGAAGACGCTGTGAGTGACATGAAATCTCTACAGCTAAAGTGACGCTGTTAATTTCATCAAAATCTAAGAGACGTTTTTCACGGATTTTACCATCTACATGTACAACTAGCCCTTATCGACGCGTTTCCGTTAAAAATGATACTTTGGATGATATACATCAGTATGAAACGCGTTGGACAAAAACGAGAGGCGTTCATGTCTTGATAAAAAGATGTTGCATGGTGCGTTTTTAGCCTAAAAAATTTAATATACACTTGCAATTGTTCGTCAAGCAGAAAAATCAATCTTCATGTGTTATTGAAATTTCTTCAGCTTGTACAAATGTACATCGTAACACATAGTATTAAACCAAGCTGTTTATATAAAACTTTTGAGAGAGGAAACCAGAATTACTGCCCGATTTCAACTAATTTTTCAGTCGAACCCATGAGAGCTGTAAAATTAGCTATTTTAGTTCTCGGAATAATAAATTTCTTGGCTTGGACAGGAACCAATATATCACTAATCATAATTTTCTTTTCGCGTTTAGGTGTCAATTAGCGCACAAAGCGATGTTACGGTGGAAATTTGCATCTGAAAAAGAAAAAAAAGTAAACAAGTGTGCATGAAATACAAATGACTGACACAAGAATGACGCCTTATTCTCGTGGCAATCTAATTAAAAAGAAATAACATTCTGCAGCAATCGAATTATCTTTTTAGTGAAGTAGCACTCCTACATCCAAATTACACGAACGGTTTTACAGAAGCGACTCTTGCATCTATGTTGAGTTTGCATTTCTACCTGCCCCCAAGTAATTAGGAATTAGCGACCGCCTTAATTCCTCTTAATTGACTCACTCATGATTGTTAGTTATTGCGCGTTTTACACCAGGCAAAGAGGTGCTTCAATTTAACATATAATTAAAATATCTTGCGAGGTCATTTCGGCAATTTTGGTTTCGTTTTGTTCCTTTGCACACCTGTTTGGAAATTATATATGAAAGCATTGTTTACAGAGTACATGGAAGGCAATCTTTCTATTATTTTTAGCACTAGAGAGAGAACTAATAATTTTTAAAACTTTTCTACTCCCCAGATATTTTAAGAGCAGTTTTAACAAAACACACTTGAGGACGAAACCACATTTTTCCAGCTATCATTGTAAACGATCGTCTGCATACTTCAGTTGTTTGTCAACGTAAGCCTTATTACTTTGTCATTATAATAATTTGAAAATTCCTTTCAAATTATCACTCACTAACCAGTTATACAACCCGGCATTCAACAAGATACGTCTGCTGGATGAATAAGGCGAATTTACGAAGCGCTGTACATATATGAGGATAAAACACGTCAACACAAGAAAATACTCGGACGAAATTGAAATGAAATTTTCAAGCCAGCTCACTCCACACTATAGGAGATATAGCTCAAATCTGTTTTTATAGTACAGAACCTTGTTTGCTCAGATGTTTTCAAACTTATCTTCATCTATGATGCGCATAATTTAATTTTCTTTTTAGTTTGATGTTTAAGGACCATTCCACCGAGGAATCCATCCAGAATTTGAAATTGAGGTCGTGTCATGTAATTGTCGCCGACTATCGAGATACGAAAAAGAGTCAGGTCAGCCTTGATTCGAAGGACAAAGATGTTCCTTTTTAGCTAATTGTCTTTCGCACTAAGAAGTTAAAGGAAATTGATGCTCGGTGTGTTGAAAAGTAGCGGTTAAAGTCCAAAAATTTAATTTATAGGCCACGTGGGCGAGTCAGAGGCGAGATTGGTTTACCAATTGATATACTGTGTGGAATTTTTGCAGACTATGGAAACATCGTTTAAATGAGGTGTAGATAAAGTTAACACTTATGCGCTGTTTGTGGGCAGCGCATGAATATTAAAACAAAACAAGTAAACAATTAATACATACCAATTTTTAATCTCTTGTAAATAAATAAACAAGCGCAGTGAAAATCTGAACTGAGGAAAATTGATTAGTTACCCATAAGGCCAAGGGAGGATTTTCAAGGAGATATCATCGGAAAAACAAATGAAACTGAATGTTAGTGCGGGGGATTCGAACCTGGAACCCTTAAAGTTAAAATCCTGCGCTTTTTTTGTTTGGAAAGAGGTTCACTGGAATCCCTCATGGCCTTCCAATACACCCTAATTAGTCCGTTATCCTTTTGAAAAAATTTCAGAAATCTTTGCCGTTCCTCGAGAGATCATATTGTCATTTAACACTGAGCCATATCGAAAGCCTTGGTCTCAGGTATTCAAAGGTTCTGATCTTAGCTCTCTGGGACAGCATGTATCAGTTGGGTCCTTGTTTCATCTCAAAGCAAAAACCACACTTCAATGGGATACCGCAAAACACAAAAAAAGTGGAATCCAAGCCTCACATCAAGCAGTTTAGAATCTACAAATAAAGCACGGAATGTAAATTTAAAAACGTACTGTAATATAATTTTAAGTCGGGTAGAACGCCTAGGAGTTGTCAGCGGGCGAGGAATTTAGTAAGGTATTGTTTAAGACCAGCCTTGTGAAGCAGGTTTCACGGAAAGCTTTATTAATCTCTCCTTCGCGCGGGGCCTCTTCTTAACATGCGCATCCACTTCTCTGAGCCCATGACGCATGCTTATATTTGATGAGCTCTTAGTCCAAGTTCTCTAAGACACTCACAATCAAAGGAAAGAGAAGAGAATTTTACTCGAAACAAACAGCTTAATTACGCTTGGACAGACACTAGAAGCTCAAAAAAAGAAAAACGCTCCAAATCAAGCGAGGTTTTCGGGTAATTGACCCGGAACCCTCTTTTTCTCTCCTTTTCCGTGCTGTTTGACTCGTTCCCGTAAATTGAGAGCCTGGGGCAGGATAGAAAAGTACGCACCTGTACCTGTTATTTAACAGTTAACTGATAGTGCTCGGATGACGAAGAAAGCATAACAGCTCGAGACTTCATTGTTCGGGATTTGTTTTGGCTCCGGTTATCATCAGCGCTTTGATTAGGAAATTATTTACATTGCCGTCAGTTGACAAGACAATTTTAAGAGACCGGAGGAAAGCTTTCCAATGAAGGCAGTCATCACGATCTCTTTCAATGCAAAAGAAGACTTTCGACCTCGAATTTGCGAACCTGAGATCAGGCCAGCTTGAACACAATCAATTTTGGTTCCACCTTAAAGTAAGACAGCGGTTGTAGTTGAGACAGATAACAAGTAAGGTCCAACTTTTAAAGCTGTTTGTGCGCATGATAACAAAGCTGTTGTAGGCCAAAGCACCACCGAAACGGTAACGCAATAACCCTTGCGTACAAAAATTCTCAAACCAAACACTGTCAATCGAACGCTTAACAACTGTACGCAGACCCGTCGCTCCGTTGGGATTCTCTTGTAAAAACACCAAAAACACTTGCGAAACATCAGGCGGTTGCTGCTTCTGGCCTCCCTTCGGTGAAAATTTAGAATTTTGGCCATGAACCTAGCCAGGCGTTTTAGTACAGGTGATGTGCTCGATTCCAGGCGCCCTTATTGAATTTAACAAGGGGTTAGGATGAGGTTATCGCGTACCATCATCACCTCATTCATCACGCTTTATTGTCTGATAACAGCTGTTAGTTCTAAGAACGTTCCGAGAGATCTTGTCTGCGCCTTTTAAAGACGATCAGTGATTCGAATGCGCGCGCTCTGTATTTCTCTCGCGAAAGAAATCGTGATTCCTCGCGTCACAAAAGTGTCCTCACCGCGTTCACCCACCGCACCGCGTAATGTGAGGAAATATAAAAACAATCCTTTGAACCCTGGAGAAAAAACTCAACTATTATTTCGTTCACTTGTTAGATAGCAGCTAAAAACTAGCTTGCCTCAAGAAGTTGACGACACTACTTATTATCGAAAAGATTCACGGACAAAAAAAAGAGTGGGCGTATGAATTCACTGCAGGATGTATACATATTTAAACTTTGTGTGACGCAGTGGTTTTTTGCGTAAGGCCGATTATTTTGGTTACTTAGACATGTGTTCAGAACAAGATTATAGGGAATTTTCTTTGAATAATTCAGATAAAAAAATAATATCTTGAAAAACGACAGTTGACATTTTGGTCACAAAATCATTGATATCTGAACGATTGTTCAGAGGCAAGAAATCGAAAACAAGACGACATAATTAGCATATTTTCCGAATTCACAGTAGTCGTTCGTCACAATAAAACCACATTGTTATGCTAATTCATAACAATTTCTGGAACAACGCCAAAAAGGCGCTCAAATCCTAACGAACTCTGATCGAGCTGTTTTCGAGCGCTGTTGACGTAGGCTACGAAATAATCGTTCGTCGCTCGCCTCCTACCAAACGAGTTTTGTCTTGTTTTGCAGACATAGCGCGAGGACAATGCTGAAGCTCTGCATAGCCTGCAGCTCAAAGGTTTGTCAGTATGTTGAAGTAGTCTTATAATTGTAGCTAAAGGAAAATATTCTAAGGTTAGCCAGGATTCTTAGTGTTTGTAAATCATCGGTTGCGTTGTAGTAAGTCTTCACCGGCAGTTGTCCTTCACCGCAACGAAGTGTTTGATGTCAAGCCTGTTACTGAATTTGAGTACAGTACAAATTAGTTCAGAAGATTACCATCGTTGGGGTTAATTCGGTTTTGCTTCGTTTAATAGAGTTTTAGTTCGGTGAATTCATGATCAGTTGTATGCGATCTTCGTTTCTGCTACCAAAACATCGACAACCATCACATTGCTTGGTGCGCTTGTGTGACTTTCGTTGCAGTCCTCGACGAACGTATTCTGTTGCGTTTTGAAACAGGTTAAAAGGGAGTGTGTTTTTACGCGTAATACGGTGACAAAAGGCAACTTATCGTATTATTTTATTGTACAAATTTTACGCACGCGAGCTCAAGCGTATATACCCTGGTTGGGTTGGTTGCAACTTTAATTTCATTGCCGGACCAGAAATCAGAGCCGAGGGAGTGAAAGCACACTTGGCTTAACTGAAAAATGAAAATACGTAAAGCCTTCCCAGCCTTTTAGACATCGCTACGTTTCGAAAATATGATAAAAAGAAAATACAGATCCTTACAACAAAACTTTATCTTACGAATCTTTACTCCTTTACATAACCTCTAGTACAACTGGCGCAGATCACTGAAAATTCATAACATTTTTACCCACTCCCAGACTTTAGGACCTTCAGTAAAGCAAAGAACAAGTTCAAAAATTAGTTCAGGATAAAATCTCAGTTAAACGTGTCTAAGTTTAGCGTTTACGAGAATGAAAATGAGTCAATCGAATTTTATACAGATTTACAAATCGTCGAAAAGTAAGATAAATCCCTCATTTGCAGTAGTGTATGTAAAATAATTTCCCTCAACAGCCGTCGCTTATCGGAATTGTAACGTATGCTTATTGACCTGGTGTAAGTTTAGAGAAAAAAAAACCTCCTGCACCATGAAGTGTTTGAAAATCCTCACTGGTATAACTGATAGAACATTTCCATGAAGTGGACACAAAGTAGCATATTCCGACTACCTGGAAAATTCGAATTCGTGCGGCGAAAATCGACTGCGTTTTTCTCTGGGCCGAACTTCGTCGATTGTTAAACGAAGAAAATCCAAATCGTTCATTTAAGAGCGTTAAGGAAGCGATCACATGCGCTCGGCTAAACTATATTTGAATATGAAAATTAAAAACGAGTAGCTGTTGAAATCGTCCCATTAGTTTACAACTTCATGATTGTGCTTAGTCGCTCTCCCATTTTCAAGGAATATATTCGGTTGCTTGAACCTAACCAATAAACATCAGAAAGACCACAGAATGTGTAAAACCTCCCATCCGCCTGCAAGGTATAAATAGTTGTAAAAAAACAAACAAACAAACAAAGAAAAAGATAGTGAACAATATCTGGTAAAGAAGTGGCGCAAACTCAATTTAGCCCAAAAGTTTGATCAGTAAACCAAATTTTTATTTCAAAGTAACATGACCGTTTTGTGTTAATCGTAAATTTGCAAGTACAGGCACAATTCTCAGCGTTTAATGAATTCTTGAGTTCCCTTAAAAAATTCTTTTAAAAAATCCTCCATCTTTAAGGGGTTGTCCATTTACCTAAAAGATTACAGCGAAATGGGAATCTTGATTTAAATCCTTTCCTTGAATTTATTTACTTATTATTTTGAGTCATATGCATATGTATCACTTATTATATAGGTCGCTGCCTCCAGTCGTACCTGCTCTTGCGGTCACGTGTTCTCACCGGAGACCCGCAGGATTGGTGGGAAACGATTTTCAGGTAGGAGAGGCGGGGATTTGCGTCAAAATTCTTACCCAGGCTACTTAAAATCCTCTGTTTTATTTGCGGAATCAGTGAAAGGAATCGTGAGAAAATTGGAGAGAGTTTGGATATAATTGAAGGAGGGGGGGGCGGTTGATTGGGGTAAGGGGTGAGATGTCATTTATATGAAAGCTCTAGGTAATAAGAAATAACTAAATGAATTCAATACTTAAGAGTAGAAAGAGTGGAATATGCGTATTTCTTGTAATGCACTGATTTATTAGATCTCTCGTTTTCCCTGATATTTGCGGCTAGCATTGCTGCCTCAAGAGAGAAAAAACTGGGCCAAAAATGTCATCTTTAATTAAAAAAGTTATTTTCGAAGTGAAAAATTTAAAGGACTTTCGAAAGCCAAAGAGGACTTCTTTTATTACTTTTTTAAAACCGTTTCTTCGAGGAAGAAGGATCAACATTATTAAATCGTTGTTAGGTTACCGTTTGGGGACAACAAGAAGACAGTCGTTCAGTACTCGTAGGGAAAGACAACCAAATGGCGGCGTGGTTAGCGATCCTCTTTCGAGGAAGGTAGGACAATTGTATTTGTCAGTTAATTCTTTTTTCTTGTAAGGATAGGTTCATAGTGTTAATTTTGGATCAGCTTGCATTTTTCAAGTTAATTTATATCGTCCTTCAGTGTCTAAATTCTTCGACATTCTTTCTCGCGTAACTAATATTTCACTGTCTCTTCAAACTCTAGCTAATTTCTAAGGTTGAAAGTATCTAAAATAGCTATTCTCCTTTGCAGCCATCGCATGGTGCTGTCAGGCAACGGGCTCTCCCTCCCTCCCCCCCCCCCTCACCACTCCTCCCCCCACCACTCCTCCTCCCACCACTCCCCCCACCACTCCCCCCCCTCTATCCTTACCCTCTTAAGTTGCGCGGTGCCTGATTGAACCAAAAGTTGATTGTGAAGAAGACTTATGTTTTGTCGGCGAGTGAAGAAACTGATGCCAATTTTGAAAACTCTAAATCACTTGAATGGTTATTTGATAGCTTTCTTGGCTAAATATTCTTAAAACTGAATGTAAATGAAGACATTTTATCAAGAAGTATGACTAATCAGGGCGTGAAATTGCGCCTAATAAAGGCGCCAATGCGACTAAATTTTTCACTTTGGCGACTAGAATGTTTCATCATAACCTTACCAAGAGATATGGTGAATTAAAAAGATTTGCAAAGAGAAATCCGCGGCAAACTTCCTCGTTAAGTTTGTTTCCGAAACGCGGCACACGCATCTCGATCGGCAACTAGACGCCATCTTGGATTTAGGTGAGCTTGAATGTTGTATATCGTCCATCCTAGTGTCCACTTTTTGGCACGTTAAAGTAATTTTGGAAGGTATGTCTAGAACGCTGACAGCGTAAAAAAGGGTTTTGTTTGTCTTTTAAAATGGCGACCAACTTTTTTTGAATTGGCTACTACGTTGAAGAATTTAGGAGCCAAGTGGTTATTAGAAAAAAAAATTAATTTCACGCCCTGCTAATGCTTTTAGAAAGCATTTGGAACTGTTGACTCATATTAGCCATGATACTAACGTGAAGTCAAATGGAAATGGTCCTCTTGAGGTCGGAGAAAACAATCGGCTTCAAAAAGACATCGCAGCTGATTGGCTGAGGAAGGAGTCGGCTTTGTCCTTATAGGCTTTACACGTTGCTTGTGGTTTATAAAAGGCAACCTGTTTCAAGTATAAAGTGGCTATAAAAAACAGCAGGAAATTTAGAAAACTTTTCATCGAAAAACGAATGATTTATTGAAAGTACTCTTCACAATTTTTCAGCGCCTCTGTCACTTTCTACAGGTGCGCAAACCTTCTCTGTATCAGAACCTCAAAAGTCCCAAAGCTGTGCAGGAAAAATCAAAGAACCCACCAGAGAAACCCACCACAAAACGCAAGGGACATCCGGCACTATTCAAAGAAAATCAGACCAAGGCAAAAGTAAAAAAGATCGATCATATCGTGCGAGTGTTGTCTTCTCCTGAAAGACGTTTGAAGCTTTCGCTAGCATTAGCTGAGATCAACAGAAGATTGACAAGCCAAATGCTCATCTGGAAAATGTTACCATGTGAAACAGGATAAACTTACATATCAAAGTTGAGTAGTCTCCTAGGCGTTCAGTCCGAAGGTCCTCGTCACGCAACGGGTCCTAGAGGAGTCGCGCAATTGCGTGACCACTGGAAACGTTGCGTGACGAACTAAGATAGATAACCAACTCGCTACACCTGAGACATTCAAGGAGCAGCGAGTACATAAGTTTGTATATTATGTACAAAATGTTTCCGACAGCCTTTTATGATAGTTAACAGAGAGCATCTATCGCAGAAATCTCAGTCAAAGGCATCCAACGTAATCATACAATTCGATTCGACCATGGAGGAAATGAAAACAACGCTCATTTGCAAACCGCCACCAGTAGCTTCCGGCTGTGCTTGACGAAAATATCAAAAACACATTTTCAACGCAACTGAATAGAAGATTCTTATTTTATACATCGTGATGGACAGATCTAAAACATTTTCCTCGCTTTTACATCCACGCTGCAAACATTTTTCAATCATAGCCCGACACTGTTATAAGGTTTGCTCTTAAGGATATTTCGCTTTTTTTGTAAATTATAGTTTACTATGATGTCAAATACCGACGTAGCTAGATTACTGTGGTTGTCTTGGTGTAAATAATAATTAGTGAAACCCCTTTTTGAGGACTTTAATTAGCACAAATCAAATAGTGAAATCCTGCATAAAGTCTGGACGGGCTTCTACCTGAAAGCTCCCTACTCTTTTATGCAGTTGTGGGGACCTACTCTTGTTAATAATAGATACTTTTTTATTTGTTTTAATGTACACTGTACAGTGAGTTGAATATTGACGTATTTGTAGGTTTCTTAGGCAGCCCTTGTGAACTTGGGTGCGTCGGATAATTACTTCATAGACCATGTGGAAATGGAAAACACCCTATCTTGATATTTCTTGTAAGATACGAGGACTATATACATTTGTACATGTAAAACCATTGAAACCAGAAAAGTTTATTATTCATCAATAAATGAAAATATCAGTTTAAAGAATAAAAATTCTGTAACAATGGTGCCGGCCCTTTTCGCTGATATCGGTGCAATTTGGTGCAATTTTTATCTCCGGAGAGATAGTGACCTAAATATCTCGGAAATGATTAAAAAAATTGTAAGTGTCATAAATATTTTAACTTATGTCTCAAGGCAACTCTCAAGAAATCTCTCATTTTTGTTTTAAAAACAACCTATTTTACATCAGGACGTTTTGAGCAGCGAAGTAAACTTATAGAAAAAAAAGGAATCTGTTTGTGTAAGAAAAGAGTTCAAATTCTTCAAGGCTGACTCAGACTGCAACATGACTTGGAAACGAACATTTCGTTACTACTATGGACATTGCGACGTCTTGTGAAAACGAGCTATGAAATCTGTCTACACTGAAGTGTTGCTTACCATTATTTACACCCTCCTTTCCCCTATCATGATGAGATTTGTTTACATAGTACGTTCTAGTACCTTTTGATCTAGTACCCAGGGGGTTGCTCGTGGAATTGTTTCCCAATGCGCGAAACGGGCACGACGCCTCGTCGATTGACGCTTGTTTTCAGCAGTTCCGTCGCTCAATACATACCTCACACAGACATTAATAAGGCCTCCAGCTGAGCAGGATATTGTTCCATTGTTCTAGACGGATCGATATTTACGTGTGCAACTTCTTACCGCGACTTTGCAGCTCTTGCGTATTAATTCATCGGCGGAGTCAAATCACTGAGACCCTCTCCGTACCACCCCCCCCCCCCCCCCCCCCCCCCCCTTGTCTGACCATCAGCCATCGGATGAGTCAATGAGCTCGTAGTGACCCTTCTTAGCGTTTGCTGCCGACACCCTATCTACTGCGAAACGGTTTTATCAGTCACGCGAATACACGCATGTCTCTATCTTAATATGTGCGTGTCGGGGAGAGGGATTGGAAACACTCAATGGCAATGGCCCAAGTAAGATATGTTCCGACACGAGCCAAAAGAACTTATTATTACTAGCACACAGAGAAAACATTTAATTTTATTCAAAATGACCCTGAACGAGAAAAAAAGATATCAAACGAAAAATAAATGTGTAGGACCTTAATCAAATGGGCAAAAAAGGATTAAAACTGGCTGATGATTCACAAAACAAGTCAAACCATGTGATAAATTTTGTTTGGTTTCAGTTATTTATTTTAGTTTCCTGCCAAATGAGCGGTAAGTTTCGACTTTCTTCAAGCAAGTAAGTTTCTCTCTCTTCACCCGTAAAAAAAATAAATAAAAGAAACTCGATCACTGTTAACCCACGTGGCTTTCTGGCGAGAGAGATAGAAATAATTCTAATGCTTGTGTTTACACACGAATTGACAACAGGAAGAAGAACATATGCTCTTTTTTTCACACATAAGTATTTCCTTTTCGTATTTTCTAATGGACTCAGCCAGTTTCCAATTCCACTCTATCTTAAATAAGACTTCCGCACTTTTCTTTTCGAGGTGCGCTTAAACAGGTTCCAGTTTCGTGCTGATTGTTTCCGTAATAGGATTTCAGGCACGATCTCAAATTAATCCTCTTTTTTTTCCCAGCTTTTTACAAGCGGCATTTTTTTAAATATAATGCGTAAGTGAACATGAGCTGTTGCACTTTGCGTGAAACCAATTACTTCAAAAGAGCACTCCGAATTAGATAACAAGCTGCTGCCTGCTGTCTCTTGAAAACAGGAAGTTTTAAGGAAAAAAAAATAATTAATGCTATTCAGATCTGAAACCGTAGCTGCACTATTTGTCTTTCGAACCTTCGGATGTAAGTTTTTTTTCTCGTATCTTAAGAGTTGGTTTCTCGTTTCGAAACAACAGAAGTAGTTTTAGGTCAGATTATCTAAGCCACGCCGGCAGCTTTTAAAGATTAGTTGTAAATAGCCGAAACTTTTTTTTTAGCTTGTAATTAACATTTTTAAATTAATTCGTGTGGAATTGAACAGGCAAAGAAAGATTTTACTCTCAGCTATAACAATGAATCGACACAACTCTTTCAAAACTCGCTATATTCGGTCTTAAGAATCTATCATGACCATATAGAGCCAATATTTCAACTACATCTGGGTGCAACTGAATAGAGCGTAAGTGATATTTTGTCAGGTCAAAACAACGAGACCTACTTGACACTAGTCGGCGAAGCGAGAGTAAATTAGAATATTTTGGACCTAAAAATGAAACAAACAGTATCACACGCATTCGCGTAAGGAAGACTTTAAAACATACACCCAATTTCAAGGTTTGTTACTGATACTCCCCATTTCCAGTAAGAATTGCGACCGATATCAGCACTGTTCACTGATTAAGGAAAATTATTCAGTCTGTGCGATTGCGTGTTGTTGTCAAGGAAACCAAACACAGCCCCATCTGGCATTTTTCCCTATTCGTCCGTCAGCGCCAATATATGAATGCCAAGTATACTGCTACCAAAAATCACTCAGGCATAAATATAGAATGTCTCGCTTGTCACTTGAGTAAAGGCTTAACAAATTGAACTGAAAATGGAATTATTGTAAAGCAAACTCGTACAGCTCAGCCAACGCGTGTAATTAAGTTTTGTCTTTTTCATTGGCTCCCTGTGACATTCGTCCACCCACGCCCTTCTAGAATTCAAATTGTCACACCGCGTGGGAATCTTGTTCATGGTGATTCGGCAAATTAAGAGCACATTTTCGCTGTTCACAAACATAATTGAAATGGCAACTGTCAATATCCTCTTTTGGGCTAGATTGAGAAACATATTTTCACAACCAAATATATTTCTTAATATTTGATTGCACTTTTCAATATAATAATTGAGAGCAGTAGAAGCCTTATTCACTGCTCCGTGAGAACACAAGTGAAATCAGCCATCACTAATTTCAAAAGAACGTACTTACTCTCTCAAGAAATTTTGTCTGGTCCAGCAACAGTCCTCTTGAAGATTAGGCTTAACTCATTGCTTAAGAACCAGTAATAATTGGTTGGACACTTATGAATAACACCAGCTCCAAAGAACCCACAAAAAACAACTTTGAACACAATGAATTTCATTCAGTAATTTACATAATATCCTTAGACATTCATACAATCAGCATCTGTCGTCATATTTCATGATCAAAAGGGCACAACTGCCCTGAACAAAAAGCCTGTACTTTCCAGAATCTATTTACACTAAGGCTTGGCAAAAGGTTCCTAGTGATACAATATTGAGCAACAACATTTACAAATTGCTCTGAATTACTGTTAATTACACCTTTACAACTGAGTTGAAAATATAACTTTTACATTTACAACAGCGACATGTTTTTAAATTTTAAATATCTAAATAATGTCAAATTATGCTACAGCAATATTAACCTTTAAAGAAAATTACAAGGATCTTACAAAATCTTTTGGGGAAATAATTGATCAGTGGTTGAACAGTAAATATACAATTAAGATTTCATATTTTAACCAAATGAGATGAAAGATGCACCACTGATGAAATATTCCCACAATTTTAAAATTTAGGGTAACATTATTATTTCTCCTTTTATCTTGCCTGCAAGACAAAAAAATAAATGGTATATTTTTACAACAATACCAATTCAACCTTTGTTAATCTGGAATGGTACACGTTTTAACCTGTCATCAAATGTTACCAAAGTGATTATATAGTTTTTACCATTATTTCAACTTTAAATCGAGTGTCATGACATGAGTTCTGTCAAATTCCAATCTGCTTTAATTCCAGAAAAAAAGGGAACTTGACCACCTTCTCGATGAAAATTCATTTCAAGAAAGGCTTTAAAATGTGTTTTTACTATTGATAATGTAGTGTAAATTTCTAATTCATTAACTGCTCCCTTTGCCTTGATGTTCAGAGTATGTTTAACACACACTTTGAAAAATAGATTCAAACTGGCTTTCACAAATTGTCTTTACGACATTTTTAGCTTGATTGTCGTTGATGAGGCCACAATTGATGACACCTTGGAAAACATATATTTTTATCCATAGTATTTCTTCTTGAGGCCTTTCCTGACTTTTGGATCAAACATATTAGAGTTCGCAAACAAATTAGAGGTAGTGAATTTAAAAGTAAAGCATTGAAAGAAGGCCATGTCCATTATAAGTTTAGTGAATTGAGGAGAAAATATAATATTAGGCATGCTGCAATGGAAAAAAATTTGCAGATCTTGACCTGAAAACCTTATCAAGTAACCAAATATAAGAGAACCTCAGAGCTTAAAAAAAAAAAAAAAAAAAAAAAATTAAAGAGGAGTTGGCTTGAATCAATTTTCCTGGCACTGAAGATTGATCAAAGCTAGACACATTTCATCTTCGGGTGAGATCAAAATAAACATGTCTGGTTTTCTTGGCAAGCAATTGGCTAAGAAGGAAGTTCCTCATTAATATTCTCCCAGCTGTCGTTTGCCGCCCCACAAGCTAGACGTCAAAGAATTTTCCTAGTAACACATATTAGTGTCATAAATATTCATGTTTACTCCTCCTGCTCTTCGATGATCGTGTTTTGGTAGGAAAATATGTTCAAACTTTTTTTCACGGCTTCGGTAAGATCTTCGATCTTCATATCTTCGGGATACCCCCGCATAATCGGTTCTTGTTTATGTTCGAGGAAACAATGTTGAAGTGTTGACACGCTGCCCGGCCTACAGATGCGTAACCAACCTACGGACTCGGCAGCTGAAAATCGGTAGTGTCTGATCAAATAACATGCGATTAGAGTTCCTGTTCTTCCTAAACCGGCTCGGCAGTGAACGGCGACGGCTCCATCGCACTGATCAACGACTCGTGTGAATTTCTTGATGATTGCTTTAGTTGGAATTCCACCATCTTCATAGTAAAGATCGCTATGCGAGAAGCCGTTAGCGGTAAAACATCGCGCATCGTAAATAAGCCCGTATTTCACCATGTTGTCGTCCTTATTCAGTCTTACGACACCCTTGACTCCAGTCTGCCTGAAATATTTTCTCAGGCGACTGAATCGACTCACTTTGAGTTCAGGTCTTCTCTGAGGATCACTCAACGCCAACAACTTTCCCGGAATGATCCAGTTCAAATCAAAAGCGCGCTCTTCCTGCTCGTATCGATTCAAGTCAAACTCGTCAAATTTGAAGAACCCCAGCGCTATTGCCTTTTCAAAACCTTTGAGACAGTCTAGAATGCTAAGGTTGTGGGATACATTACCATTGATATCGCAGTAAGAAACCAGAGTTGAAGACAGGAAGTGCTTTTCTAGTAAAGCGTAAATTTCTTCGGCGGTCATCTTGAGTTGACACATGGCGAAGGCACCACACAGGAAAACAGACCGCGTTCGCTTCTTCGCGTCGGAAAAACCCTCATTAGCTGTTGTGTAAAGTACAATCTTCTTCGAAACCGGGACCATGTGAAGTTTAGTGTTAACAAGGCAACAGAAACGGTAGATTCCAGCCAGATTTGGCGGTCCGAAGTAAGGTGTGTCGTGAAATTTACAACCGTCGAGAGTCCAGTCAGGATCCACGCTAAAATAGTGATAGGACGAGTTGTTTCGCGGTTTACAACTCACACTCACAAAATATAAGCGATCTTTAACTACTTCGCAAGAACTCATGATGTTTCTGTCCCACATTTTCGTTTTCGTGTCTCTCTCACCACGAGGAATGAATCTACGTTTCGGCTTAAACCAAAACAAAAGAGTAAAATAAACCGTCGTCGTGGCGCGCTAACATGCAGTCATTCATTCATGGTTGCAGAACATAAGCATACCACGTGATAATAACAAACACCTGATTGGTTCAGATCACGGAAGAAAACTATCAATTGTTTCATTAGCCAATCAACATGTGCAAAAAACAATCGAGTGGACTGTAATACTCCAAAGTTCATCCCGGTGGAATTTGGCGCGAAATCTATGGATTATTTTTGGATTGAGACACAACAGTCTGGTCACGCGCTCGCTAGTGTCAGGTTGTCGATAAGGAAGTCATAAATGTTGAACGATTTCCGCGAGGCAGCCACAGCTATCGAAAGCGTAGCTTTCATTTTCTTAGCAAAAGAAAGATACCGTTTGTTCTTGCTAACTTTGAATTACTCAATATGCTCTTTAGTTGCGCAATTAAAAATACCCGCATGGCTGTGAAACAACATTCCAATGCAAATTTGACGAAGTTTGGCGACAAGCTCTCAGGTGAAGGGCATGTGACAATGACGCATGAAGAATATTAAAGAACATTCCGTATCATTAAGTGGTACAGAAAATAAGGGTTGTAAAATGCTAAGAAAAATCTCTAACTTCATGTGTCGATGTAATATTCTCTCATGCCTGCTAGCAGGTACCTATTGGGCAACAGATTATCGGCTCTCAAGGGATCGTTTTCTTATCCTTTTGTTTGAAAAATATCACGACCGAACGGGTAGGGAAAATATGGATCGAGGTTTCAAATAAGGAATACTTTTATTTCTATTATTACACGCATTACGTCGATGTGCACAATCACTACTGAAGTTGAAAACTTAACCCATGGATTCGTTTACTTGCTTTCTCGGAAGTCGGAGCCAAAGATTCTGCGTATTTGCACGCACGCATTAAGTGTCATGTGTTCTAGAAGTTTGTACGAGTGGTTTTCTATCACAATTTTGATTGTACACTCTCCTCCGCCCTTTATAGTTAAATGGTGAGAATATCACGTATTATCAAAAGATTTCCCGAAGAAGGAATCGCATCATGATGAATTAGACATGAGCGTAAAATTAACCGGTCTTATGAAGTGTCACACGTACGAAACTGACAAAGTGGAAGCACAATATCGTGCAAATGTCTTAAACGTCGGAGCTTATGCCAAAAACATTTGCATATTAAATCGGAAGGGTTAGTTTGCGTTAAATACCATCTCTTAAGGCCCAAAATGTCAAACTGTTTAATTTCGATATTTTCGTATAAACCGTAGCTAACTAAACCGATGGTGCGCTTACATATTCCGTAACTTCCTGTCGTAATGTACGACTCATTCGCCCGCAAATCGTGAATTGTCTCTTTGTTTGTTCAAACCAAACGTTGTAAACAGACTGGAAACCACCAACTGGGCTTAAGCACTTTAATCTGATACTTGTTCAAAGAACATAGTATAAAGGACATGATTTACATGGGCTTCAAGCGGAGAGGAACAACAAATTTTGTGCCAAGTGGTAAAGTCGCCCCACATGAAAGTGAACGATGAAAGGAAGCATATTAAAGATTGCAGCTGATCGGTCGCGGTCACACCTGCTTATTTTTAGTGAACTAAGATCTAGCTGACTGGAAGTAAAAACGTTATTAGTTACAAATATTGGGTACGTTGGCGCCTGGCCAATGACCATAGAATTTCTTTTAAATCATTATGCAACAAAGCACGAGTTGGAAAACGACTAAACTATAGGCGCACGTGTTTAATGTCTTGAATATTAGCGGTACAAAGATCAAGATAGCGACTCGACAGCTTCCTTGGGGTCAACCAAAGTACAAGATAACAATCTAATCCACTTTTTGGTGGCGCTTGTGGATCGATTGGAACTTGATATTGTGAGCTGAAACAAAGACATAAGATAGTTTTAAGCTCTGTTTACCATTAAAGATGGAAATAGTTTTGCAAATGTAAACTTGTTTTCAATATGTAAGTTTTACAGCTGGCTTATAAGCTTTAATGGAAATACGAGAAGACTGGTAGGAATTGCGCTGACTTTACCTTTTAAGGTAAAAGCCAAATGCAGTTGATTCAGATTTACGGGAAAAAATGAATGAAAGAAAATTTAAAAAAACATTGTTTAGATGATTTCTTTTCCATTTGGCATCCTTATCAATGATGAGAGAAAGCGGAGAGCAGGGTATCAGTAAAGAAAACTCTACTGCAGTATTTTCACTTTTTTGGAATGTTGATACCTTAAAATAAACTTTACACCTCTCCAAAAGGAACTGTAGTTTCAGATTTGTCAGCTGAGGAATGGTCCATCGAGCAAAGTCCACTGCCTAACATTTAAGATCAAATCAGACAGGGAAATACGAGCAAACAAGAAGGCAAATTAATTATGGAAGGAAAGACTAAAAATAGATCACATCCTGTTTGTCTCGAGCTGACTAGTTAAATTGGATGCGTATCCAATCATCTGCCCACGGGCATGTGGCCCATGTAAGGGCTTTTGTGTAAACTGGCTCGATCTTGTATGTGATCATCACATACACGCTCGTTTCTGCTTAGAAATTCAAGCCAGAATCGTTATGTAGGCGCCATGCTCAGGCAATCGCAGTCGCAAGCAGGAAAACCCAGCTTAGCACAGATCGTGCATTCTGTATACGTGTTTATCGATCACCACAAATGAAGTGAGTCAGCTTTATTGAACACTGTTCCTGACTGATCAACCGACATCAGTGTGATATCTCAAGGATGGTTCTCTCATTTTCTCTTGCCTATAAATAATTTTATTAGCATAGTCCAAAAACATTTTTGGCGACGCGGAGCAGCAAGTGCGGCTGGCAACATGCCGCATTGAGCATGTATCAGTTGAACTTACTTTGCACCCACACATTGTCTCCGCACAGTTTTCAGCAAGCCTACAGTTTTCAACTGTTCCCGTGTGATCACTCAGGGAGACCATTATTTCATACTGTGTCTTGATTGTTTGCTGTGTGGTTGAACTGCCAGATGCGGTAGGATTTGACGACACAGGGCATTCTGGGTTCATGCACGTCTCGCTTAGAAGTGCTACTCTTTGATTACAAGACACACTTATACAAGAAGGAAAACATAATTATTTATAGCACTGCAAACAGTTCATGTTCTAAGATAGGCTCTTTTTGAACGACACTGCGATATTAGGTTGAGAAAAAAAGAAGAAACTAAGAACGATAACTAAGGTGATGGCATATACGACCTTTTACTTGTGAGCTAGCTTACTACTCCTTGTCTCTTGTTCTTGGCTTCGGAAAAGGTGTGAGTACAGTTTTAAAGCTAATGACTTGTTTTGAACCTGATAAAAGACGAAGAGAAAGTTTCATTTTGCACTAACCATCGTGACGCTATTACTTGTTTTACATCGCTGTCAATGTCAAAGGAAGTAAGACAGGCATAAACAATCCCAAATGTGGGAATCTGTTGCGTGCTGTTGTCCAGTTCTGCCATTATTTGCTTGAGTTGTTGAACGCTGTACACGTTCTTTACATTTTCCACTATAGATTAATAAAATACACTTTTTTAGATAAGGTCCAGCTCTTGACGACCACATTTGCATGAAATACTTACAATTATACCCTTCTAGGGATGCCTCAGGGTTATTCAGAGGATCATCATCTAAGAGCTCCAGTGATTGTGCATAATTATATAAGTACCGAGCTTCCATGGTATCTGAAATTATTACAATACACAAAGGTCAGAGAAAATTAAGACTTTACTTAGCATTAACATACATAAAAATTTTACGGCTTCAGAAACGAGCTACGATTTTCAATATACTTTTAATTCATACATATACATATCAATCATGGAAATTTCGGTATTACCTGGATTTGCAGTGATAATTGTTTTATTATCACACGTAGCGATCATAGACTTTTTGAAGTCGTCAAAGGTCACTTTAACATCTGCGATAAAAAGAACTACGGAGCAAAGAATATTGACAAATGGCAGAATTTATAAAGGCATTTCTTGTAATTGATGGCTGATCGTTACGTAATGTTTAAAAAACGAGCAGGAGTGTTTTATCGGGTTTAAAACCACGAGGCGTAGCCGAGTGGTTTTTGACCCGATAAAACACATGCTGCGAGTTTTTTGAACGGCTTCAAAAACATTCTTGGAAAAGCGTGTGTCAAGAGAGTTCATAACAATTATGCTTTTGTGAACGTTATAAATTAGCATACGTAAATAGGGAGACTACTGGCAAAAGGTCAAACGCAGAGGTTAGCAAAAACGAGTTGGAGTCACTTCTGCCAACTGATCTTGAATTCGAAGTTTCAGATGATGTATTGTCTAATATGCCTTTACCAGATTACTGTACTAATGGAATAGAGAATTTTTCCAGATGTGTATTTCACAAATGTACTATTGATTTGGTGCAAAAGTAAATTTACTGTGTGAAATTTGTTGAAAGAACATTAAATATATTCCCACCATTTGTTGTGTCAGTTTCTGTGTTGATAATTAATTAATATTCATAAGTCACGCGCAGTGTCTTTATATCTGATAAAACACCACATACTAATAAGGATGAGGTTTATCGATATAAAGTCACTGCACGTGATGTATTATCTACCATTTGATAGGTTAATGGGCTTATGAATTATTAATGAGTTTTTGAAACTTACTTATATCTTTAGGCATCCACGTTTGAGACATTTCTATTGTGTCTTCATCCCACCTGATAAAATAGTTGTACAGCTGTTCTTACCAGAGTTGCACATGAGTATTTATAATCACTGAGTTTAGATTATGCATCTCAAGAAAAACCAGATATGATAATGAAGTATCCAGATAAGTGTACGTAAGTGTACGTTATTATGAAGAAGTCGTCTTTCCATTCATTAATTTTTTTATCAGGAACATTTCCCCAAATAATGCATGCTTACATGATGAGTGGGAATGAGTAACAGGTTTCATCGAACAGAACCACTTCACATCTCTTGACTCGTTTTCCTGTTTTGGTAACGATGTCTCTTGGCACTCCAATCTAAAAAAAATAAATTGTAACTATATGACATTAAGGAAAGGAACTTAATAAAAGAACAATTCTGCTAGTATGAAAAAATTTCAAAAAAAAAAAAAAATAGTCGGAAAATGGTTTTTACTTAAAATAAGATTGTGGCTCATTGTCTAATTTATTTTATTTTATGTTGCAATGTGTGTGATTTGACATGCAAATTCACATGTAGTCAGACTAGATCTAAAATCCATAATACTTACACTTTTTACAACAGCTTGGATATTGACATGTTCTCCATGCAAGTTCTGATCGTTGGCTATGATATCTCCCAGGGTATAGAAATCATTACTGGCCTTAAAGGGTACATGTGAAATCTTGTCAAACTCACTCATGTCCCATCCACTGAATAAACTTACAGACGAATATGTCTCACTGACATGCAGCTGGTATGGGCTACAATGGAAACAGTAAATACAAAAAATATGAACAAATGAATAAATAATGTACGAAAAAAAAAATTATCAATCTTGAAGCAGTGTTGGCCTGGAAATGAATAAATTAGTGGGATCACATTTGTTCCAATTCACTTTCACAAATTTTTTAGCATTCTCGTTGTCATTCTCCTTGTCATTATCATTGTTATTATCATTGTCATTGTTGTATCGATGCATTTTACTTTTTAAAAGTCAGTTTACTGAAATATTACTCACCTTGATGTCCATGGTCTCCATCTTTGCTCAGCTTCATTGCTTTGTTTATTTTGTATCTGGGGATTCCTTACTTCCACTGTAATAACAATGAAAATACTGATAAAAATGGTAATGGTAAGCAAGATATCAGTTTTGACTGATAATGCAAATATAAGACAATGTTTGGGGACAGTCATAATTTATCCCCTGGAAGGGGGGGGGAAGGGGTGGAAGGTGTTGGCATTTACCTGATCCCCCCCTAAGGCTCTGTTGTATTCTAACGACCCCCTCCCTCTCATTGGTAGTTAATTTTCTATGGCCATCCCCCTTAATACTCTGTTAGTGACAACTGATCGCCTCTTCCTTCTCCCTGAAAACCAACTGATCACCCCCAAAAGCCTCAGAAACCCCCCTCAGGCAAAAATCAATGACCGATAGTAATTCATAACAATTAGGATAATATCAATATAAATGATAATTATGATAATGATAAAATATGTAGCTTACATTGCCTCCCCTCCTTTTTTTTTTTTCCTCTTTTTTCTAAGTGAAAGCTGTTTTGAATAAAAGAGATAATAAAACATACCAACGTCATTTATTTTGAAGGAATTTGAAAGGTCGTAAATGAAACGTTCATTCCCCCAGCAGTTAACATTAATGAAATCCGTAGGCGTATCTCTGAGAGTGAAAAAGAAGTGGCATTTTTCTGTGCCTGGGTCTGCAAAAAATATCAGATAAACTTGTATTAGCATCAAAGGGTCAAAATACTATTGGCAAAGAAGCAAAGAGTGGCTGAGAAATATCTTACTCTTTCTGTCTGGAAAAGAGTGAACTCCCTGTTTGGCCACGACAAGTCCAACAATGTTCTAAGGAATAAAATATATTTAAATTACTTTTCATCTTAGTCTAGGACTAAATTAACTTCAAAAGCATCGGTTTCCAACCAGGTATAAAATGCATAGGAACCTCTGAACTGAATGAAGAGATACACGGGGGTAAAAATTTACGGGGGTAAAAAAACAGCTGGTTTTCTCATCCTAAGTCAATATTTTCAGCTTGGCTACACTTTCTACTTACAAAACTGTTCATTCCTTGACTCAAGTCGCGGATATAGGTCCTTCCTTTGGAAATTTCTCTGTCTTTGCTAGCGAAACATGTTCCATCAGGCCAAGCTGTCTGTGTGCCAAAGCCGTTAAAAGTCATCTTTTAACTCGCCAGAGGGAACTTTCTAGACAACATAGGTATTTAGCGTTGGATAATATTGAGAAAAATTGGCAATTAGAATTTAATCAAGAGCAAGATTGAAAAGTATGCATAATGAAAAAAGCTGATTGGCTGTTTTTAATCTTGCAAAATATGCGCGGGAAAATTCAAGCCGCGAGCGCGGTATCATATTACCCAGAGTTCCTTTCTACTACTCTACATCGCGCATGTGCTGAGCAATGGCGGAAGGGAAAAGTACTAGAATTAAGAGTTATTTTGACGGAATTTTCGCCATGTGACGTTTGTTTTTAGACGAACTGTGATGGCTACAAGGTAAAATTAATTTTGGAATACACAATAATGCTAATGAGCCCTTCTCACTGAGGTTTCTCATCTTGATTCGCTGTAGACTTGAGAGACTTTTTCTCCTTCTTGACACTGGCTCCACTGCTGTGACACGGAAAGCTGCAGCCCAACAGCTTGGTGAAGTGCAAAAATTACATCCTCACGAGCTACAGAATCTTCTGAACAGGGTAGGTGTTTTCTCCTTCCGGTTCTTGTTTGAGATGTCAATGAGATCGCAAAATGGTCTCGCTTACCATTCTTTAGTTAAAACAGTTGTTAATAATTTAGAGCAATTCGATGTTATTTAGGGTCACCACAAATTAAAAAATCACCGAAAATTTACTACTGTTATTTCGGTCTACAATTGATTACACGTACATTTTTGGTCAATACCTTAGCTAATAATTTTGTGCTAAATCCTTTATGTTTTCAAAAGAGCAAGGTAAGAAAGAGTGTAGGGTCTCTCTTTATTGTCTTAACCCATGTACATAGCTTTGTGAATCACTGAAAAATTGCATTTTTTCTTGTTTTCGGAATCGAAATGGGATGTTTATACTTAAAATTCGACTTGCTTTCTCTTACTTGTAAACTGAATGATTCGTTGACCCATGAACCCCTTAGAGTGACCGGTTTCTAATTTCTCTATACAATATCACCCTTGTATCAATTATAAAGGTCCTGGGCATAAAGGAAATGATCACCAATTTTGTCACACAAATTCTTCTTGTCAGAACCACAGGAAATGTAAAGGAAAAGTGTGGAGAATATGAGTAATAGAATAATGGATAAACATTTTCTAGCTACCTGTGTTAAATATTATGTTCAACAGGTTCATGTATATCTGAAGAGTAGCAGTTGGGAGACAAGGATTGCAGCGGGTCAGGCCATTGAGGCTATTGCACAGAATGTACCTCTATGGAACCCAGTAGCTGTGCAAAACATCAAAGGTAAGGTTTGTCGGAGTACTCCTTGATTGAGCAAAACTAAATTAAAACAATGACCGATCACAATAAAGGGAAATGTCTCATGGATCCAATTAGAGCTCAAAGTGAAAACATGTTGACACCCTCGATTAGAATGAAACCTAAGCAAGGAAATTGGGTTTTTTTCTTTTAGTTTTGCATCTACTTGGTATGGAGAATAACGCAAGTTTACTTGATAAATTACAGCAATGCAAATCAAAGCCAATGTGATCATGGATTATTTTTTATACTCTCTACAAAAAAAAGTATTCATTAACTACACATGCACACTTAATTTGATTCCTTATAATTTTGATGAATTAATATAATTGATGCTGGCAAAAAGAAAGTATTATATGGTCATGAAAATATATAAAAATGTGAATTTTGAGATCTGAAATTTGTTGAGACTTTTGAATTGTTTTCTCTTTAAACTTGTTGAGTTACTGGATCAAAGAATAACTTATTTCCACAGGTGTGTAAGACTTAGAGAGAGGCATCAATTATGACATTTCATGTCTCTTCCTTTTTGTGTGAAGAATTCCTGGAGTTTTCTAATTTAATTCTAAGTTCCATTTTTTGCTATGGATACTGAGCAACTATTTGCTTGTCTGGTAGGCAAACCTTGACTTACTTTCACAGGAAATTTAGTAGTTGGATGATATATTAAGTTATTTTTTGTTCAACCACAGTTGAGCCATCAGAAAGAAATAGGTCAGAGACAATCAAGGAAGCAGTTACAAATGAGCTACTAGAGTTTTCCAAGTTTGATATCAATCGTGTTTTGAAACATGGGGAGCGTTTGGTTGGCTCATCAGGGGCTGAGTATGACCTTCCTGAGGAAGATCTTATAGGTAAGAAATATGATTTATCACAGATATAACAACTTGTTGTGAATTTGCTTTTAATTTGTTTAATAAGATTTATTTATGCTTAGGTAGTGTTACCTTGCACTTTATTATTACATGCAAATAGTCCAAAAGTAATGAAGATGGGTGTCTACTATATGCATCTTTCCACAGGCTACATTTTAAAGTTTACCCTTGAGTTTTAAGAATTTAATTTTCAAGTCAAACCTTCAGAATTAGTAAAACTAAGGTTTCAGTGCTGGACCAGCTTTTAAGGGCTAACTTGTTGAAGATGTTTCTTTAACCCAGGCCTTTAACCCCCATGAGTGACCAAGATGAAATTTCTCATTTCATTATCAATACAACTTTAAGCTGACAAGTGATAAGAATAAAGAAAAATATCAGTTAGGGGATTATTAATTAATGCAAATAAAATACATTATTATCCAAACTTATACCACATGAATTGTGCGGCAGAGAGTAAGGAGAATTACTAAAGAGATTTGGAAGTGAAAGGGTCAAGTGTAATGAAATATGGTCAAGCATTCCCAGATGTCTAAGTTAATCCTAGAGATCAGTTTTATCGTTGTGATGTTCATTTCGTTATTACTTCCAGTAAGAGTGACTTCAGGGATAAGAGAAAGTCTTTAAGATGACTTAAAAAAAGGCATTTAAATATTGAATGTCTAGCCCAGTTATGTGAACAACCTACCATGTCCAGGTTTATTTTGGATTTAATATTCTTCTACTGGCCAGAAGAATATTGAAACAACAATTTAATCAAGAATTCAACATTCACATATGTGTCTGTAAGTTTGTTGGTTAGATGGAGCAGTGATAAGTTTTTTGTGGTTCTGACTTGATTTTTTTTAAGGCCTTGAACCAAAAGAGAGGCTAAACAGACAGCAGAAACTTCTCAGAAAGCGCCTTGGCTTGGATATTGCTCCTGGAATTGATGTTGGAATGGACAAATTATTTGATGATGAGGATCTCTTGGTGAACACCCATGTGACCAAGGGGAAAGCTTTGACGAAACAAAAGTCCTTCGAGGTGATACATTTTATATAGTGATGTAAATGCCTATACATGTTTCCATAAAAAAGTTATTGTTTTACTATTATTTTCTCTTTATGATCTTTTTTCAATCATTCCTTTCAGTTGTTGTGTTAAAATACTGTTAACACCTACTATGGGTTTTGTGTTTATAAGGTCTGTTTTGTTGTGACTGGAAATGATTTTTTATTTTATAATTGAAATTATGATGAATTAAGTAGCCTTAAACTGTTATCTTTAATTACTAAATTATTGTTGTCTTTTTTTTGAGTCCTCAACATAATTTGCTGCTTCTCACTTTTTAACTGAATGACTGAATGAAAAGACTGAATAAAGCTGACAGGTGTTCTAACAATACTGTGTATTACATCTTGTTTCCCAAGTCAGGGAAGGTTATAAAATATATTGGCCCATTTTTCATTAGTCTGAAAGTGTCCCATATAATCCTGTGTAATTTTTACTTGAAACAAGTTTAATATAATTATTGTTTTGTTTTCCTTTTTACCCATTAGAGTGCCGCTAATGTAGTAGCAGCTGAGATAGCTGCAATTAGCTCATCAGCTGAGTTGAGCTCAAGAGAAAAGAACAGAGCCAAACGAAAAGCAAAAATGCTTGCCAAGCAGAGATCAAAGGAAGCATCCAAGGAGGGGGAGTCTGCTCAAGGGTCATTTAATGACAGTGTTAGGTAATCAAGGGAATAAATTTATAGTACATATAATTATACATGTAATAGAGCTCAACTTGTGGCTGTCCTGTCAAAGTCCTGTCTTTTGTAAACTCCTCACTTTTTCTTATGTTTATGTATAAACCACATATTTCCTTCTGGTGCTTGTAAGCTGTGTTGTGGAAGGAATGAAGAATATCATCTAGACAGGCTCAGATGCAAAAAGAATGTGTGTCTCTTACAGTTCAATATAAATTTCAGGCAAAACTACAATACGGAAGGTGGGCTATTTTAATATCAACAAAACTAAGGAAATGAAAACTAATCAGTTTCAAAATGAGTTTGATCTAACATTCATTTACATGTTACAGTATTTTAAAGTGTGACTTAATTATTTGCATATTCTAACTTGATGACATTTATTTTGGTTATCACTCATGTTTTGTTTTGTTTTTCTTGTCCAAAATAGTATAGATAATGACCAGGAAGCAGAACATGGTTCAGCTTCCAAAAAACGGAAGACAGCCAGTGTCATTGTTGATCAGCCAGCAGAGTCTGATAAGATGGTTGTGGATCAGGTTACTGATGTCATGGCAACATTTGAAGAGGTTTGTTATTGTATAGTTCCTGAACAATGTTGCTCTGTTGGTAAATTATTTTTAAATTTTGATTATTTTTAAATTTGTTTTTCTTTTTAAGTCAACTGAGTGGCCATTTGAAAACTTTTGCCAAGAGCTATGCCAAGATTTGTTCCATCAAACATGGGAGGTTTGTCTATAATTCTATTTCATTAGATTAGGATTTTTCCATTTTCTTATTTCCATCAACTTGCCTGTAGTAAGACTATCTATGTTGTGTGCAATATAACAATGTTATTTAGGGCTCAAATGTATTTAAACACAGGTGCGCCATGGGGCAGCTACAGGCCTGCGAGAAATAATAAAGGTTCATGGACAAGGTGCTGGAAAAACTTTAGATTCTTCCGTTGATGATGTAAGTATACTAAACAAATAAATGCTCACAACTTATCTGTGTTGATATTGCTGGCCTATCTTTTTTTCACAGACAGTAGTTGTTCTTTTTTGTTGATGTTTGGTTCTTTTCGACAGCTCCAGATTCAAAATAAAAAGTGGCTGGAAAACATGTCTCTTCTCCTTCTTTGTGTCATGGCACT